TTCCACTGCATTATACTATTAGTAACTAACCATCTTCATAATCTAAAATCTAAATAACCCGCATAGACATTATTTTTAAATTGGTTTTAACTATTAGAGTAATGCTTGTATTATATAATGACAGGTGACAGATGTAAAAATGACTAATGACAATGGTGATGTTTTGACGGTTAATGTAATTTCGTTATATGTCTACAATCTTTTTGATCATTTTAAATAGTATACCTAAAAGGTTATTCTGGAAAATTGTAATTTTAAAAAAAAAAATGTTTAATAATTATTATTTATTATAATGTTGAAGATGGGATAATGCTAGCGAATGATAATATTTATTAGTTAATGCAACTTAGGAAAAAATTATATTTCAACATTTTTGTAAAAGGTTCCAAAAAATAACAATAAAGAATTGATAATAAACCGATCTAACACAAATACCCATTTTTATTATTTATTTACACCGTGCGGTGTTTTTATTACTGGAATAAAAATTAAGAAAATATTATAAGCTTGAATATTTAAAAAAATTGAAATACTTGGAAGTATTAAATTGAACTGTTGTTCTATCTAACATTAAAAAATTGCTCAATACTTTTAGATATATCAATATAAACTGCATCTTCTGGAATTTTTTTTGAAAAAGGTTGGAACATAGCTTAAGATTTAACCAGAGGCGTACTTAAAAATTGGCGACCTGGGCCTATACGGTTTGCCCAAAAATTAATAAAAAAAAAAAGAAAAATCTTTTAATAATGAATTTACAATTTATTAAATATTTTAATTATTTTGCGATGCACAAATTGGTTGACAAATTCGTCAATGACACTGTCATAATAAACAGATTTTGTAAATTCAGCTCCTATATTAAAAATATCTAAACTGATCAAACGTTTTTTGCTTATATGTAGATATTTTTACTTTTCTATCTATATAAAGATAAGGAAAGTATTAGAATCATGATTTTTTCGACCTCGAGTTTTCGACGGATTTTTACGTTTTGAGGTCACTGAACCTGTATGTGGGTGTGTCTGTATACTCGATAACTCATGAACGGATACAGAGAAAAACACCAAATTTTAAAATTAGGCCTTAATCCATCCTGCGGTAAGCTGATTAGATTTTGGGTAGAGTCGGAACATGAGGGGGTTACTTTATAGGGAGTCATTTATCTGCTTTATAGAAGATATCTGTTATTTACGCATAGAGAAAAAAAAATCTTTAAATAAAAGTTGTTTGTGATGTCATTTTCTATGATTTTTGTCGTATACATAATTTTCCTAAAATGGACCGTATTCAAGATATTTGAAAAAAAAAAAAATACAAATCTTGAATATAACTCAAAAACACAAAATTTTAAATTTTAGCTTTGATAAATCCTGCGGTGATTAGATTAAAATTTGGGCATAGCCGGAACATCTGAGGGGTATCTATAGGGAGTAATTTTTCTACTTTATAGAATATATCTGTTATTTACGCATAGATAAAAAAATTCTTTAAATAAAAGTTGCTTGTAATGTTATTTTCTATCATTTTTGTCCTATACATAATTTTCCTAAAACGGTCCATATTCGAGAAATTTGTCTAAAAGTGCATAAATTGCACTTATAAGAAAATTGTTCAAATAAAAGTTGTTTGTGATGTCATTTTCTATAATTCTGTCCCATAGATAATGTTTCTAAAATGGACCGTATTCGAGATATTCGCGAAACAATGCAAGTTTTGAATATTGAAAATAATTCAAAAAGAGAAAAATACAAAATTTTAAATTTAGGCTTCAATAAATCCTCCGGTGAAATAATTAAATGTTGGGCATAGTCGAAACATTTGGGGGTACTTTATGGGAGGTCCTTTTTCTACATTTATTGAACATATTTGTTATTTACGCATGGAGAAGAAAATTTTTCAATTAAAAGTTGCTTGTAATGTTATTCTTTATAATGTTTGATTTGTGCATAATTTTTCTAAAATGTTTTCTATTCGATAAATTTGAAAAAACTGCAAAATTCAAATTTTTAAGAAAATTGCTCATGATTTCTCTAAAATGAACTGTAATGGAAAAATTTTGAGAAAAATTGTAAACATTTTAATTTTTCATTATTTTCGTTTGCAATATATATTAGGGTGTGTCATTTTTAAGCAACTTTTTTTTTCAAATAAAAAACAGGCTAAAAACTTTCAGAAAGGTAAAAAAAGAGGCCTCTAAAAATTTGAGCTCTTAATATTAACTATAAGTGGTGCCTATTCCTAACTTTCTATTTAAATAACATGGAAAAAATTACAATGCTCAAATGCCAAGCTACAAGTTGAAAAAAAAAGTTGTGCCCAAAAATGACACACCCTATATATACAGAGTGACGAAGTGATTTTTTTTAAAATGGGTTTTTTTTATTATATTTTCATCGTTTTAGACGACTTAAAATTGGTACCCCGGGATTTGTGGGATAACAAATTATAATTTGAGCCTAAATATCACCTGTCTCATAGAGGGCGTTAATTGCAAGTCATCCTCTGTATTGAACATGATAGCCACAATCGAAAAAAATATTAATAGACCTAAGGAATCTATGGTTAACGGTTTGACCTACTTTTTTAGGACATCCTGTATATAAAAAATGTTTCGAGTAAGATGTGTATGTGTGTGGAAAATATATGATTTACAGGGGTGATACAAAATAACCGAAAAACCCATATAATAACTAGATAGGAAAATTATGTATTGGAAAACAAACATTATGCACTTTAATTTGAGACGTTAAATATTGTTTTCAAAAACACATTCTTCTTGTAGATCATTAGCAAAATCAATCGGGTATACTGTTTAGCGTTTTATGGAGTTAACTTTAATTTCCGCTTCAGACATTGTATCGTCCAATTTGCATACAAATTCGAAGGGATAATTATAAAAATCAATCACAGCCTACTCCTTTTAATGCACAAAATTGTTTATATATTTTTTTTTTATAAAACTTTCAAACCTTCTACCAACTTAACTAGATGATTTTTTTAAATTCGTAAGTTGGGTTAAATCATCGTATTATTATTATCCCATTAGTCTATAGTAAAGATATTTTCCAACCTTTTGAAGAGGCTCACCAAAGGCCAAATCTCGGTCCTCTGTTTTTTAATATATTTTATAAAGATCATTCCTGATTCTTTTAGATTTTATTACTAGTGGCCATTATACAAATACATGTGATGGTAGAAGGAAAACAAAAAAATAGTAGAAATTAGGAGCAGTTTTAAATAAAAGCTCCCAAGTTTCTACTTTCATTATCTATAAAGAATATATTTTTTTGTTTCTCCAACAAATCAGTCAAAAAGTACAAGGAAATGACCAACAAAAAAATAAAAAAGGAAAAACAAACCACCTGTGTCAACATATATCTAGAAAAAATAACTGATTTTTAAAAAAAAATGTTACCAAGCTCTTACAAAGGCATTAAGGTCCATTTACACCACTGGTCGTTAAGAAATAAGCCAAGCTTAAAATGACATTTTCTTATTGACAATGTCAGTTTAAGCTTAGCTTATTTCTTAAGTACTAGCGATGCGAATGGCCCTAAGTGATCAAAATTTTTCATGGTACTCCTTCGAAAATAAACAAACTGTACCACTCCTGCGATCCTCACAAATAAATAAGGAACTAAAAAAAGAAGTAACAGCCGCGGATAGGTTCATGCTATCGTTTAGTAATGATGAAGATGTCAATAAAAGATAGCATGGGTATAAGAATTGACACTATTAGAAAAACTAAACTAGTTTCGTAATGTAAATAGTGTCAGCATTTGGACATACAATAAAATATTGTTCAAAGGAATGAAGGTGTGTTAGATGTACAGTGAAAAACTTAACAATGGAGCATGACAAACCAAAAATGCTCCTCCCAATATAGTCAAGTAAATTAAAAAACCAAACTTTCCTCCTCAAGGGAATAAATTAATAATAAAAATGAGACATCAATTTTATTAATAGAAAAAAAAAACACAAAAAACAACTCAAATACATAATGAAAATAGAACATATAGCTAAAGGAAACATAAGGAAAACCCATTTGTTCAACAGCCAGCCAGCTGAACAAAATATAAAAAATATTGACGTAATGCTTCAAAGTATCTTAGATAAACTGGATAAGATGAAGGAGCGTATTTCAAATTTGGAACATCGAGCTCAAGGAGCGATCCCTAAAGTTAAAAATGGATAATCAATTTAGAATTTTTGAATGGAACGCAGCATTAACAAGAACTAGAAACAGTTCTAGAACTTTTGTTTTTACATAGCAAACGGTTCTTTTTAGATGTTTTTCTTAGAAAATTTATTAAAGATAAAATGTATATTAAAGTGTGATTCTTTTAAGTTTTGTTTTTCTTTTACCAACATATTTATTTGAATTGTACGCCTGAGGATGGCCATAATGGCCGAAACAATTCCCTTCATTTTTTTAATAAAAAAAGTGTAGTATATATTTTGTGATGTTATGATTATTCTTGAGTAATTGGACATTCCAGTTTTCTTTTAGGTATCTTTAAAATTATTTTATATTTTGCATTTATTGAATGATAACTAATACCGCAAAGGAGTATTAGATGTTAGAAACAAGGTTAACCTGACATGACTATTTTTTGTAATGTTATTTAACCTCAAAGTTTTAAATTTGTGCAAGTATTTCATATCCTCTTAATTAAACAATAATTTTACGAACAATTCATTTAAATCCTATGGATATATCAAAATATTTTCTTAATTTTTATGAATATTAACAAACTACAAACTAAGACCCTGCCGGAAAAATGCCAAATCTACATATCGGCTGAAAAAAAAAAAAGATTTTTGGTCCCATCAAAAAGGTCAGGTATCCCAAAAAAGCTCATGGCAATATTAGATAAAAACGCCACATACGCATCAAACATCCCAAAAATTATTAGTTAGTCAGATATTTATACTATATAATATAAAATATTTATGTATTTATAGACATGCCATGTCTTTGAGATACTCTGACTTACAGCGACAGTGGATCCGTTCTTGCCTACTCCGCCAGTAAATATAACAATTAAGTTGCTGTACATAGCCACTAATCCACACATTAGAGTGCTCGAAGGTATTAGGTACCACAATTCAAAAGAATCACTAAAAATCTGGGTAACGGGAATAAGATTTTAGAACAAGTGAATAAGGGGGTTTAATTCGGTTTTCTTCACGGTCAATTGACATAAATGACAAGCAGACATTTGACATAACTGACAAATGATGTTTTAGATACGTCAAATGTCAGAATTACATCCGTATTTAATTGAAAAACTATTTTTACTAGAGAAATATCCTTCATTGTAAAATCATGTTAAAAAACCAGATGTTGTTACAAAATATTTATATCATGAAGTATTCAAATAAAAAAAATAATAATCTACTAAGATTGTGATTAAAAATATTAAATCTGTGTAGTTCTACTTATAATGATAATTTTTTTGATCAGTTTTATTAGTTAGGTACAGATCCATAATTAATTATATTTTAATATTTAATCTCATTAATTTCACTTTAAAATAGCTTCCAAATGAGTATCGATATAATTCTTGTCACAGATGTCAATAAATATTTTTAGAATTAAAAATTTAGGCCGATTATATAGTTATGTGTAATATAGATTTAAATAATTAAATTAATAATGAACAGCCTTGATTTTTTTTACTGATTAACTATAGTTTTTAACGATACACTATCTGGTTTACTAGACTTAAGAGATTAAATTATTTTAGATTTAAAAATGACTGGTAAATTTGCTAAAACAAAAATTTTTATTCGTAATGTAAATTAAATAAAATTTCTTACCTTTATGGACCATATACTTGGGCCAAAAATGGCGGATATAATTAAAATTCCTATAATAGTAAATTGGGCTTCTGTAACATCGACACGGCCAAATCTGAGCGTCCCAGACACATATGTTTGCCAATGTGCACAATAAAAAAGCGTAACTGCACAAAAACACTGAAAAAATTGTACAATTGGAAAAATTTTATTTAAAAGTATTTAATAAAAAATAACTTTAAATAAATATTCTTAGGATAAATGTTAAAATTATTAAAACGTTTGTAATGTGCTTTTAAAGCAAACATTTTAGAAAATATTGTAAATAAATTAGCGTCCAATGAATTTGTTGTAAATGAAGACGCATATTTTGAAAATAGAGCTACGAACTGTGATAGATATTTTTAAAAAATCAAATTAACATCATTGTTGGAACTAAGAAAATTAATTTTTGACCAGCAAAATAAATTTTCTGAAGATGAAATGAATGTTAAACTTTTCAAAAATACTTTTAACATTATTGGATTGGATACCCACTTATAAACTTTATAAATATATGTTCCCAACATGGACTTATTTCCTACAATTTAAAAGTTATGCAGATGCCATCACCATATCTTAACCAAATTTATATGGGACCACCCCTGAAGTACCCCCTTTCTAACAAAAAAAGAATCATTAAAATCGGACACCGTGTTAAAGAATTATCGCTGAACATACAAAAAAAAAAATATCGCGACGAATTGAGAACCTCCTCCTTTTTTGAAGTCGGTTAAAAAACAGCACGTTTCAAAATATCAGGAATTAATACCACACCAACCAAAGTCACTGAAGATGGAAGTCATTCCCCTTAATATTTACATCAAGGAGGTTGGTGTGATGACAATGACACAACTCTGCAGTTAGAATAGAACCTGATGTAGGATCTGGTAAGAAGAGACGTCACTTTTGACAGGAGGCGCTGGATACCCTTCCATTACGAGATATATCTTTCATAAAGTTATAACAGAACAAATAGAAGAGTTGAAAATGGCAAGTAAGATTCATATCTACACTGACAACAGTTCTAAAACGAAACAAGGCCCAGGATATGGAATTTACTTCAGATACTTAAACCTAAACATAAAATAAGTTGAAACAATAGTGCCAGTGTAGTTCAAACCAAGCTAACGGGGATTTTTATACCAGCAAAAGAAATCACAAAAAATATAACTGAAAGGAACATGCACACTTATACAGATAGCAGACAAGCCCTAGTCACCCTGGACAGACCACGAATTTACTCATGGTTATTACTAGAATGTCATGAAGCTTTGGCTGAATGTGGTCACCTTAAAATGGATCAAAGCTCACTCCACATCGAAAGGTAATGGTACTGCTGTTTAACTAGCCAAGAAGGCAGCCAACCAAATACTTTTGGACCTGGCCCTTCCATCAGTAGAGTTATGTTGGAGATGGAGTGTTAATACACTGTGACCTAAAAAATCCATTGTGCCCCTTCTGTTACTAGTGCATAAAAAAATGTCTCAATGAAATTTAGGATCTTCCTCTTACATTTTATATGCTCCTAGGTATGGGAGTCCTTGGATTCTGGAGTACTACACATTCAATCAGAATGTGAATGAAGGTTTTGTTCTCCTCAACATTGGGAAAAAGGAAATATAGAATGAAACAAGCTGTAGGATTGCCAAGGAGTTTTTAAGTTATTCTGACAACACTTTCTGATGCCAAACATGTCAGACACTAAGAACATTGAAGATTTTAGACCTATAACCATCTTGCCTTGCTTAGAAAAAATACTAAAATTATCTGTCTGACAATACATTCTGGTGCCAAACATATATGGCACTAAGAACATTGAAGATTTTAGACCTGTAAACACCTTGCCTTGCTTAGAAAAATACTAGAATGATCTGTCTATAAACAATTTCCTGAATATCTGGAAAAACAAAAAATACATGCTCAAAACCAATCAGCTGTTTTTTTTCCTGTGAAACTGCTTCACAAAAAGTAATAAACGATTTTAAATGCCTAATTGACAAACGTCATACAATCGTAACAGGTTTTTTTTAGAATTACGTTGTAGATAGAAATTTTCTATAAAAAAAGATTAAATAATAATTTGGAGTGAGCAATTCTGCATTTCTAACTGGTTTGATTCATGCTCTTAAAATAGATATCAAAAACAAAAATAAATAATAACATATTGGAAATGAAACTTATGGAGTGCCACACTGCAGTGCTTTGGGCCCTCTACTGTTCTTATATTTTATCAATGATCTATTATAATTATACTTAGGTGAATACAAAATGGATTTATTTGCTGATGATACTATAGTTTACATCAGGGGTAATATTATTCATAATTTAATACCAAATTTGATTAAATATCTTGAAAAATAAATAAATAATTGGTTTAGTAATAATAAAATAAAGATAAATGTAAATAAATGTAAGTACATGATAATAAAAGCAAACAACTCATAAATATTATGAAATATTTGGACATTGTTATTGATGAAAAACTTACTTTTAGTGAACACATTGAATATATTTAAAAAAAGGGTCAGTAGATCTTTATCACAATATACTAAGTGTTTAATAGATAGATAGTATATTAAAATATGTGGTCAAGATGCAGCAATTACTGCTTACTATGCTCTATTTCATAGTCATTTGACATACGGGACAATATGTTGGGGCAATGTTGCTGACACACATATCTCAAGTCTTTATTTTGCAAAAATCAGCCATAAGAGCCATAACACGTACTTCTTAGCAAGGCAGTTGTAGACCAGTATTCCCAGAACTTAAAATTATGACACTCTATGCAGTAATAATCTGTCAAAACCTTCTAATCGTAATAAATAATATTAGCACATTTTTTTCCCACTCAGATATCCATAACTATAATACAAGGTACAAAGATAACTTAGTCCCTATCCAGGATAGACTGGAAAGGACAAAGAAATATTATATTGAGCTATACAATATACTACCACTTAATTTTAGAAATTAGCCTATAGATAAATTTAAACATGCATTAAAACAAATGTTATCCAATAATTGCCTATATATCTTAGAGAAATTTAAATCAATACACAGATGGAGGATGGAGGCTATCACTGTGGCTTCTGAGTGATTCAGTGAACTATGTTGTAAATTTTTGTAAATTTCAATTTTATATTTTTATATTATTATATTTAGGTAAATTTTATTATATATATATATATATATTTAGTTTTAATTGTAATTTGACGAGCCATAAAATGTAATATTTTCTCAGGTAAATAAAGATATTGCATTGTATTTTGAATATTGCTCATTTATTTTATATTATAGGTGCTATGATTCGAACCTTCAAAAACTCCAAAATAGATGAATTTTGTAAAAGATTTGAAAATAATAAATAGAATGCAGGGATAATAAAATTGAATGTCAGTTAAAAACTGAAATAAATTCCATACACAAGACAAAAAAATTACATTTATAAAAATCAGACTGATTTAATGAGTAGGTACCAAGAAAAGTATTTTTGGTGCATAAATTAAAGCAGAAACATTTAAAATGTGTAGTAACGTTAAGAGAATGGTGTTTCAATTACTGCTGGTACATGAAAAAAATCAGGGGTCTACGACTGGTATTTCAAAGGATTTTTTTCTAAAATACTTATTGCAGGAAACAACATTATTGGAACTAAAACTACCTATCTCACCAATGAACTCTACAGATTAAAAGAAATGTCTTACATATAGGTTAAAAAGTTATTTATAGTGAAATTTATTATTTAAAACAAATCAGTGTCTAAAAGTGTCAATTATATAGCATATGACAGTTCAGGGCTTTGTTTTCATAGTCATAAAATGTAATAGTAATTTATTTGAAAAACTCAATGAAAAATTCATTATATTAAATTTGCAAATACTGTATTTAGCATTTATTTAAATTTTAACAAAATAGCAAAAATGTAATTCAAATCTGTTTCAATTATATGTGAATAATATTCTGTTAAGTATGTTTAAAGTCATAAAAAAATGTACTTCCTATAACTTAAATAATTATACTTGCTTTGTATGGTTACCAAACTTGCTATTTACTTTCTAGTTAATTAATGCTTCCATTAATTATTGGGGCATTAAAATCTATCATGTCAATACTATTATATAATTATTTGTAAATTATATGTATTTCTCCATCGAACAATAAACATGGTTCACTTTTATTCTAATAAAACATAGAAAATGATTGTATTGTTATAATTTAAAAATAATAAGTTTTAAATTGTGAACCAAACATTATTATACAACTTAAAATATATTGTTAATATACAGAATACATTTATAAATGTTACTGATATTATTTTATGTAGGTATAAGTGAAGTATATCAAAATTTAGCTCAATAATCCCCAATTGACAGTATTAATACTGACTTTTTGCACACACCGATTACTGAACAATGAAGATAGCTCAAACAAAACTTTTAAAGATGCCAAATTGTGTAATAAAAATGTATATTTTTTCACTGAAAAATTATGACTTGTTCAAGAATCCCTGAGTATCCCTTGTGATCATACTCCAATACTAGCCAAAATATAAATAAAACTAATTTATTCTGTCTCAGTTATTAATTAAATAGATTTTTAGTCAAAAAGAATGATTAATTTCTTATATTTTATATTATGAAATTCTTTAACAAAATGACTAATTGATAGTAAAATATAATTTTAATACAAATATGTTATTGGTCAAATAGGAGTCACTTTTATAAAAATACGTTTGTTTTGAACAGATAAAATCACACAATTGACAATAGCTTGCTAAAAGTGGATTCATCTCTAATCTAGATAAAAATTTCACACAAAAAATAAACCTAGATCATTTAATGTAATTTTAAATGATTTTATTCTATCAAAGGGACTACTATAGAACCTGGTTCATTCTAAGGTAAACATAAATTGATAGTAACTAAAATAATCTACCTGGAAAAACATCCACCCTGGGTAATGACCCAATTGAACTGCTATGCATGCAGAAAGGGCAACAAATACTGTAGATATTGAATCACATCCATGGTCAAAAAGTTCCCCAAGCGGATTAGAAGAGTTTGTCCTTCTTGCTTGCTTACCATCTATAGCATCTAAACTCTGATAAATAAATAATCCAAGTGCACACAAAGCACAAGACCATCTTGGAGCCTCAGCTCTTGCATCTGGCGAATACCTGAAAATCCCTCAGGTTCATGAAAATAAATTTAAACAAATTAGATTGATATAACTTTTAATTAAAACAAACATGTCAACTTATAATTGTGGTTTTAATGGAATATACACATTCACAAAAAATGTTTATTATAAATATGTACAAGGAAATTGTGTGTATGAAAACCACAGATTAAGAAATGTATGTAATGAGTCATGTTAAACTATTTTATGGTTGCACTACAAAATTTGTGAGCTTTAAAATTAAATAAAAACTTATTTAAAGATTTAGAGTACAGAAAAGCTCTTTTAAATGTTGGAACTTTCTGAAAACGAGTTTTCATACGGTGAAAGTGTTTATATTATGTTTTGCCCTAGTGGTCTACTTATACTCACCATATTAATATTAAAGCTGTAAATATATTCACAAAAAGCCCGAGTATTGTAATTAAATTTGGTGCTAGCCATATGGGAACTTTTAAAACCAACCAACACCAATACGGCTGTAAAATTTTATCTAAAAAACTAACACTTTGGCAAGAATATTGGTGCTCTCCCAGCTTCTTCAACTGAACATCCGATAACAGTTTTTGCTTATAAAATTTCATTCTTAAAATTATTTAAAGCGTCCAATTTATTAGTTTATTATCGAATTTTAAATTAAGAGACACATTTGTTAAAGAACGACGTAAAACACATTTAATTTAGTCGCAGGAAACAAATTTAAACAAAACTTTTACCAACACTTTTTTAACACTTTCGATACACAGCATGACATGCTACTTGCGACAAATGACAACTGTGTCATACGATTTATAATCAAATTTTATTGGATGGATAATGGATTGTCGAATGACTAAAAAAAGAAAGGAACAGTCGGAAATGTGAGAATAACGAGAGCAACGAGAGCCGTAGCAGGTAGAACTATATCTATCTTTTTTTTTCATAGCACATTTCATTTACGGATTACACCATTGAAAAGAGATAGTGGTAAGTCAAAGACGTTGTATAACTAGATGAACTAGTAATAGAGTAAGCGCCGATTCCTCCGTCGTGTTAAACGGAGATTAAAATTACATTAATGTTTTAAAATGTCATTGTAAACTTCGTTTAACACAACGGTGGAATTGGTCCTAAACCCATAGTCCCATAGACACCTTAAATTCATGTTTTTATACATATTTATTAAGAAATCACATTTATCGTTTATAATTTGTATTTGTTTTCTTTATTTAGTTGGTTTTTAATTGATTTCACTGACATAAACGCTTAGGACCGATTCCACCGTTGTGTTAAACGAAGTTTAAAATTACATTTTTACATTAACAATGTCATTTTAATCTCCGTTTAACGCAACGGTGGAATCGGCCCTTAATCCATAATTCATCGTATAAAGTGTAGTTTCCACACTGTTGCTGATTAAGTAAATATTTCTAGCTCGTTTTTCTGGTTCGACAACTATGTTTCTGTATCTGGATATGTAAGGTGGGGCTCCAGAGTACGTATGCCTCATAAGGCCCATTGTGCATCCTCTAGGGGCATATAGAAATTGTCAAAACCTGCTGGTTTTAGCTGAGATATGTCTAGAAACGGCTATCTTTCTAGCTCATGAAAGTTATCAACTCGTCAAAAACCTGCTGGTTGGCGCTGAGGGATGTCTAGAGACAGCTATCTACTCTGTTCGTCAAAGTCCTGCAGGTTATGTATCAACGTATCAAAATCTCTTTGTTTTGTGTAGACTTGGCTCTAACTGTATAATTTTTCTAGAGGGAAAAAGCTCTTTGTATTCAAAATATAAAATAGATAATACATTCCATTTTGTCATATTTTTCCATTTCCTTGGGGCAGAGGGATAGTTAATGTTTCCCAGCGCCACTTAATTTAGTTTAGAGCCACCCAATAATGAATGGTCGAATATCCTACTCTTAGACAGTCTCCATCGAATTCTCATATCAATAATACGACATAAATTAAAAATAATTATCTATATTCTTACCTTTATTCTTCATTTTGATCCCATAAAATTGAAATATTTATGTATGTGAAGGTAGCAACTGTCTATATTAATTAGTATATGAGTTTTTAATCTAGTAACATAAGATCTTAGCTGTACAAACGAACGAAAATAAACACCTGTCTAATGTCAAATGTCAGTGTCAGGTGCAGAGGTTTGTGGTCGTGGTCAGCTGACTTTTCGATTCATTTGAAGTCTACATATTTTAAAATCCACCTTTTTCGATCCTAAAAAATGTCTGCAAAGGACAAATTACTGATTTTCCCATCTAGAGGGTAAGTTTACCTCCACATAAGTCGAACAACCATTCAATGGATTAATAATGTTAAAAATTAAATACATTTTCTTGTTAATTTTTATGGGAGTTACCCCTATGTAAATTTGTTTTAGAGCCCAAATGTTAATGAAAAGTAGGCTAAAGGGAGCACAAAAGGGACACAGTTTATTGAAAAAGAAAGCTGATGCTTTGCAAATGCGTTTCAGAATGATTTTGAATAAAATCATTGAGGTGAGTATCACAAGATTTTATTGCCATTTGTTTTTATATAATTTAAATAGGATTATGATACATTCAAGGTATGTATTTTATAGACCAAGACTCTTATGGGAGAGGTAATGAAAGAAGCTGCGTTTTCATTAGCTGAAGCTAAATTTGCAACTGGAGAATTTAACCAAGTTGTTCTTCAAAACGTAACCAAGGCTCAAATCAAGATACGAACCAAAAAGGACAATGTAGCTGGTAAATAAATCGTAATTATCTATTTTCATTTATTATAGACAAGTTTTGTTAATTTCTAGGTGTTACTCTTCCTGTTTTTGAGTGCTACCAAGATGGTACAGATACATATGAATTGGCTGGTCTGGCTAGAGGTGGCCAACAACTTACAAAATTGAAAAAGAATTATCAGAGTGCAGTAAAACTTTTGGTAGAATTGGCCTCTTTGCAAACATCTTTTGTTACTTTGGATGATGTCATCAAAATCACCAACAGAAGAGTTAATGCTATTGAACATGGTAAGGATATGAGCATAGCTATGTTTTTTCACTTTGGTAACCCCATTTATATATGTGCTTTTGGGCATACTGAGTTTTATCCCTGTTATTTCTTTTAATACCCTTCCTTTTTCTTCTATGGTTTCACTGTAAACTTGTTTTAGCTGTTTCTCCTCAATTTTTTATGTTTAAACTTTTTTTAGTAATTATTCCAAGAATCGAACGTACGTTGGCCTACATCATTTCTGAACTGGATGAACTGGAAAGAGAGGAATTCTACAGATTAAAAAAGATTCAAGACAAGAAGAAGATCCACAGAGCTAAAGTAGAAAAGGAGAAGCAAGCCCGTATAGCAGCTGGTATTGTCAGGGAATCAGAAGCTGGCAATTTACTAGATGAAGGAGATGAGGATATTCTTTTCTAAAAAAACACTACTCTCATAGGTTAACAAAAGATATGGATATGTACATATAAATAAAATTATTTCGCAAACAATTTGTAATAGAATATTATTGAAAATGAGTCAAACTAGAGTTGGTTCTAAAGACGTTGGGAAATAAATATTATTTTATATAGATTACACATTTCTGATTTTTTTTTCTATCCATATAAATATAGGCAATGAGCCAACATTGTGTACAGCTTTATTATAAACATATATTCCAGGTTAGTATTAAGGAAGTATTATATGGAATCATACTTGTTAAAAATTGTCTACAGAGTTGCTTTAGTTAAAAGAAAAAAAAATACTTGTTTTGGGTGTAGCTTATTATTTTTTTCGTGATTAATAAACAAAAATATGTCTGTCTACATGTTTATATTGTTGAATAGTTGAAATAAAATTCTGTCAAAATATAACAACCTTTTTATTTATGTCTGTTTGGCGATATTACGTATTTTGTTCATTTCTAAGCCTTTTTTTCCCATCTGTATCTAAAAAAGTCTACGGACTTGTTTGTATGCTTGATAGTCTCCTCTTTTTCTCATCCCATTAACAACGGATAATCTTCCTTGTTATTTATTGGTTAAATTTAATTCGATCAATGTTAAAGTGTTACATTTTTGTCAAGTATAATTTTTTTCATACAAAATTTAATCTAGGAAGTGCGATTATATGACGTTATATCTATACTTTTACTGCAATTCTCTTTTGTTCAAACTATAGTGGCTGTTACGCCCTTAATCAAACACTCCTCGATCAATTTTAGGTGTCTAATTAACCCTAGACGCATTGCTCGATAATTTTGGCTCACCTTGTATATTAAATTAGCACATCAAAGAGACATAATTTCCTGTATCTAATATTAAAATGGTAATAAATAACGAGTACCAAAATGCATAAATTGTTGGACATTTTTTGTATCTCTTCCCCCCTCTGAAAAAAAATCTTTTGGCGCCTATGACCTGTATTATTCTAAGTTATTTTTATGAAATATTTTTGGGATATAATCCCTGTATTAACTAAATGGTAGGTACTTTTGGAATAATCGTAGAAGCTACTTTTTAAATGTTCTTTTTAATTAATCCGAAACCCGCGTAAGATAGCGAACAAACAATAAGTTGGGTCTTAAGTTAAGAAACGTAAGGATTTACGAATTTTCTGTGAAATATGGTATTTTAAATGGTTTGAATTATCGCCCATTTAACGAAATATGAAAATAGCTCAATCTGCGACTGGTCGCAGAATCGGAAAATCGATCCCAAAATTGTTTCAAAAGTAGATCAATCTGCGATAAATCGCTCAATCTGACATCCCTGTAACCGCTTATATTCAAACAGCAGTCTTCTGCGCATCCTGAATTTGTATCCCTGGAGTGGATGTTATTTTGGAACATTCAATTGGTCCGAGTGAGCTAACTGATTCTGATGAACCAATCAAAAATTACTTGCAATTTAAGATGCCTAAGATGGTGGCTAGGTGGCTGCTTACTTGTGAGTGAGAGTGTTACATGGACGCTATTTCAAAAACATTTACAAAAAAAGTGATTTTTCTTTATATGTGCTAGAAATTTGAAAAATTATTTTTCCTTCTTAAGGTAAGTTAATTACTACCTATTACCTTCTAAGCATAAAACTCGTATGTGCATTTTTGGCTATATTGGAGGTAGGTACTATCTTCTTTGTAAATGTTGGACTCATATTTTTAATGTATAAAATCATCTACATCTGATGTATTTTTAAACATAATTGCTCTATTTGAAATAGTTTTATTGTCAGATACGATTTTTATGCGTAGAAGGCAGTAAAGGTCACTAGATTTAAATATTGAAACAAAATATTTGATAAATGTTTAGCCGCTATAAAAACCTACCCAGATTGGTGACATATCACTTTAGTGTTAGAAAATTACAGGTTTGAGATGTTTTAAATATAACTACAGATTATATTTGATGATTTTTATGGCAATTCCAATTTGTAACTAGTTATTTTCGATTCCTTGATAGAAGCATAGTAATTTCAATTCGCGCATGCGCATGCTCTTGATGTGTCAAGAGGTCACGATTTTGATTTAACGCCATTTTATTTGTTTTTATGTTTTAAAGAGTTTCTATGTGTTTCATATTTATTGAAAAAGTGGTACGTAATAGGTATATAGCTCAGATACTAAAGATACATTTAGCAATATTGCAGAATCATATGGATTTTAATCAGGTAATTAGGTAGGATTTCTAAATTTTATATTATTTGTAACAATACTTAGGCAACTTGACCTGTCAGTTAGCTGGGAAGAGATTTTTTTTAAAACTAGGTTTTTCATTTCAGACGACATACAATTTACTTTTGATGTGTTCGATTACCTAAGTATTGTTTTTAATTTTGATAATGTTTTAACGGGAATGGAGTTTGTTTTGTGATTTTAAACAGTGTTTAAACATGAATAAATAATACATTATTTTATTCGAGCATAATTAACTGTTAGAAATTAAGAAAAAACATCAACTAGATACCTACTACTGTCTTCGGTATCCGAGAACTCCGAGAATCCAAAGCAACACGATTACTTAGCTAGTATACAGACGATGTCATGCCAGAGCCGTATCCAGAATCAATAGGTCTAGCGTTATAACGTAGAATAAACATAATTTTTAATTAGTTAGGTTTTCTTGGGTAAATATGAGAAAATATGTTTAGGAGTAGTACATTTCATGACGAAAAACATTTTTTTAAATGCCATTTCTTTATAGATATACTGCATTTTGGGTTTTTGACCACTTATATAAATTTTTGATTATGTTTGTTTCGAAAAATATTGGTTTTTCTATATTTTTTTAGAAAATTTATTATAGAAACTAGTTATTTCTAGTGTTGACAAATTTTTTACAAAACTGGCACTTCCGGATTTTTCGGCGAACAATTCATTCTTGTAAATAAATAGAGGTTAGAAAAAACTGTTTATATTTTGACAAAATCCGCACTTTTTTGTAAAGAATTAGTCTCTGCGACATTCAAAATGGTTTTATTTTTACTTTCCTGCAGGGTTACCAAGTTTTTGAAACAGATATGACGGACAGCAGGGGATTTTAGGGGAAATAAAGGGAAGTAAAAACAACTCGGTCCATTTTCATTCTTTTAATCAACATTACTTATTTTTTAAGAAATCCGTACCTAATTTTGGTAAAGATAGTCTAAGCTTTTTTTACAATTAATTAGGTAATCGCAAAGTTTTTATTTAAGGTACAAAAAAAAAGAATACCTATGTCACAAGTTTCAAACAGAAAAAAAAAAACAAAAATAAACAGCTAAAAAAAATTAAAAATTAAAATAAGTCTACAGGGGTTTCCAAAATATTGGGTAAAATCTAAAAATTGTCATTTTTGAAAACTTAACGATATTGTCTACGACGTTTAAGCAAATTTAACGAAAATTTAGACTTTTGTATTATGAGTTACACTCAATCGACTGGCGGTATCGCAAAATTTCCAGACCCTTCTAGAATTTGAGCAACCATACCCAACTTTGTTTGCTGTTCAATAGCATTAAAATGTAATGGGAAATTTTGAGGAATAGTGTAAAATTTTAAGTTTACAGTATTTTTTTTTGGCAATGGAGTACTTATACAGGGTGATCACTCTTACAGTGTATACCATTGGGATATCCTAAACGGCTAGAGATACAGTGTTGGTTATATTAGAGAAAAGTTGCGCTACTTCATGCCCATTAAGAATCTGCTTACAGGGGTTTCCAAAATATCGGGTAAAATCTAAAAATTGTCATTTTGGAAAACTTACGATATTGTTTACAACGTTTAAGCAAATTTAACGAAAATTTAGACTTTTGTATTATGTGCTAAACCCAATCGAATGGCGCTATCGCAAAATTTCCAGACCCTTCTAGATTTTGAGCAACCATAGCCAACTTTGTTTGCTGTTCAATAAGAAATAACAATCTAGAAGGCCTGAACATTTTTCGGTAAGGCCAGTCGATTGGGCCGAGTAACGTGTTGAATACATGGCTGAAAATTTGTACATTTATAATATAATACCAGTTGAATAAGGAGATAATGATATGACAGGGGTTGCGAGATCCAAATTTACATTTTTAAAAGTAGGTGACAAAAAATTTATTAAAATGAACGTGTTAAAACTTTCAGGAAATATTCCTTGAAATATTTTATTACCAATAATACTATTATTAATGTTATTTTGTGACGTCATGGCGTACTTTTGAATTTTCTGGAAAATACAGTAAATCAAAATTTATTTTTAGTTTTTTAATCGAAAAATATAATTTATTAAACATTTTTAAATAAGAATCTTGTTTAGAATATATTCTGTCAGCTGTCAAAATGACCACCATATTGGATAATATTTAAAAATCTGTGGGAATCCATTGCATTTAAAAACTTGTATGTAAACCTTGCTGTTCCCTTTGAAACTAATCAAAATTACATCTGTGGCGTATCTAAACATTTTTTTTAACAATTTATGGAAATAAAAAAATAAATAATCCACAATTACTCCTGTGAAATTATGAAAAATACACCCACATGTCCATAAAGTGAAAGCAAACCAAAGAAAAATTGAAAATTAAAGAAAGAAAATATAAGTGCTTCGACCAGGGATCGAACCTGAAAACTTAGGGCTGTGGCTGCTCATGCTCTTACTAGTTGAGTTATCGAGGCACATGGCTTTCGACATTCAAACTGGTAGATTTGAAGTCGATTAGATTCCGACTCTTGTCGGCGCACACAAATTCTAATCTCATCCCAGCTCTTTCAATTATTCTTAAAGTCACCGTTGTGACATCGTGTAGAAAGGTTGACAAGCCAATTGTACTAGATTACATTTCTAAGATCCTTCATTCGTTTACAGTGTTATGTTTTCGAGTACTGGTGAACGAATGAAGGATCTTAGTATAAATATTAGATTGTCGTCTTTTCTACACAATGTCAAGGGTGGCTTTTTATTGTTCTACGAAGTGAACTAATTTACTAAAAAATAAATTATTATTAGAATTATCAATTTTAAAGATAAAACAAAATATTCTACGTACTATACAGGGTGTTTTTTAAACATGCGGCAAAAATTCAAGCGGTTGTTCCTTGGACTATTCTAAGAATAATTTGTCCTTTGATTATTTTTGAAAATCTGTTTTGTTAAGTGGAAAAAATAGCCGTTTTTAGTGATTGGAACGTTGTTAAAAAATAATAAAAATAACGAATTTTTAAAAAAGTTGTATGTTCTTGGTTAACACAGTGTAGTACCTATTTTTATTTAGACTATTAATAATTTTAAAAATAATAAAAATGGTTTTCTCGAAAAAAAAAAAAACAAAATATTCTTAAAATAGTCCAAGGAAAAACTCCTTGAAATTTTGCCACTATTTTAAAAACATCCAATATATAGAGGGGGATAAGTAAATACTGATGTATCCCAATATTTTTTTTTATAATTATTATTGTGTGATTTTACTTGACTTTTTTGTATTTGTTATATTTTTAACACGTCTATAACTATCTATTTCATTACCTACAGGGTGATTTACTAAACAGATCATAAATAATTTATCGAATGTGTCAAACAATAATTTTTGATTAGTCCTTCAAAGGTATATACAGTGGATGTTTTTTTATTAGTTAATTTACGCAAAAGATCTTATAAAATTAAATTAAATTATCTAAAATAACAAAAAATATATAAGTAACAAAATATTGTATTTTATTTATTATTAACTTCATTGCTCAACATATCAAGATCTAATTACAGAATAAGAGTACAAGAATAGATAATACATTTAAATTGATTGAACAGTCGGTGAAAAAAGAAAAGAATTATTTTTAACATTATTTGAATATACAGTGTGTCTACTTAAGTTGGAACCATATGGAAAACTTGTTTAGTACTGGTTTTGTGAAAATTTATTCTTAAACTTAAAATTCAACCATCATATATTAATGTTTTTGAGCCGTATACGAGGTTTGTTTAAAATATGAATTTTACTCAAAAGTAAAGTACCTATATTATACGACTGACAAAATTTGATATTGTAGCAGACCAATCATTTCAAACGCCACTCATCGACAACACAACATACACTGCAGACCTCATCCAGTCGAGGCGGGTTCCGTCGCACGTTCGTAGATGGAGATACCGATCACCGCGTACTACATACATAATCACTTGGGCATGTATTGTGGCCATATCCGAAGTGCTGGTATTCAAATGCAGTTATATACATTTTAGTATTTGTTGTTAGTTAAATGAAAATACGTCTTTTATTGTAGAAGACTTTCTTTTTGCTATTTTATTTAGACGGATTAAATAACTTCTCTACAATATTTGATGGTTGTATTTTAGGTTTTAGACCATGATCAACTTTTTATAAATAACTTTTTTCCTAAAATTAGTAATAAAAAAGCTTTCCCTATGCCACTAACTGTATTTTTTATTATCAATATTGGGAAAAAGTACATTTTATCCCTTAAATTTAATAAAGGACTCATTGGTAAAGTGAGTCTCAGAAATTAAGCATGTCTATGCTCTTTATATCTAGGATTGCTTGCAATTCTTGGTGCTGCAGTAGTCCATTCGCATTTTATTCCATTGTTATTGGAGTATTACTCATTATATTGCCTCTTAGGTATAGCTCCTTTGCTACTATATTCAATCCTAGTAATTCGTTCATCCATTTTGTTCAGCTTTTCCAGTATTTGGTCGAGAGTATTGGTAATGGATGAATCTTGATTATCTATTTCTTCTTTTTTTACCAGAGGACGTCTGGCTTAATAATTTAGATTTGTCTATTAAATTGTTTCTATTAACAGGTTTATGTTGGATTACTTGCTGTGACTGTTTAGGTAAGTTTATTAATAAAAAAGTTTTCCATATGGTTCCAACTTAAGTTAAAGTAAAAATTTCTATAAATTCTGTAACTTTCCAAAAAACAACAAAACGTTCCCAAAAATGTTTACCTCTTGTGGTAGGTACGACCCCTGAATATTTTTAAAGAAATTACGCCTAATATTATGAATTGAATAATTCATTCTGTTAATAAAACTGATGCACTGTTATAAAAAACAAATATTAAAATTTGACCCTTATAAAAAATAGTAGATAGACTACATAAGAATAATTTTTTGTAAATCATTTAAATAGAGAATAATTATTTAATAATTCCTCCCCATTTAAAATTTTTCAAATTTCCTAATAATTGTTTTTTTTTCTTTTCAGCGAATCTCCGTAAGAAAACTGAAATCGCCGCAAATATTTCGAGTTAATCGGTAGCACGATATCAATGGTTTAAGTTCATGTTCATTTCACCTCTGACAATAAAGACGTTTGATCGTAGAATGTATATGTCCATTGATGTTCAATGTAGATCTTAGATTTACATTGTAGCGTCTTCGGATGTACATTCTAGGATGAAATGGACAAGGCTGCAGATATACTGTCCTGCGATACGTCTATTTTGAAAAATCTAACGTATCAAAGGGTTGATATAGAATTGAACATGATACGAAGATCATTAATATCGTCGGGATTAGAAGATTTTCCGGACGCGATTTTATCGGAAAAATCTATTGGAAATAATGGATATTGTGAAAAAAAGGAAAGAAATGCAGGACTAACTAATGGGACGGAAAGTAGAGAAGGAATGAGCCGTCTCAAATGGTGAGTCTTTTGAATTAAATTGAGCTTTTTGTAAACAAATTATTATAAAATACAGGGTGTTCCACTATAAAGTAACACACTTTAACAGCTTAAAATGTGTTATTCATTTTTATTTCTATCGAAATTTCTTATACCCATTAGTGTAATAAAAATATAAAATATAAAAAATATGAAAAAATATTTTTACTACATTTTTTATTGCATATTTATAAAATACTTTGAAATATACAGGGTATTCAGTTACAGCGAAACAGCTTTAATGTCGATTTTTTTTAATGACGCACTCTACATTTTATCACTATTGATTTCAGCTTAAAATTTAATGTACATTACCAATGTTTTTTATTTTGCGACGTTGCCTATTTATTGTAAAAATATGAGAATTTACTAAAAAATTGTTTTGGCTTCTAAATTATAATTCATTTCATTTAAAATTCGAAGTGTTAAATTGTTATGCAGGACGTTTCAAGTTTCGTAAATTTTTTTCGATATTTTAGAATAACCTTTGCTTTTGAATTTTTTGTATCATTTTAAATTATTTACAAAATATTATTTTTGGAATATTTTAATTGATGGGTTAATTATTGAATAAAAATCTGTTAAAAAACACATATTTATTTACAAAATAATAATACACATACATTAAAAATAATTTTAGCAAATAAAATTATTTCAAGACAATTTAACCACCATTAATGAATTGAACAATACTTTTATGCAAGTAAAAGCATTTCAATTCTACACCACTGGTCAAGAAAAATTGGTTCACTGGTAAAATGCTGGTGCACTTTGATCGAGAGCATGGAGGTATAAGAGATCGAACAATAAATATAGATTGGTGTTCCTGGTAAAATGTTAAATACAATAAGGCATTTCATTGTAACCTTATTACAACATACTTGGTAACAGTATTGTGGTTATTCTGGTGATGTCATACATACCGTGATAACCTAACATATGTAACGTCATATGTCAAACTTAATTTATGTCAGGGGATTTCTAAAAACAAATTTGAATTATAATAAATTTTAAGATGTTTTGATTTTTGGTTATTTAGTTATTTTGTTGTATTTGTATTCTAGGTATTTCAATAACCGGTATTTTAAATTTAATTTATTTTATAGTAAACACAAAAATGTACAAACAAACAAAACACACCCTAATTACAGAAAAAATTATCTGTTCAAAATCCTCTGCGTTTTGTGAATGCTCGATATGCACCTAATCACATAACCGACGTAGTTGAAAGTAGTTACATGCTTTGATAACATATGACATCATAGAAGTAACCAAACAGTTAAAAGAAATGCTCTGGTAACATAAAGTATGATCTAGTAAGTTGAGGTAAGCTTATAAAGAAATGCCTATAATTGACAACATTGTCTCATGTCAATTGTCTTATGTCACTTGTCCAAATATTTACAATGAACTGGAGTGGAGTAGAATGCTTGTCAATAGGCTTGAGATTCGATTCTATGGGCGCAGACATGTTATTTTTTTATCTTACTCGGGAGTATTTATAATAACCATTCTGTATTCCACATTGTTATTGTCTGATCCACTAGCTTGTGGACTGAACAATAACAATGTGAAACAGAAAATGGTTATTATAAATACTCCCAAGTGAGATGAGCAATAGAAATGGCTGCCCTCATTGAGTCACGTCTTGTTCTATTGATACAACATGCCTTCTACCCCCAGTCCAGTTCATTAAATATTTATGTCTTAAGTTTGACTGTCAATTAAAAAATATTTCATATTATAATTCTAAGCACCATTATTGCTTAACAAAGCTTCTGATTTTCGTTTCATTTCTCTCTTTTTTGCTTCGGTATCAGCTAGTTTAGATAAACCAAATATCATAAAGAGTATTATTATACAGGAAACTACAATTATGCTGATATTCATCGTCGAAATAGCTTTAAAACTGTTTATTATTCTGCTTCTAACAACATGATCGCAATCTTGCCAGTTGGTCCAAGTGTTATTCCAATCCATAGGATTTGCCCTTGGGTCTCGAGGTTTATTTAGGGCAGGTACTATGTTTTTCCTATAGTCCAGAAGAAGTTGTTCTAGGTTTCTTACGATGTTTGGTCTTGTGGAAGCTAGATTTACTCTTTCGCAAGGGTCTTCCCTTATGTTGAACAAACACGGCGATTGATGAAGATTGCACTTGTTCTCTTCTAATTGATCTTCGAAATTAAATGACCCGCAACTAACTGTAGCTTGCGTTCTTAACGTTTTAATATCATTTTTATCAATTATTTTGAGTTCCCTCCTCCTTCTCCTGTTTAAGTTCTTGTCTTTAATCTGTTGGTAAGTTATTAGTCCAGCGAAGGCTGCGGCTGTTTTTGAAGTTAATATTTGGTTGACCTCGTAAGAATATTCCGATTTTTTGCCGTCATCTCCGTACCACAAGTCCTTTCGTTTTCCTGTAGAGCCATATATATATTTCCAATCGCCTTGTCTGATTGCTCCCCACCTAGCAGTATCATCGATATTGTAGAGCATTTCTGTTCTTGGGCTCTCTTTGTCTTCGGAAATCGATTCCCACATATCTAGGCCATCGATATTTGGAATTTGCGTTTTATTTAAACCTAAAAATAATTACCATTATTGATTTCATTAATGCTCTTGACTTAGTTAAAATATTTTTACCAGCTATGGAGTAGAATGTTGGCAACCAGTCGGAGATATGCATCAAATGATTGGAAACTCTTTGGGATTTTTGAATGAGGGGACTCCATATTGCTGCTAAATTTCTGTTGCCTCCTTCCCATGCCGTCTCTTTCATCTGAAACAGGTTTTTAGTAGTGACTTTTTCTTTTTTACATTTTGTACATTTTTTACAAGTTCTTATCGTTGGAAATAATTTTTTTTTATAGTTTTTAAAGTATTTGGTGTAATTTAATATGTTTTTAATACGATGGATACTCCTTAAAATAGCTTTAACATAATAATATTAATTGAATAGACAAGTTTTTAAATATCCCTATAAAAACATTCTAAAGGGTTTTAGATCAGGTGTTTAGGAGGCTTCCTCGAGCCAAGCCACTGGTCCTCCTCTTCCTATTCAACGATTATTTATCGGAGTTCCTATTTAGGCGTTCTCGATCAACCAAACTAAAATGTGGCATCATCTTGCATGAAACAGATATGAATGAATTTAAAGAACTTACATTTTCATTTTTTTGTCCAATATTTTGAATCTCCCTGTAGATGTCAAAGGTTTCTTAGCACCATTTTGATGAGCACAAATTTGTACAACTTTAACCAACTTTCTATCTATTTCCGTTTAAGAAATAGCAATCCTGTTCCTATGAAATAGTAGGGACCCCGTTAATGACATAGTGGTCTATTCTGTGACTATAGTTGTTATCTGGCAACTTTCTAACCACTTGCTATCTTACCACTTTCATAGCGACTGTATATAACAACTTAACAAAAGTAGCTTTTCTAGTATATTCACGAAGCTAAATTAGTCTATGCTGTATCATACAGTTATGCTACCGACCAAGTTACTATGATCAAGGTCAGTTGTTGTATTAACAGAATTCTCTAAGTAAAATCTGTAACAATTAGTGGTTACAAAAGTTGATTCAGAGTTACTTGGAAGCGACCAAATATTCTTGATGGTTAAACGTAACAAATAGTTGCTAAGAAAGAAATATGATGAACTCTGGATGATACATATTTTAATACACCGAGAAATTAATAGAAAGTATATTTACTGACAGAATAATATATATCAGAACTAAATAGATATATTATTTTCTGTAATGGTTTGATTTAGGAATGAAGTAAGATTTCAGCAAAGCCTATACTATTCCTTGCGATCTGTTTATGTCACTTAGTTTTCAATAGGCCCATTGTGCATCCTTCACGGGAATTTTAAGTCCTGCCTCTCAGCTCTCCAAAACGTTTGCTAATTGATAATATATAACATCACTGAGAGCTGTCAATGCGAAATAGGATCGTCAGCTGTATAATTCTGTATAATTCATTTAGTTAGTCATATATTTATTTATTTAGTTAGTCATATATTATACGTAGACCATTTTAATGTAGCAACTTTGGGTATTCTAAGAGGTTGTGGGCCCAGCTACGGTTTAATGGCGGGTTTGAATGAAATGGCGTGAATCATAGGATAAAATAAATGAAAGCAGCTCGTTCAGAATTAAAAATGTTAATAAAGAGAACTGTGACACCTGGAAGATGCAAATAGAAGCATCATTCGTGAATATACTTAGTGAATGTTAAACGCCATTGTTTCAATAGTAAATATAAGTCAGATATTCTCTTAATTAGTACTTTAGAATTGAAGCATGTTAAAGGTTATACCAATAGCTATTAACATTGATTTCTTTGTAAATACCAACTTTTAAAACTGAAGACTGATGCTAAAGGTGTCATTTTTAATGATAAAAAAATATGTAACCCAAGAAATCAAACTTACATTGAAAAACTTCAATAAGTTCAATGTAAATATAAATTTATTCCGAGAAATGCAGTTCTTTAGTAAAAAAAAGCTGCACCACCACTGTCCTGCTCTATAATTTACGGACCTATTTCACTTTTATACTATTCTCGTCGTTTTGGAATTTTTCCTTTTTATTCCAACAGAAACGGAAAAATATTTCAATTTATTTAGCAGGTAGCGCCAATCTACGAGTATCCCTATTGACATTTATTTCTTTACGGTATATTAGGAATAAAGAAAATGAACTAATTTATATGCATAAAGGCGACTTTTTATGGTTGCTATAGGTATAAAACAGGAACTCACCCCTCTGAAAGGATAATTCGAACCGTGATTTGCATGGATTCCTTCAGGTGCAGCCCCGTTGTCCGACATAAAGAGAATCACGGAGTTTTGTAGCATTTGCTTATCGCGCAGAGCCGCTATCACCGTTCCAACGCTTTGATCCAACATGGATACCATGGCTGTAAAGAAAATTAATTAATCAAAAAGATGAGAAAGCTCAAAATTATGAATGTATTTAAGCTAGAGTAAGACAATGAACATAGCAAGATTAATTTAATATAGGAAATTAAACTTGTAAGTGATTCCAATAACAATATTTAGACATTTCGAGATATTTCGTGGATATTTAGAGATATTTCGTGGATATTTCGTGGATATTTAGAGATATTTAGAGATATTTAGAGATATTTAGAGATATTTAGAGATATTTAGAGATATTTAGAGATATTTAGAGATATTTAGAGATATTTAGAGATATTTAGAGATATTTAGAGATATTTAGAGATATTTAGAGATATTTAGAGATATTTAGAGATGAGATATTTAGAGATATTTATTTAGAGATATTTAGAGATATTTATTTAGAAATATTTAGAGAAAATTTGTTTTGACTTATTACCTGCATTGATAGGATGATCTATAAAAGTCGTAAATTCTTTATAGTAAAAAATAAACAAAATCAGAGGCGTACTTTGGGGTTTAATCGTAAAGGGTGAATTATGATTGTTATTATTATTATTAAAATAAACTTACCTGCGTAGATACGTCGTTCTGGGTCTTTAATATGAGCGAACTTAGCAATTTCTTCATCAGGTGCTTGCAGTGGATCAACGTCGTTTCCAGCATGCGGTGCAAGATGGGCCATATACAAAAACATTGGATTATTAGTGTCATGCTCACGTATCAATTTGACAGCTTCATTAGTAAATAACGTCGTACTGTACTTGCCTTTAGCGTCCCAGTCGACATCAAGATTTCTTCTGAAATCGTAACCAGTTTCGTCTGAAAACTGAATAAGAAAAATCTTAGAACTTTTTCAACACTTATCTGTGTTAACATTTAAAACCACATCTTAATTTAGAACGTATTGTCTAGAATTTGATGTTCTGGATACAGCAGACTCGGCTAATTAGGGATGAGGAAAGATGGAGTTGACGTCACGTGATGTAAATAACACCACTTTTGCGTCAGAGCAATAACTACTAGAGGGAGCGCAAACAAGTTTGTAGACAATTGTTGTGTTCGCAACATCTGTTGAGAAAGTGAGGAGCGGGTACAAGGGGGAAGGTAAACAACCACTCTTATTCAGTGGCGTATCATTTCTCTGTAAGAACCCACGTCCAAACTTTTTATTTGTAAAAAAAAAACTAAAAAATTCGATAAATTTACTGTTTTTAAAATGTATACCGTCTTATATGTGTCTGATTTTTCCAATTAAAGAATAAAACCTCAAAATCAATACATCTATTTTATTATAAATAAATACAGGAGTGACTAGTTTAGGCCTCACAGGGATATCTTCAGGTCTTTATTACAATAATCGTTAATTATTATAAAAGGAACAATATAAGAAAAGGTTAGTCACTTACGATTAAAATTAAAAAGTATAAACCACAAAATTGGATCCATATTGTAGCGTTACAGTATTGTAGAATTAAAGATGTGAAAAAAGAAAAATAAAAGAGCAGTGCAAACTTAACTAAAAATAAGAAAAATGGGTACGGAATCTATAAGAGAAGAGGCGAGAATGAGCAATTACGAATGCATTTGAACTGCTCGAAATAACAAATAAGGCTGATAATGTAAAGTAGTGGTATAGTCCCCGTCAAGAAGGTTCGGATATGTGAAAGAGGATTCGGCGTTTCTCTGTAAATCTTGAGAAAGCATATTTTCACCATATTATTAGATTATAAATCTTAGCTATACATTTACAACCCTTAAAACGCTATAAATAATTATATTTTTCGTAGAATACATATCAAAAATCAGAACTAGCGCTGTCAAACTGGGAACGCTGAATAAATATACTGATTACAGGAGAGGGAATAGATGTAGACTACAAAATTTAGCGCGGGGAAGGGGGGAAGACTCTCTGTAGTAGTAATTGCTCGAGGACTTTCGCCACATTGATATGAAATTTTGACTTTTGTCCGTGTAGATGTGTCAATGACCTTAATATAAAGCTATCCTGATTTCTAAGCCGTTAGGGCGTTCTACGTCACATTTTTCAATGGCGCACTACTTGTGTTGTATGAATTTTTTAATAATAAAAGTAGTGGAAGCGAATTTGATAAATTACATTAATTTTTACTTTGAAAGTGACATGAATTAATTTGTGCACCCAATGCTCACCGATGCTTTGATCATATGCGTGTAGTAATCGTGAAACCCTTGCCAGTATCCATAATGTGTGTCGAATCCTCTAAAAGTCGGTGTATATTCTTTTTTAAAAAAACCCAAGTGCCACTTTCCAATAGCATGCGTTGCGTATCCATTCTGTTTTAAAAGTTGCGGCATTAGCGTTTCATTTAGAGGAAGTCCCCAAGGTTCCGGCTCTAGTACGACCAAATGCTGCATGCCTGTAAGAAAGCAAAGTTTATTCGTGATTTGCTAAATCTACTCTTAATCAAGTTGAGGCTTATAAACCTAACAAAGACACTGACGTTGAATAAAGATCAAGTAGTTGATTACGATACAAAAACAAAATAAGTCTAGTCTTGCTTTAGATACTGTAGATATAGCAGCAAGCTAGAGATGAAGCGCTGATAGCTTTTATTATTTGAACAAAATCCAATATTAAATTATAAGATGAAAGATACTACCGTTCGTCCAATCTAAACTTTTTTACGTTTTTACTTTCAGAAAACCATATTTATTTGACTGCAATAGTTTCAATATTGTTCACTTATTTAAAATTTATTTATACTCAAATACTATGTTAATTTTTTTGTTTTTTTTATATACTAATTGATATTAAATATATTGATCTGCTCACAACGATGTCTCAACTAAAACTAACTTACTGCAACAGCCAAACAGCCTATTTATATAAAATGCAACACACTGCACCGAATTTTAGATATTTTTGAATGTACTATATCAAATTTGGCAACTTTTAGCAGTTTCTACAGCATTCGCTTCGTCGGATGAGGCAGCAGTCCTGTCTACGAAGCGTAAGCATAGGCGTATCCAAGGGGTTTTGGAGTTGACTTGTTTCATCAAATATTCTCATGGTAACGAAAAAAATTAAGGAGTAAAATGACTAAATAAAACAGAGGACTTAAGAAATTAAAGCATGACCGGACTGACCGGAAATTGTTCTCACGACAATAAAGAGATTGTCCTACATGACGAAATTCGTTTGGAAATTTTCCTTGTTTCTAGATTATAATGCCTTCAGCTACTTTCTACAATATGGGGATTGAATTAGGTATTAAGTTTTATTATGGCTTTCTTCAAGTTGTTTTAAACTTCTCTTGTAATTAAATCAGGTTCAATATTTGTTTTTATATCCTTTGCAATTTCCTTTGGAGAGATTGGTTTAATGATTGAGTTATTTATGTCTGGAAGATTCTAGGTCTCCTATATTTGGTTAGAATATATTTTGTAGGTGCGCTGTGAACCTGTTAACTTTTTGTATGTTATTTATAGCTCGACTGCCACCTGCATTCTGATTGGATCAATCTGTCTTTTTAATCGTTTTAGTAGCTTTCCATAAGGAATAATCAATGGCTTTATCGTTTGACAACTCATTAAGGTACTCACTAATAGATTCATTTAAAGATTACTTCCTAATATACTAAACATAGACAAATTGGAATAATTGAAATAATCTCTTGGAACTAAATAGGCTAAGATACTTTTGGGTTAATATTACCAGAAAAAATCGGAAGCCTGTACCTACATGAGCAAGAACAGACTACACATTTTAATAGGAGCCATTGCCGACTCAAACTAAGAGTAATAAAATATAGTGTGAATGCAGGTTTTTTGAGGAGGAGGACGAAACTTCCATTCACATTCTGACTGAATGTGTAGCACTTCAGAGTCCATGGGCACTATCAATTGGAAGAGTAATCTTACTAATTCGGAGCAACTCCAAATCTTTGAAAATATAGGATTGGAAGGGTATTAGCGACAGAAGGTGGCACAATAGATCTTTTTGGTCGCAGTCTATTAATATCGCATATCCCACATAACATAAACATCGACAATATGGCGACAATGTTATAAAATAGATAAGATACCTTGCCAGTAACCTTCGACTTCCAAGAAGGTTTCTAGTATATGCAAATTGTGAGAATAATTCAAAAATTCCAATAGTATCGGATAGAAACAATGGTCTAACGTAAAAATTACAAGAATCATTATACATAAATAGCTTATATAACAATATATATATAGTATATTATGTAATTTTAATATTAATAAATATAAGGCACACAGATATTAAATATTTTAATTTAAACATCCTATTTCGGTGAATGACTGAAACGAGGAACAGAAATTAATATTAATGATATGGAATTTATCTTAACAATGTCTAACTTTAAAGACGTATGAAATTGTGAAAGGTGGAAGCTCAATAATTAATCTCCTTCTAGATACAAATATATAGCTATCACATTTTAGAAAGAGAATCTCAGAAAAGTTAAGATTCGTTCAAAATTGTTTCAAATGAATCTTACACTTCAAATATTAATGCAGTAGGTTGACATTAAAATTTAATTTTCTTAAATATTATTATTCTTTGTATAAAGTGGCTATAAAAATGTCTATGTTTTTGTATAATTATTATTTTTGTATTTATTATGCCATTATTGAAGATTTTCTTGAAGTGAAATTTGTATTACTAAATTTTGAAATGTACGTTACTACATTTATTTATACTCTTAGACCTTCGTTTCTGTGGCAGTAGTAAATGATAAAGATTGAGCACACCTCATCTTATGACTACCTGACAACGTTAGTTGTAGTTATTTATATTTTTATTACGATTATTAAGACTCATACCTTTATATTCATGATAGGTCATAACCAAATTCAGTTTATAAAAAAGAACAAACGATTTACATGTTAGGAAGTTCGTTCTAGATTATATGAGTATAGTCGACCAAATATATACATATTTTATATCTTAAATTCCTTATTGTATTTTATGGAAACAAATAAATATATGTGAAGTTAAAAATTTACAGCCACCTTGGTAATGCATGTGTATACATACTATACAGCCAGATTGTTAATAATTTATTGTTAAAATATTCACCTGTGTGTATGGGATATTTTCCAGTGAGGAAAGCTGCTCTTGATGGTGTACAAAGTGATTGAGTGTAATGCGTATTTAAAATTACTCCATTGTAGGCTAGGGCGTCTATGTTGGGGGTTGGAATTTCATCGCTGCCGTGGAATCCTACATCATTGAAGCCCTTAAATATTAAATAATTTGTTTGGTATTTAAAACTTTTACATAAATATGATTTTTAGTTACTATTTAAACGAAAATAGTTATCTTTAAGGGTAAAAAATATTTTTCTTAAATTAAAAAAAAAAATACAGTATGTCCCCCTAAGTTGGAATCATATGGAAAACTTTTTTATTATTAATTTTAGGAAAAAAAGTTATTCTTCATAAAAAGTTTTACATTATCTAAAACCTAGAATACAGTCATCAAATATAAAAATTTTCAAGCCGTATACGAGGTTTGTCAAAAAATATGAATTTTGCTCAAGAGTAAAGTACGTTTATTTTTGACAAATTCGAATATTTTTATTAAGAAAATTGCTAAATTCTTCACAAACCATCAAGAAAAGGAAAGCGTATCATGTTTATAGGAGAAAAGAGAGAGAATGTTTCAAAAGCTAAAGTAATTTATAACGTTTTCAGATGTAGAAAATTTGTTTTTTCAGTATAATTGCATTTTTTAATGTAATTTTCAATTCTAATCAACTTTTCTTAATGAAAATTTTCGATTTTTTCAAAAATAAAAACGTACTTTACTCTTGAGCAAAATTCATATTTTTTGACAAACCTCGTATACGGCTTGAAACATTTAATATTTGATGACTGTATTCTAGGTTTTAGATAATGCAGAACTTTTTGTGAAGAATAATTTTTTTTCCTAAAATTAATAAAGAAGTTTTCCATATGATTCCAACTTAGGGGGACATACTATATACAGGGTGTTTCATAATATATGCGCAGGATTTCAGGACGTGATAGCTGGTCCAAAAATATGAAAAAACGTTTCCATTACTTTACCCTCTAAAATGCACCATTTTCGAGATACAGGGTGTTGAAATTGAAAAAAAAAACATTCTACGCCACTGGAAAAAGTACGGTTTTGAGACGCCCATTTGAACCGCCAATGTTTTTTACACAAGAGAAAAATCAAATTTTAATGTTAAAATACATGGTCATACATACTTGATGAAACAAAATTTGATTTTTCTCAAAAACGGTCGACTTTAGAGCGTATGACCAAGAGTACCTTTTTTTGTGTAGAAAACATTGGCGGTTCAAATGGGCGTCTCAATACCTTACTTTTTCCAGTGGCGTAGAATATTTTTTTTAAATTTCAACACCCTGTATCTCGAAAATTAACTATGCTTTTGTTAATTAGTTAATTTTTACTAGTTGAAAGTTAACATAAAAATACTGATTATTTCTAAACTAGAAACCTATAATTTTTTTCACTTTTTGGAGCTAGTTTTAAAAGGGTTAAGAAAAGATACTCGCTGGAAAAATTCAGAAATTCTGATTTTTACTTTTTATTAACAATCATAGGTATTAAAAAATTAATAATCTAAATGAAGTAATCAGAAAAGTTTGTTTTCAATTATTGTTATTTTTTTTTATTGCTGAAAGCTATATCGGGTCGGTGGTGTAGCGGTCTAACGCGCTTATATTCATTTATAAGCAAGTTTATGTGTCAGAAACTGCTGGGCTTCGAATTCCACACCAGACCATGTGGATTTTTAATTAAATTGCATGGTTCGGTATAGGATTTGATGTGCGCCTTATTAATAGAAATTCAATTTCTGTTGATATGACATGCAGATTATAAAAAATTGCCATACATTACCGTTTCGATGATGGTGGGTGAGGTTTTCCGGGTTTTCCTCACCTTTAAGTCAAATGGCACCATCAATCATCCTTAAGTCGCCCCGGAGTGCCACGGCAAATAATAATAATAGCCGTCCCTTTCCCCGCACAAGCTCAGCTTTTGGGGTTAAAATTCACTCGTAAGGGGGTGAATTAGGGAGAGTATTATTATTATTATTATAAATCAATTTAAAAAAAAAATTGGGAATTTATTCCCTGATGAAAATAATGATTTTTAAGAAAAAAAATCGTTTTCTAAAAAAAAACAATCTTGTTAATTGACATTTTTTTTTTACATAATATTAAGGAACCATTTTTTTTTAAATATTTATCAAGTTCTTTCATATTATTAAAAAAATTGTTTTATTACCTTTTCGTTTGTTATAAACAAAAATAAATTTTGCTTGATGCTTTAACTACTGCCCTTAATTTGTAAAACATTAGGTAATATTGATTGTTTTAACCATTTTATATTGTAGAATCCCCTTATTTGTAGGCCTAATGATGGTCCAAAGAAGCAGAAACTGGTCGACTCATTTATCAACTCGTATAATTAAAATTATGTGGTAACTGACTTTGAGTTTTCTGTCTTCTATGGAAATTTACAAAATTATTATTCTTTTCTGTGAATATTTTAAAAATTAAGAAATTTTAACGGAATACCATTTATCCACAAGGAAAGTGCAAGGGGTAAATGCCTCTTTTGATGTCACACCTCAAAAACCAAGCCCAAAATGTTATTTTTAGTTTACAACTTATTCAAGGAGAATGACATCAGGTATCGGCACTTGAATTCCAAACAATTATCACACCTAACTTACCATATCATCTGCCATAATTACGATAATATTCGGCTTTTGGGTATCCATTAAACCAACACCGAAAAGTAGAAGAAACACGCACCACCTTAACACCATTTTTTTTATTTAACTTTTATTAACACTTCCTAGCCGCAAACTATTTTTGGTATTAGTAATATATTAAAAACAACCTTTAGCTATTACCAGTTGTACTTGGATAGGCGAGTTTACACAATTTTACTTAAGAGGGGACCGCTAGTATCTAGTATTGATGTATATATCGCGATCGTGAAAATATCCAGTTTGTAAAGATTTTGACATTGACCCTGTTACTGTTAGTTGTCTCAGTTAGGTTTGTTTGTCGAAAAATTATAATAATTATTATTAGAACATAATATTTTTTTTGATTAAATTAAAAAAAAAAAGAAACAGGTTCATAGTTATTTGTGTAACTAGTGTAAAAAGTGTTTGTTTATTTGTTACACGATGCAGTTTGCAGCTCGAGACGTAGTCGAGTTGTTTATTAATGGATTTTTCGTTTTTACTGTAGAGGAATATATGCTTCTAGATGTCTATAAGAATAAAAAAACAATAGCAGTAACCCTATTTTTCTGTTTCACAGTGCATATTTGAACGATTTATGCGGCCAAAATTATTGTTTGGTCTATATCGATTCTAAATGATATTAATAAATAAAACAAAGGTTATAATGTTTAATTAATCTATATTTATTAATAAAATATATAGATAAACAATTTTATCTAACATTATTCATATAAATTTTCATCTTTGCTTTCTGAAGAATTACCAGCTTCAAGCGGCTTTGCAGACATTAGGAAATTAATTGTTTCTGGCAGAAAGACTTAATTTTTGCTCTTTTAACGTTCCTCATGCTACTTAAGAGGGGGTATGAATTTAAAAGCAGGCGAATAAAAATATCCCTGTTACAGTTTCCTCTAGAGAATCTTGGTGGTATGAGCGAAAATGCTTGTTACGTGCTTCCGCGGCGTCTTCAGACAGCTGTTCAATAGGCAACAATGGAGTTTTTATTATAACTGCACCATGAATAAGTATTTTGTGCATCGTTGTATATAAACAAAAATGTAAAATCTGTTAAAATTTTATTTATTAACCTATTATTATAAAAAATAAAAATAACTGAATAAGATAAACGAAGTAAAAAACACTTTATTTACAAATAATAAAAAAATATATACACAAGCCCTAACAATAATGAAGATGTCAAATTAAAATCTCCTCTAAAGATTCATTATCAAATTCAACTTGTTATCGACTTTATTATTTACTTCAAATGTGGAAGAAACAATGCAAAATACTTTATGTTCATGTGTAATTATTTCGTTTACCATGCAAATATCTCCTTTTTTCAAGTTATTCATGGAAAATCGCAATATCTCCATATACTTGCTTGGCAGATCTGAAAATAAAATATTTAATAATGTGATGATTTTTTTGGTATTTTCAAGAGTACATTTTTATGGGTTCCTATTTTTTTAAATTTTTGTTCCAAATTATTTCATAAAATATAGTAGATTTATTCATGTAAATACTAGACATGTGTATAATAGTTATAACGGAAAGAGTTTGCATATTTACAAAAAGTAGTCATTCATTCACAAACATGTACTTATATTACAATTATTTACAAGACATAACAAGTAGGTAATTCTCGACCAAATAAAAATAGTATTACAGTAAATATATGTGCACTTCTAAATAGTTTTAAATGTTATTTAGTTTTAATTTTTGAGGTAGGCAAACTCTTTTTATACAATAACAAATTTGCTATTTCTCAGGTAATACGTAATTATACTTTTACTTCTAATTATAGAAATAAAACCAACAACACAAATTTAAACGTCAAAAAATATATTTTATTTATAAATATAAATGAACTAAAGGGCAAAGAAAGGTAAAATGTTTATTTTTGAAAAACTGTTACTGTTCGACAACCCTAATGACTTGAGATAAATATGTTTTTACTATAAGGTGTATTGCTCCATATAAACTGTAACTACTATTAAAACAAATTATAAATAAAGTCTTACATACCTTTGTGTCTTTTATAAACTGAGTATTGTTAAAAAATGCAGTAATCATCTCGGTAATCATATCATAGTTTACAATTGGTAAAACACTCGAATCAACTTTTATAAATTCAACTGACAAACTCATATTAATAATAAAATTAAACTAAATAGCAAAGACAGAAGTAATAAATCTAGAATTGAGAAAAAAAGTATACAAAACAAAAAACGAATATTAGGTTAGGTGGTCTTTCTTTCACTTGAGGTTTAAAGGGTACGTAATTGCGTTTCAATTATACTTCCACAAGTGTCTCTTCGTCGACGACCACCATCTCCGTCAAACCCTGCTCAAAGGCGTACAACATCCCTGGACAATGATTATAGTTCGATCTTTTTGGCTTTATATCCCCAATATTTTTTTTTAAATTTTGTATAGTTTTCATTCACCTCGTAATAATTACAAATTATTTAGTAGACCCTATAAGTGGTTATTCTTATAGTTAAAATACTAAAAGCATGAAATTGTTTAAAAACCATCAATGATCAATGAATAATTAAGAAAATTGTAAGTAATATAAAAAGTGTTGGACCATATCTTTCATTTTTTTTTTCAAGGATGTTGATTTTTTTTTTGGTTTATGACATGCAAAATTTTAAATAATTACTTTTTTTTACAATAACCAAACACACCTTTAAAAAAATAGTAAATAAGATTTGGTTTATTTGCCAGTCAAGTTTTTGTTACATTGTGTTTTAAAAGGTAGTAATTTGTGCAACAAGAGTGGATATGATTGACCATGTTGCAAGAAGAATAATTAGTTGTTGTACTCATAGTTTGATTGCGATACGGACAGTCCATTAGAATTGAATAGTATATTTTTTTTACAACCTACTAATGAAAATCTACAAAATTTTAAAAATTAATTTAGAAGTTAATATTTCAAATATAATTATTATACATATACTGAAATTATGAATTTTCCTGATAAAATAAATCTGAACAATGCTTTCAGTCGTGATATGAACCCGAACTCACTTTTTGCAATTTTTATGGCATCAAGTTTATAATTGAATGGGTTTTTTTCTTAATTTTCCATTAAAAAAGTTGTTAATTCTTCAACCGTTGAGATAACAGTAGTCAGAATCTAGAACCAATCCTTTGAACAGAGGATATGCAAAAAACAATTCTGTCATTCACGGTTTTTAATACTTTATAGGAGATAATAAAGGTAATATTTTAAAAATGGCTTAGAGGGCTCAATTCCCCACTTTTACCCACCCCTTTCATAACTTTTAGAAGCTTTTTTTAGTAAAACTTTTTGATTTGTATCATATTTCAGATTAGACCTATAAAAAATCCGTTTTAAATTATTTTCATGTAATAATGAAGATTACATTTTTACATGGTACTTGTCAAAGAGATTATTGGTATTATTTGTAATGACTACACAACAAGTTATGTTCTATTCTCTAAATTTACCTTATTAAATCAAATAAATAAAATTTGTTTGCTTGAAAATGAGATGCATAGATAAAATATAGAAATAGAGACCAATAATCCAAAATTTTAATTGTTCTTACAATACTATTTCATCTATTATCCTATATTTTTTGTTTCTAACCCTAATTGCTCAATCGTCATCGGAAAAAAATCAATAATTGCTTATTTCACAAAGCCACTCCATACACAACTAACTTCAAAACTTTGAAATGCCAAATTAGTAACAATAAAAAATATCCTTATTTTTACTCGCTTTATTTTTGTATAATATTTAATCGCAGTAGGGTCTTAAAACAAAACGACTCAATACGCATGTTCAGTATTGCTGTAGCGAAATGAATTAATTTAAAGAAATGATACTTTTAATTTTTTAAACATGGGAAAAGAAAGAAAACATCCTTTATATCTCACAAAGAAAATTTTTTGTCCGATATTTTGAATCTATCTGTAGATATTAAAGGTTTCTTGGCACCATTTTAATGAGCACAAACCTGCACAACTTTTCACAAATATGTTCCTATGAAATAGTAGGGATACTGTTTAATTTGGTGATTTCAATAATCTACTAACGAAGAATCCTGGTGATCTTGGTTGGAACAGACCTTAGTTAAACCAAATACGATAATGAGGATCATTGTACAGAATTCTACAATAATTATACTCATATTAATAGTCGGAATAGTCTTAAAAATGTTTATTATTATGCTTTTAACAATTATGATTTTCAATTTCGTTTGTGATATTTGTAGATTAACACCTTAGCTGTGATATACATTCCCGGAGATATATACCGTTTCAACAACCAACGGTATAAAATTTGTAATAGGCTTTAATATAACAATTTTCAAGATATTTTAGCGATTTTTGTAAGATTATAATTCATTTAAATTGCCCGAGTATGACTACATGTATCATATGACAAAAAGTTAAAAATTCCATTTTATTCCATAAGTTAAGTACAAATTCTATTTTAACCTGTCCTAAAGAAAACGACTTGCAATATTAAATAGGGTGTTTTTCAACCCCAAGGAGAAAATAGTCGCAATCAAATATCTCGGTTTCTAGACATCAAAATACATTTATTTTCTAGCATAAGATAGGTACAAATACCACTTTCAGTATATATTTAAGAGAAAGACATATCAAGTTATGACTTCTGATGACATATACACTCTTTTCGGCATACCGGCTCTAAAATAGTCAAATAACTTAAAATAGTGCTAGCAAGACACAAACTGATTTTATATTAAATACAATAAAAATTCAAGTATTCAATACAGAAGAAGAAACGAATAATTTAGGAATCAAACACACAAAAATGTAACAAAACAAGAGAATTATATACGGACAACAAATACAAACGACGTGTTCTAAGGTTACATCACCTCGTATGAACAATATTTTACTTATAGACACTTTCTACAAATTTCCTCCAGAGGGCGTACCACTTAGTTTGAATCGAATAGTTAACTGTCAAAATAATTGACATTTGACTTTATATTACTAAGAATAATTATTATTGCTTAACAACGCTTTTGTTTTTCGTTTCTGTTCTTTCCTTTTTCTCCTGTTTTCTTCGGTATCAGCTAGTTTAGATAAACCAAATATCATAAAGAGTATCATTATAGAGGATAGTATAATTATAATGATATTTATCGTCGAAATAGGTTTATTACTGTTTATTACTGTACTGTTTATTATTGTATTGTTTATTACTCTGCTTCCAACAACTTGATCGTAGTCTTGCCAGTAGGTCCAAGTGTTATTCCAATAGATTGGATTCGATCTAGGGTCTCGAGGTTTATTTAGGGCAGGTACCATGTTTTTCCTATAATCTAAAAGAAGTGTTTCTAGGTTTTTTAAGATGTCCGGTCTAGCGGAAGCTAGATTTATCCTTTCGCAAGGATCTTCCTTTATGTTAAACAAACACGGAGATTTGAGATTGCATTTATTTTCTTCTGGTTGATCTTCGAAATTAAACGGCCCGCAACGAACTGTGGCTTGCATTCTTAACATTTCAATATCATTTTTATCAATTATTTTGAGTTCCTTCCCCTCTTTGGTGCTCTCCATTTTAATCTGTTGGTAGGTTAATAGTCCAGCGAAGGCTGCGGCTGTTTTTGAAGTTAATATTTGGTTGATGTCGTAAGAATATTCTGGTCTTTTGCCATCATTTCCGTACCACGAATCCTTTTCATTGCCCGTAGAACCGTATATATATTTCCAGTCACCTTGTCTGATTGCTCCCCATGCTTCCCAACCAGTAGTGGCATCATCGATATTGTAGAGCATTTCTGTTCTTGGGCTCTCCTTGTCTTCGGAAATCGATTCCCACATATCTTGGCCATCGATATTTGGAATTTGCGTTTTATTTAAACCTAAAAGTAATTGTGATTATTGATTTCAATAACGCTCTTGATTTAGTAAAATATTTTTACCAGCTATGGAGTAGAATGTTGGTAACCAGTCGGAGATATGCATCAAACGATTGGAAACTCTTTGGGATTTTTGAATAAGAGGACTCCATATTGCTGCTAAATTTCTGTTACCTCCTTCCCATGATGAGTATTTGATCTGAAACAGGTTTTTAGTAGTTATTTTTTCATTTTTACATTTTTTTATACTGTATGTCCCAGAATCTGTGAGCAATATTCCGGATTCAGATATAGCGCATAAAAATAACATAACCAGTTTCATTAATTTTTTTTTCTACTGCTCCTCTTACGGAGAAGTGAAATTTTTTCTTAATATGATGGATACTCCCAACTGTCTACGTCAATTGGTGGCATATGAAAATCTTTTTTATTATTAATATTGGGAAAAAATTTATTCTTTATAAAAAGTCGAGCATGGTCTAAAACCTAAAATACAACCATCAGATATTAAATTTTATCAGTCGTATAAAAGATAAAGGTACTTTACTTTTGAGTGAAACTCATATTTTTGGACAAACCTCGTATACCACTGAAAAAATTTGATATTTAATGACTGTATTCTAGGTTTTAGATAATGCAGAACTTTTTATGAAGAATAACTTTTTTCCTAAAATTCCAACTTAGGGGAACATACTGTATATTTTTATCGCTTAAACTAAAAAAAGTAAGTATAATCAATAAAAATCCATAATAAAACAAAGGCAGGCAACAGTGTTTTCGAGAAAATGTATGAAAAGTTGCCTAAGTCTAATAAGTTGTCTTTGAAGAAATAACCAATTCTGTTAAAATTAAAAAAATACCATTAAATAATAGCGTGAAGTAAAAATGTGTAAACAAAAGGATTAAAAAGAATGAATGAATAAAACTGGTTTCCTATCAGTAAGTCACAAAAATGCATTCCAAGCACATACAATAATCAAAGGCAGAAATCTAGTTCTTGCTAATCTTACTGAACAATTAAGATTAAAGGTATGTTAAATAACATTGTAAAATGATAATTTATATATAGATATAAATGAGAAACTCACCCCTTTGAGAGGATAACTCGAACCGTATTTTGTGGGTCCGTTATCCGAAAGAAAGAGAATCACGGAGTTTTGCAGCATTTGCTTTCCTTGTAAAGCCTCGATCACCGTTCCAACACTTTGATCCAACATGGATACCATGGCTGCAAAGAAAATTAATTAATTAAGCAGGAAAAGGAAACTCAAAGTCTTATTTACTATAATTTTAATAAAAAGGAAAAATTAGTTTCGGTTATACCTGAGTATCATCAGGGATAAATGTTTTTCTGGCAAAAATAAATTAGGAATATCAGGAAAATTATATGTGGGCGTCTTTGTATTGGAATGACCTCCGCACTCACTTGTAAACAACTTTAAATATGGTATTTCAAACCTGGATAGTGAAGCATCTCTTATCATACAAAGAATATCGAGTTTGCGGGAGATATACTCTGGGAAGCAATGAAGCATCAAAACTTAGACGAACCAAATTGTGTGATTTTGATGACAAAACCTAAAGGCGGGAAATAGCCTGTGAACGCTTGAAGAGGCGAACGACACTGATAGGATAAACTCAGTTTTAATAAATATTTGAATCTATTGGCGTAATTTTTGGACACAGATTCCAACACATCTTGCAATTTATTAACTAGAAAAGTTAATGAGGTGGTTAAATATATTCTGGTATTCGGATGAACGCCGATTTAAAACGCTGAACGATTTTGAAAGTATTTTTCATTAGAATTTTGATCAAAAAAACGCAAAATTTTAACATAAATAAATGAGATGGCGGTTATGAATAGAACAAAACGTCTTAGACACTGTATCCAAAAATGACGCCAACAGTTTCTAACATTATTTTTTGAAACTGGGTTTATCCTATCAGTGCCATTCCTAGCAAATATCCGTTCTTGCATAAAACTACTGCATATAACTAGAAACGCCTGCTTTCGAATAGCTTTAGGCTCCTTTCACACGTGCCGGATACCGTAAATTTACTTTCATTCTACTTAAAATCGATGTACTTTTCAACCCTCTTCGAGGCTTCTATGCGAAAATGAGGCACCTAAACCTGTCACTATCTGACGGTCTATAAACTCACTATTATTTTGGTATCGTAACCAAGACACCTAAAAATTATTTTAGTTGATCTAAAATTCAACGCGTCTTTTTGGGTTTATATTCCTCGGCTTTGTAAAGAGTAGGTTTAGTTTTCGATATTAGAGAAATGCACAAATTAAGTTTACTTTTGTTACAGGTATGCAACACAAGGTCATACTAGAGTCGGAACCTTGGGGACTTCCTCTAAATGAAACGCTAATGCTTCAACTTTTAAAACGAAACGGATTTGTCACGCATGCTGTGGGAAAGTGGCACTTGGGTTTTTTCAAAAAGGAATATACACCTAGTCCGTTAAAAAAACATAACTTTGAAATAAATCACCCTGTAGAACAATTGGAATTTCATCGAAAATATTTTAAGGTTGTAGCCTTAGAGGTCCTACACATGCTCCAAATATGAATTTTCCACCCTGTATACTTTTTGTACGTATTATAATGGCAAAACTAGTAAAATATTGAAACGAAAATAGTAGTATCGAAACAAAAGTAGTATCGGGTAAAGTATCGAAAGCAAAGTATCGGGTATTAAATTACCCGGTATCGAAAGAAAAGTATCGATATCAGTAGTATCACAACATTCCTAGCTGTATATGTTTTGCATAGATCTCGATGTACTAGGCGTTGTATATCCGTTGTCCAGTGCCGGATGAAGGTCCGGTGTCTATCCGGTATAGACAAAAATCGTGTGTGTGTGTTCCGTATGCAGTTTGATGCCGGATATCAGGCATCGTATATACGGTATCCGGCACGTGTGAAAGGAACGTTATAATTAACTTACCTGCGTAGACACGTCGTTTGGGATCTTTAATATGAGCAAATTTAGCAATTTCTTCATCAGGTGCTTGCAGTGGATCAGCCTCGTTTGCAGTATGCGGTGCGATATGGGCCAAATATAAAAACATCGGATTGTTTGTGTCATGTTCACGTATTAATTTCACAGCTTCATTAGTAAATAGCGTCGTACTGTACTTGCCTTTAGCGTCCCAGTCGACATCAAGATTCCTTCTGAAGTCGTAACCAGTATCGTTGGCATACTGAAATGACAGAACTTTTAAAAATCTCTTTTAACATTGTAAAAAGGATACCATTTAAAACCACAACGTCCTAATTTAAAACGTATTATTCAGAATTGGATATTTTGAATACAATAAATTCATCAGGGATGTGAAAAGGATAGAGATGACGTCACGTGATATAAGCAAAAACAAAATAGAAATGATTAGGAGACAATGATCTTAAAATTTTATCTCATCTCTCAAGCAGTCCGGATCTCAATCAGTCCGGATCTCAATCAGATAGATAGAAACACTTTGGCACAAAATGAAACAAAATTTAAAAAACAATCCTCACCGAAACTTACATTAATTGCGAGTCAAATTGCAAGAAATTTGGGATAGTTTTATACCAGAATTTTGCAAAGGTCTTGTCGATATTATGCCTGATAGACTTCAGGCAGTTATTCGTGCAAAAGGGAATGTTACGACTTATTAACTTTTTTTTTTAATTTGTGTTCCAATATTTAGTTGTCAGCCTTTTCGGATATCAAATATTTAAATTAATGGCAATAAATAAAAAAAAAAAAAGATAAATTTGTTCTTTCTAGTATGTCAGAAGACACTGAAAATATTACTAATTGTTTCTTTACTATTTATGTCAAAAAGAATTATAAATTTATATGTAAACGATTTTATTTTTAACTACTTGCTTGTTCCAACATATAGTTATTAGGGCTCGTAGTGCTGGCGCTCTGCAGTTTTCACACTCAGTTGTACCAAGGGATACTAAAAGGTATTCGTTATCCGATACCTTATAACATTCTTCTGTGGATATGTTAGCGTTAAGGTAAGGATGCAAAGCATCAGAAAAATTGGTGGAATCCAAAATTTAGGAGGATAAATACTATTGGAGGATAAAAACTTTTAGGGAACGAAATTGCTTTATTGTCGTCCAAAACTCTACCGCTTTGCGGTGACATTTACTTTTATATGTCATCTCCAACGCTTCCAGTTTTTTCTGCACTTAATGCACTTGACGGGTTGCAATAGACGTCAAACCTTTTGTCTGCAAATATTATTCCCCCTAGTATCACTAATTATTAAGCAAAAAATTGATATTTTGGTCAGGTACAACAATAATACTCGATACATATAACGTATAAATTGTTAAATGTATCAAGGTTTGGTTGCCTAAATGCGATGAAAACGAATATGATAATATACATTAATATCTACATTAAAGTGACAAGAATTATTAAATTGTGCATCCAATGCTCACATCTGCTTTGGTCATATGTGTGTAGTAATCGTGGAACATTAGATAGTATCCATAATGTGTGTCGAATCCTCTAAAAATAGGTGTGTATTCCTTTTTGAAAAAACCCAAGTGCCACTTTCCCACAGCATGCGTGACATATCCGTTCTGTTTTAAAAGTTGAGGCATTAGCGTTTCATTTAGAGGAAGTCCCCAAGGTTCCGACTCTAGTATGACCTTGTGTTGCATACCTGTAACAAAAGTAAAGTTAATTTGTGCTTTTTTCTAATGTCGAAAACTAAACCTACTCTTTACAAAGCCGAGAGATATAAACTCAAAAAGACACGTTGATTATAGATCAAGTCAAATAATTTTTAGGTGTCTTGGTTACGATACCAAAATAATAGTCAGATAGTGACAGGTTTAGGTGCCTTATTTTCGCATACAAGCCTCGAAGAGGGTTGAAAAGTACATCGATTTTAAGTAGAATGAATCTAAATTTACGAGTGGCTCCTGGGGATAACACATGGAAAATTCGATTTTCCCCAACAAAAATGAAAGGTTATTTGTTACCTATATTTCCACACAAGCCGTTTTTGCTATATATTAGAACTAGGTTTCAGAAAACTAAAGGCTTTAATGTTGCAAGTGGCTAAAGGGTCGAAATAAAGACGTAATCTCCTAAGGAACAATAGAAATTTTACCAGATTTCGTCACTAGTACGAAAAATATATTTTCTTGAATGACTGGAATATATTTAGTGGTCCCCTGTTGGTGAACCACTAAATTCTTCGAATAATTGGAAACGAAATTAATTTTGAAAAGGTTTATTTCAGAATATATAAAAAAAAACAATAAACAATAAATATAGTGCATGGAGTTTTGGTTGATGAGAGAGTAATTTGCGATGAAAATTTTTTGGTTGTATATCTTTGTCTCTCGCCAACATAGCAACGGCGGTTCTTTATATATTGCTCCTAATCTTCTGACTACTTGGATCTTCGGATAATCCTGTAAAGATTCACAAAGAGTATAGCATAGCTTAATCAATAACACATACGTTATTAAAAAGGAAGAGACCAGATGGTTGTCACTAAAAAAACACTGCATACAACCAAAAAATAAAAAGAATGACACAAAACGTCAAACATGAAAGAGCAACTGAAATGTCATAAAATACATTTGTGTGTTCGCCAAACGGGCATTTTGGGGTCAGAAAATTTTTCTGATAAAGAAAATCTAATTTTCCATGTGTTATCCCCAAGAGCCACTCATAAATTTTCTTTTATTCTACTTAACATCGATGTACTTTTCAACCCTCTTCGAGGCTTGTATGCGAAAATGGGGCACCTAAATCGGTCACTATTTGATGGTCTATTAGTATTGGTTCCAACATTGTAGAGAGCAAGCTAGAGACGAACCGCTGATAGTTTTTATTTTTGAGTAAATTCACAAGATACTTTGTTTTTTTTTTTTCGATATCAATTCACACCGGGTTATAATTAATATTTCGAAATTTAATTTGATTTGATTTAATAAAATTCATAAAATATATTAGTAACAAAAATGTAAATTAAAAAAAAAACAAAAACTCCATATTTCTAAAATAATTGGTGAAAACAATTTATTATTTCAAATTGTTGATTTTGAGATGTTTGTTGTAAATTCCGAAGAACCTGGTATGAGTGAAAATATCTAGAGTTTAATTTAAAAAACTTTGATAAGTCGCACGTTTATCGGATTTTTAGAACATAAGTTTAATTGCTCTCTACACCCAAGCATCGTTGATACACCCTGTATATCTGATTCCTTTTTTTTATATGAAGAATATAAGCCTTCTTTATTTTATATATGTTTACATACAGTGTGACAATATTTACAATGGGCTAAATCTCACAAACGAAAGATGATATCAAAAATGTTTAAAACCGTTTCTAGGATAGGAAGGGGGAACTAAAACGACATAAAAGAGAACTCCCCCATCAACCCACTAGGTCCCACCTACCCCAATTAAAAACGTTTATATAACAAGCCCCATCATTGAAAAGCCTATAAAAAATGCTATCCAATGGTATAAATAATATTAATAATAATATAAATAATAATAATTACCAAATTAATATCTAAAAATTTTAAAAACAAACATACCCTACTTGTGATACAATGTTAAAATGTTAAATAAAAACTTTAATATATATTCTATTGTAAGTTTTTAAATTGTCACACCGTATAGCGATATTGTTAATAATTTATTATGTTAAAATTTTCACCTGTGTGTATGGGATATTTTCCAGTGAGAAAAGCAGCTCTTGAAGGGCTACATGCTGATTGAGTGTAATGCGTGTTTAAAATTACTCCATTGTAGGCTAGGGCATCTATGTTAGGGGTTGGAATTTCATCACTGCCATGGAATCCTACATCATTGAAGCCCTTAAACATTAAATAATTGATTTTGACATTTAAAACTTTTACATAAATAGTATTTTTAGTTATTTTTTGATCAAAAGTAGTGATTTTAAGAGTAAAAAGTAATTTTCTTGAATTATATAGCTTTTTAATTAATCGGTATTACACAGTGGCGGAGTTAGAATTACTGACACCAAGGACAGAAAGGGGCACTGGCCACTCCTTTTTTACAATCATGAATAATATAATATTAACAATTGTTCAAAATTATGGGGGTATCACACTCAAGCTTTTTATTTATTGAGGTAGATGCCGACATATTTGTTCTACTGTTAAATGTCATTTCAGATGATGATGCGCCATAATCGGATGAACTAGTAGTTTCCTTATTTTGTACAGATTGTAAAATTTTGGTTTTTACTGTTCGTGGATTCATCAACATATCCTTCCGCAACACTACTAGATTTACAACCACCGTGCTTTTTTAACAGAAGCAAGTCACCTCCTGCATCCACTAATAGTGTTGCGGATGTTCTGCGGAAACAGTGCCCAGTGTAATCTTGAGGATTCGGAAGCGTTAAAAACTCAGCAATTTCGTTAGGAAATTTACTGATTTTATTAATTCCAACAACCTGTCTGCTACACTTTCCATTCTGATAGTTAATAAAGAATCTTGAATTAATTTGATCCATGTTTGCGGGACGTAGGCTCATATATTTTTTAGAAATATCATAAAAGGGTCCAGAAATATGAAAAGAACGCGGAACTTTTGTTTTTGTATTACGGATTTTAACTAACAGAATACTTCCAGTATCCTTTACATCGCTTATTGTTAAATCTTTTAGTTCGTGGCAACGACAAGCGCCAGATAATCCAAAAACTAATGCTACCTTCAAATATTAGTAGTTATGTATTAAGTATTTGTTAAAATAAAAATAATAATTCCGTTACCTTTGTTATTAAATATTTATAGTCAGGTGCATTCTTTAGGAAAGTCTTTATGTCTTCAGGCGAAAATTTTTTGGATTTTTGGCTTTTAAAACCATCAGATTTTCTTTTCAAAAGCGAACGTAACTTTGGATATTTACTAATATCGACATCATTTTTAACAGAGAGTGTAGTTCTTAGCATCGAATAAATGGACCATAACGTCGACGGTTTAAAATTTGAACATATTTCTCCAAAGTATGCTAGTAGTACAGTTTCCGAAAATGATTTCACTTTATTTTTTTCCCTCCAGTCCAAAAATTTGATATAAATTTCTTCATATCTCTTTTTTGATTTGGCCGGTAATAAATCTGAAGAGGTTTCTTCAGCTTTAAAAATAATTTCTGGGGGAGTACAATCGCTTTCTGACTCAGACATCATGAAAATGTGTTAAATTTAGGACGAACTGAAACTGACAGTTCTCAAAAGTGATAAAACTTCAAATAAACAAATGAAAACCAGGAAACTAGATGTAGATTGGTTTAATTTGCACTATTTTTATACATTATTATTTTATCTTTAATTCATTAAAGTTTAGGTAAAAACGCATATAGAATTTAATGAGCATCTTTTTATTTCATTATTAATAATTATAAGCTGCCAAAATATTATAGGAGGCGACTGATATATGAAAATATGTAACAACTTACTTTCGTCACTAGAAACGAAAGTAAACGTTATGGGATTTTTTCTCACTAGTGACGGAAATCAAGTTTTTGCTGAAAGTATCCTGTGGCGAAAGATGTCTTTTTGTAAGAGTTCGTAGAAAAAATCTGTTTTTTCAGATAGATCGGTGTAATTGCATATTTGAATGTAATATTCAATTCTAATCAACTTTTCTTAATGAAAATTTTCGATTTTGTCAAAAATAAACGTACTTTTACTCTTGAGCAAAATTCATATTTTTTGACATACGGCTTGAAAAATTTGATATGTGATGACTGTATTTTAGGTTTTGGGTCATGCAGGACTTTTTATCAAGAATAACTTTTTTTCCTAAAATCAATAATAAAAATGTTTTCCATATGGTTCCAACTTAAGTAGTATGTGTATATAAGTTTGTTTTTACTTCTACATTTTTGTCTTGTTTTTACATTTTATGTGACGTTTTCTATACCTATGTATACAGTAAACTGGGCCAAAAAAATTGACTATTTTTTTTTTTTGAAAAATATATCGAGAATGTCATTCAGAATGACAAAAAAAAAATTTCGTGAAAATTTAAGCCCTTAATATTAATTTTAAGAGGTCTATCGTCGCTATTTTTGATTTTTAGTCATAATTTGATGTTTTACGTTAGAACTGTCAAAAAATTAGAATGCAAAAATTCTTTATCACTTATTTTGATACAAAATTAAATTCTCTACAAAACAGGTCTGATTGAAAATTTTTGTCAGACGAGCCGTTTCCGATTAATTGAGCTTAATAAATCGATGTATTTTTTCGATTTGCATTTTTTATTTTGAAATTCTGTAACTAATGAACCAATGAATATTTAAAAAAGCTCATGTCGGATTCTTCAAGGGAATTTCATGTTCTACAAAAAATCATTTTCAATAATGAAACTAAATAATTGTTTACCCAAAAATTACTTAAAGATAAGAAAACTACGCTTTTGTTGAAAAATAATTGATATTTATTGTGAAATTGATATATTTTCGTAATAATTTGGTTGAAATAATGATAGACATTGAGAGATTTGTGACGAATAATGTTTAATAATGATCGAAAAAGTGAATTTCTTCCGTTAAGTGAAAAAAATTGAGTTAAGAACGGAAAATTTAAAATTTCAATTTTTTCTTCGATTTCAATCGTGAATAACTTTTGAAAAATTTAGGCAAAAATGTTAAGAGACCTTTTTTGTAGAACATGAAATTCCCTTGAAGAATCCGTCATGAGCTTTTTTAAATATTCATTGGTTCATTAGTTACAGAATTTCAAAATAAAAAGGGCAAATCGAAAAAATACATCGATTTATTAAGCTCAATTACTCGGAAACGGCTCGTCTGACAAAAATTTTCAATCAGACCTTTTTTGTAGAGAATTTAATTTTGTATTAAAATAAGTGATAAAAAATTTTTGCATTCTAATTTTTTGACAGTTCTAACGTAAAACATCAAATTATGACTAAAAATCAAAAATAGCGACGATAGACCTCTTAAAATTAATATTAAGGGCTTAAATTTTCACGAAATTTTTTTTTGTCATTCTGAATGACATTCTCGATATATTTTTCAAAAAAAAAAAAAATAGTCAATTTTTTTGGCCCAGTCTAGTATACAGGTCTACAAAAATAAATGATTATTATTATTAAACTGAACCTTGAAAATGAATAATTTCTTCTGAGCTTTTATTTATAGTCCGATTTTTGTAAAACTTTCAGGAAATACCAATAATAACAAAATTAAGGCGAAGAAACCTTGAATTTTTTATAAAAGTATTTTTTTCTACTACCGTGCGTAAAATACCTACTTTACACACTCAAAAAACTCTAATTTGACAAAAATTTACAGAAATTGAGATGAGGAGATGAGTATTACAAAAATAATGCTTGTTTAGGTTAGGTTTATTTATTTTGTCTCATTGAGACGAGTTTAACTTAATTTCGTAAAAAATGGACAAACCCAGTTTTTGCATTTAGGAATTCAGTTATAAAAAAATTTTTAAATAGTATTATTTCAAATTTTATTTTCTATATTTTTTTAATGTCTATAAATATATTCAAATAAAAAATAAAGTATGAAACACGGACGAAAAGTGTATTTTCGGACACCTATGAGTTGCCTACTTCTCTCAACTTTTCGTCCTTATAACATATTTTCTTGCATTGTTAACAATTATTACACCTAACTTACCATATCATCTGCCATGATTATGATAATATTCGGCTTCTGGGCATGGATTACGCTAACACCGAAAATTAGAAAAAACACGCACCACCTCAACACCATTTTTTTTTTTATTTAAATTAAGATAGGACCACTAGAATATAGTACTGATGTACTTTTATGAATTTTTTTAATAATTTCAGTTCAAATTTTCTTGAAGTTGACTGAATATCTAACTGTCTGTCAGTATTTATATGATTAAAATCAATTATCCTTATCAGTATAGGAATTTATGTGATTTGTATCTTCTTGGTTACGCACTATTAATGAGGCCCTTTCGCCACCAATGTTAAATAAAAAATATTAGATTATGACTAAAATTAATTTTTTTCTAATAGTAGAAGTCCTTATTTATCTAATAGTGAACTTTTAACTATACCTTACCATGCAAATTTTTGAGAATTTTTTTTAAAAATGTGTGTGTTTGTACATTGTCTTACGAGAAAGTAAGACTTCAACAACAATTTTCGAATTATAATTAATTTTACTATTATTTATTGATTAGACGGAATAGAAAAAAACTAAAAATAAGGTTTTTGAAATATATAGGTTTTGTTTTTTACAAAAAAATATATAGGTTACCGTGGAATTTATTGAGAAATTAATATTAAAAAATCACAAAAAATTTTCAACTGGGTTACTTCAAATTTTTTTTTTAAATAAATAATAATATAATTCGGGAATTGTTGTTGAGGTCTTATTTTCTCGTAAGACACTGTACAAACACTCAACTATTAAAAAAAAAAATAAATTTTAGTCATAATCTAATATTTTTTATTTAACATTGGTGGCGAAAGGGGTGGCGAAAGGACCTCCTTAAATCAGTTAAAAAAAAATCAATTTAATAATCTAAAGGTCTATTCTCACTCATTGCTACAATGATCCTGAAGTTCAAAATCATTTGATTTGTATGCCATTCCTTCTAAAAGGGCTTTAAAGGATGACATAATATCGTTATTTAGATACTGAAGGTATTCCCCTGTTACGTCGTCTATTTTGTGTATCTTGTTGAGTCTGTCGCCTATGAAAGCTCTCCTAGTCCTTTTGCGACTAAAAGAACCTTCTCTAACCAGAGAGTGAGACGCTTATTATTCAGTCATTGTCTGTTTCGCGTTTTGTCAGGATTCTGAAAGAGATTGCTGAAAGAGATTGCTGAAAGAGATTGCTAAAAGAGATTGCTAAAAGAGATCTCTGAACGAGAATCGTAAAAATATTAAGGTCCTATTTGTGCACCTAATGTTTTTCGGTCACTCTCCACCATAGTTTAGCAATTTGCTTCGCCTGGCGTGTCTTCTGTAATCAGCATTCATACTCGGCAAGTTCTCTTAATTCTGTACTGGGATGCAGTCAAAGGTGTCTGTGGTCTTCTTGTGCATAATGTATAGAACCCTCGTGGATTTCAGAACTCTAAATATGAAGTCATTTCCAGTGGATCTATCTGTAAGTGTTTGCAGCCCATCGTAGGCTGATGTTGTGCCTGTATTTTGTTCATGTTGGTCTTGCAGGTGTATCCCCAGACTTGACTTGGCGTCATTTATTTTTACACGTATCCCTTCTAGGAGTCAAAGAGAACAATCTCAGAGCTTGGATATGTAACCTATTTCCGGCGGGATTATGTTATCTTAAGTTGCAACTATTTAAAATTTAAATCGTTCGTCGCTTGTGTATAAATATAAAGCGCTTTAGTATTCTTGAAAATACGAATTAATTCGACGGAATAGGATTGGTGTTAGCCTGATGTATTAATAAAATATGTTTGATGTATTTCCAACAGTTAGAATATTAATATTTCCCTTTTATACACACTTTTTCTTACTATCCAGCGTGAAAACACCTCATACTCTCTTGGAATTTTTTTTTATTTTCATGCTACATACATTTTAGTTATTTGTAGAAATTGCTAAAATTTCCAGGTCTAAAATCAATTTATTGATTTTCACTAAAAACTAGCAATTCGCGGTAGACGTTCTTTCCAAAATGGAAACTATAATTCCAAGAATCAACCACCTTGTTCGCTTTATGACATGACATGTTCAAAAGAAACAACCACTTATGTATCTGGCACGCGATTCTAGAATTTGTCGGACAAATAGATTGTTAAGAAATATCAGTAAAGTAATTAAATAGTTTGGCCGACATAATAAAAATCAATTTTCTTTATGGACTTTAATTTTTGTTGGTGTACAATTAAAAAGATCCAGAAGAGTCTAACGTAAGTTGTATAAAGTTTAGAAAATGTTTGAAAGTTCACACTTGTAAAGGACTTTTTTAATAGATATAGCATTGAGTTCGAACGTTTACATACCGCTGATATATGCTCTAACCACGTTAATTAAGAGTTTACAATGAGTCTCAGGTCGTTATAGGAGTTCACAATTGCTAACGTACTACCGTTTAAATAATAGTTCACGCACGGGTTATTTTTTTCTATATGCAGGACGACACATTTTTCCGTGTTTAAAGGAAACAGTCAGGTGTCACATTAGTTTGAAACAGTTTCAAGGTCTTTTTGTAACTGGGCAGAATCTGTCACAGGATTAGAGTATAGCTTAGTGTCATCAGCGTAACACGAGATATTCGAATTTAAGTCTTTGCCTAGATCTGCAGCGCATATCAAGAATAGTAATGGCCCTATGACAGAGCCTTGAGGGATACCACTTAAAACTGGATAGTCTGACGAGAACATCTGTCCAACTTTTACCTTGAAGATGCGATTTGACAAAAATCACTTATCCAGAGAAGTAAAAAGTCGGGAATGCCAGCTTTTTCCAACTTATAAGGCAATCTCTTTTTGGGAACGCGGTCAAAGGCTTTACCGAAATTAAGATATACAGCATCGACAGGATCTTTATTGCCCACAGATGTAGTCCAATCGTTTAAACAGGTCATTAAGTTTATTAATGTGGATCGGCCTTTGATAAAACCTTTTTATTCTTTTGGCAAGACGTCATGGCTTTTGAGAAAATCATACATATAATTGGTTAAGATGGATTCCATTATTTTACAGGCAATTGGGACGAGGCTTATTGGACGATAGTTGGATAGGTGTCACCGAAGCAATTTTCCATATTGAAGGAAGTGTGTGAGATGTAAAGAAAGATGTCATAATAATGGATAGAGGTAAAGTGAAATAAGATGCGCATTCTTTTAAAAACATTGCGGATAAATTGTCAATTCCAGGTGAGGAATTTGATTGAGTTTTTTTGACATTTTCATTAACAATTGTAGATGAGAACTTGACATTACATAAAGAGGTTGCTGTTCAGGCATTGTAACTAACTAGGTGAGTGGACAGATGGATAAATTAGAAGTTGGTCATCATTTGTTAATATAAGGTCTAGAGTTGAAGGTTCTTGATTAAAGCGAAAGAGAGTAGGTTCGTTTATAAGTTGTTCAAGATTGGAGTCTGTAATAAAATTTATAAAGTGTGAAACAGAGTTTTGCGATACTTCGAGACCTGCAGTAATTGATCAGGAAATTTCTGGAAAGTTGAAATCTCCAACCAGCACAAGATTGTCATGAGAAATAGATAGGTTTGAAAATACCTCAAAAGGCTGTTGGTTGTTTTCTAGAGTTTTCTTTGGCGGACGATGTAAACATACCAGAGTGGTTGAGAAAATTTCATATGATAGTTTTAATGAAATTATATATTGGGAATGTTGATATCTAAGGCGGTGACAGAGTAAGTTGAAGTGATGGATGGCCCTAACTAGATGCTGACCCCTCCACCAACATTATTTGCGCGGACGCTTCTGTAAATTTGTAAATCCAGGAACGTTAATAAGTGAATCGGGAATAGACAACTTGAGCCAAGTTTTAGAAACTAAAATAATTCTGGGAGAAAAATGTTGCACTGAGCACAAAAAACTATTGAATTTAGCAGTTAGAGAATTTAGGTTAGTATACATATGGGTCCAATCGTTAAATTGTGAAGGTTGCCGATTAGCGGGATTGAAAGGGATTTGTCTTCACAATTTTTGGTTTTCAACTAACCCATCATCAATTCTAATAATTTTTTAATTCTTCTGCTTGTTTGCAGTTATTTTTTTAAGTAGTTCCAAAGTTCGTTTCATGACTGGCATATCTTATTCCATCACAAAGTTTTTGTCTATCTCGTGGTCTTGTTTGATATACTTTCTTTTTGATAGTACTCCAAAAATAAAGTCCATATATGTAAAATTGACAGATCGAAGAGGCCACAGTTCAAACGGACTATTTCTATTTATCCATCGCTTTGGAAAAGTTTAATTTAATCATGATGCAGTTATAAATTGAATAACCATCTATTTGAAAATACATATCTTGTCGTACCTTTAAGTATATTTTCAATCTCGTTCCATAATTAATTCTGAAAGAAGTTAAGAACGCTTGGTCCATTTAAATAATTAATGAAAAATGTGGACCAATTACCCTGTCACCAAAAATACCACACCACTAACGACTATTTTCAGATGAAATTACTCCATTGGTAGTAAAGGTAGCCTCACCAGTGAACAAAAACACCGTTATCTTGTCTATACCATTTTCATTAAAAAGTCTATTTATTATGGTGGCTGTAGTTGTATCTTGGATTGGATTGCGCTGAGGATGTCTTCTATTAAATTCTCGTGCAACTTCTCCACTATGTCAACAAACAGTCGAATTATCTCAATTTTTCCCTTAAATTTATATAATTTTCGAGGCGTGTTTTGCAGTTTTGACACTACTAAGTTTAAATTGGCATCTACTAATGTGCAAACGTTTAGATTACATCAGGAACACTATAAAAAAATTTCGCTTGTATTTGCCGCAAATTCTAAAATAATTCAAAATGAATTAATAAACTGTATTTCTCAATATATTGACAAATATATTGAAATGGAATTAAATGATTGCATTTTTTTTCTATTCAAGTAGACGTCTCAACAGATATTGCCCAAAAATATAATAACAGAAGATCAACTTACCAATTTAGCAAAAATTTCAATTGAAAAGACACTCTTAAACGATCAAAGCCATTTTTTGATGATATAATAGATAATTTTACAAGTTTAAAGGATAGGAGAATCGACCTTATGTACAAAAAATAAAAAAAGTCGAATATTTTTTGTTTTATTTTCAAGGCGTCACCTATATTCAAACCCACGAGACGCCACTGGATTACATCAATTTCTAACATTTAACACGTAATTTAAGAATCAATTATTTTAAAATTATTATTTTCTTTAATTTTTTAAATAAATATTTTATTGATAACGAAAAAAGTTTAATTACCCACGAGTAGATACTCGGTATTGTATGATTCATATTATATATTGATTGTCACGACTAAACCAAATTTACCTAAAATTTGAATGGAATTTTATTATATTCGCATTATCAAAGTATGAAAAATTTATTATACAAAATTAACATATTAAAGTACTAAAATGTGCCAAATTTTATTTCAAATAACGTGATGGTTCTTAGATTATCATCATTTAAAAATTGATAAATTTAATTTTTTATTTATCATACTTGTATCTCGATAATAACAAAAGATAAAGCAACCATATTTGACAGAAGTGGGCTCTTAAGCGTAAGGAATAAGATGGTAAAATCTAAATTTATATAAAATCGCTAAAATTACTTACTTTTTTTACCTGTTTCAGGTGAGAAATGTTAATAGTATTGGACTTTTTTGCTATTTTTTTCCGAAATATTTGAATAAATTTAGTAAATTTTCTCAATAACATATAGAAAAATATTGTCTAAATCATTGTCTGTTGTTTTAGATTCAATAAATTATTGTTTTATGACAGATGGTTCAAAAAAATAAAAAAAATAGAATTTTTATTTTGAAAATTACGCAAGTAATATTGTAAAACTAAGTCCTGGAGTAACCAAGTGATTTAAATAAAAAACTTTAATTAGACAACCTAAGTTGACAGCATATTGAAATATCTCTTAATAGTTTAAAAAAAAAAAAAATTATTTTTATAAAAGTTCGTATTATATATCACTTAGAAATCCATAATCAAGCATCAAATTTGTGAAATTAAAAAAAAAAAATTGTGTTTATGGTCCTTTTAAGAATCCTTTGGCCTGTTCCTGTCCTGGAGAGTTTTTCCATCACTCCTGAAATTTTTAAACATCAACGGCTTTGTGCATGTTCTGGTAGTTGCCTTTGTGACACCATAGAAGGATTCTGGGCCAATAAGAGCCTTTGAGGCTCCTTCTCGGGCTAGTACTCAGGCTAAGGTTAGTCTCTTTTGACTATTTGGCTCTGTTAGGGCTTCCAAACAGTCTCACACATGCTGTGAGTGTACCTGCATGGCACTGAGTGCTTTTAACGTCGATTGACTGGAGTATATGACAATAGTTTTTCCATTTACCTTCTATCTTAATACCTTTTTTGCGCAGTGATGTATTGCTGCTATTTTTGCCTGGAATACTGTCCCATGTTTGCCCAAGCTCAGTGAGATTTGTGTCTTTGGCTTGCTACTATATTTACCTACTCCTGAACTTTTATAGGTCTTGGAGCCGTCTGTATACCAGGTGAATTCTGCATGAATAGGAGGTCCTTTCGTCCATGGTTCTTTGTCTGGTATATTGCTTTTGAAAGCTCTACTTTGGGAGCATTTCGCCCATTATTTTGTCGATCTCCAACTCTGTAGTCGCGTTCATTCAAACTGTTTATGGGTGATGAGCCTTTGTGCAGTCTGTATATGACAGACCTGACTTCACTTTGAATGAATGTATGTAGTAGTGTTAGGTTTAGCATGACTTCTATAGCTGCTGTTGGAATCGTTCTCATGGCTTTTGTGATACTCAGCCTTTGAATACCGTTGAGCTGTCGAATGGCTCCAGCTTGTCGAGTCTTTGGCCACCGTACCACCTACCGATTATCATCGGTATATAACCATAGGGATATTTTCGATTGTAGTCACAAATTTTTTCCAAATAAACTTCGATATAAATTGAAGGAAGTTGTGCTCTTTTGGGAGACTTTTGCAGGTGCTGATTCCATGTTAACCTGTGGTCAAAGATGACTTTCAAGTATTTGGACTCTTAAACAGATGAGATCTTCACTCTTCGGTACTGGTGACTTTAGTCCTGTCGGTACTTTTCGTTTTGTGAAGTTGACTATTGGGGTTGTATGAGGGTTTACTGTTAGTTCCTCCTCTCTGCACCATTCGTCAACAATGTTAAGAGCAGTTTGTATGCGCTCCGACAGTGTCGGGTTACATTCCCATCTTTTACACGTATATTTATGCACACCATTCGGGCTTTTGTGACCTTATTTTACTTTTTTCTCGTTCATGTTATAGAGAAACTTGTCCGGGGATTAGGCCTAAATATTTGACTTCTTTTATTTCCATTCTATATCTATCCAGTCTAATTTAATTGTTTTAGGATTGAGATTTATTTTCTTTGAAAAGGCTACTTGTGTTGTTTTTGTTAGGCTCCACCTTCTTGGCTCCATCTTTTGGTGTATTTTAGTCCTTTTTGGACTGTCACATAATATACTGTAACGTTTGTTCATTTTAAACAACAGTTTATTTGTTAATAATTTATTTGAACACTTATTTATTTTTAAAACAATACTATTATTGTTCACTATTTATCTTCACAGTCCAATACTTAATTCTCAACTGTCTATATACAACTGACTGATCCATGTTCTTCCACCAATATTTATATACACATTTAACATTATGGTGAAGGTTCTAGAATGTTTTTCGCCTAAATTAGGAAACATTATCTCGTTCTTTCTCGAATAGTTATCGAAAGCGCCTTCACCATAGTCGTCACATATATTTGGTCTTAAAACGGTTAATTAAGCATCAAAGGCCAAATAAGACAGAGAGGGACCTGGAGGTTTAGAGTATGACTGAATAATGAAATGCCTCAGATTACAATAATTATCCATTAGTATACATATACTGGTGGATACTATCTCAAAAATAATTTTATTTTCCTGCAATAATTAAATTAATTCTTGTTTAATATATTTTCTCTTTGTTTCAGGTAAGTTGATAAGCAAAAAAATCAAAGATAAAAAGTTCCTATTCATTATTTGAAGTGGTTAAGGTAAGTTTATACTTTAATATGCTTTATAGAGGTATTTTAAGATTTGAAAACAAACCAGAAACGGCGCTTGGCCCAAATTAGCTCAAACTTACGGTCTAGGAATTTCGACAGTCAATGTGAAGGACTAGAGGTAAAGCATTTGTGTACAGAACAAAGATGTCTGGGTTCGAATCCCAGAACCGACAGGCTTTTTTCAAATATCTAACTATGTGTTTTCACTTTTGGGGTTAGATGATGGTCTTAATTACTCGTAGGGGGATTTTTGAGATTTATTTCCGAATTTTCAAATTATTTCAATTAAAATTGTCTTATGGGGATTTATAATACATTTATGGAATATTCAGTGCGTTCTCACTTTTTTAATTTTCATATCGATAAACAACAACACAATTATATTCAGTGCGTACTGCCAATGCCAATGGAGAACATCATTAGGATTTGTTTGGAAAAAATAGTGTATCCCTTGTTTATGTGCGATGCACAAAATAGCATGTTTTTTTTACATTGTTTGTTTCACGGATTTGTTGACCTCTCTTTTTAACTATAGACAATTGCGGAAACCTCTCGTGCTTAATCAGCATAGTGTTTTTTGGAATAACCTTTATTATTATACTTTTTAATTGGGTAATTAATTAATCGTTAAATAAAAATCTGTTAAAAAACATATTTAATTACAAAAAAAAAAAATAATTTTAACAAATAACAAATAAAATTATTTTAATACAGTTTAATCACTATTGATAAAATTAAACATTACTTATAGTTTTATTTTTAAATTAACAGAAAGAAAATTGCGATTTCAAATTTACCCATAAGTTATTGCATTAAAACTGCTTTATATACAGGGTGTCCCAAAAAGTTTTATATACCTGGAAATAAATTATGTTGAATTTAACAAAATTTATTGTTGATAAAATGATTCTGCAACACTTGCAAATTCATAATCAAATTTCTAAAATAAATAATAATTTTCTATAATTAGACGTAGATTAAATTTAAATACAAAACAAATTATTAATTGAAAATGTTAATTTATAGAAATTAAAAAATATGTACGAGGTAGTGTCACTTTAAAAACTAAAAATAAATTAAATAGGGGTAAAAGTATAGCCCTGTGGTAATTTTAATAAACCCACATTTGTATGAAATAGGTTCCAAGGTGACGTCACCATCCATGTCGCAATAGCTGTATAGATAATCTACTGTTCTAAAACGTATGATAAATGGAACTAATATATCCTGTGATATTAGTACATAATCCTTGTCTAATGCCGAGCAGTTAATTCTCAAAATAATTGAAATTTGACTTTATAATACTAAGAATTATTATTCCTTAAAACGCATCTGCGTTTCGTTCTTCTCTCCTTCTCGCTTCGATATCAGCTAGTTTAGATAAACCAAATACCATAAAAAGTATCAATATAGAGGATACTATAATTATACTGATATTTATCGACGAAATAGGTTTATTACTGTTTATTTCTCTGCTGTTTACTATTCTATTGTTAATTACTCTGCTTCTAAAATCTTGATCGTAGTCTTCCCAGTTGGTCCAAGTGTTATTCCAATTGATTGGATTCGACCTGGGGTCTCGAGGTCTATTTAAGGCAGGTACTATGTTTTTCCTATATTCCAGAAGAAGTTGTTCTAAGTTTTTTACGATGTTTGGAGCTGTGGAAGCCAGATTTACTCTTTCGCAAGGGTCTTCCCTTATGTTGAACAAACATGGCGATTGATTAAGATTGCACTCGTTCTCTTTTAGTTGATATTCGAAAGTAAAAGGTCCGCAATGAACTGTGGCTTGCTTTCTTAACATTTCAATATCATTTTTATCAATTATTTTGAGTTCTCTGCGTCTTTTCGTGTTTGAGTTCTTGTCTCTAATTTGTTGGTAGGTTATTAGTCCAGCGAAGGCTGTCGCTGATTTTGATGATAATATTTGATTGACATCGTAAGAATATTCCGGTTTTTTCCCATCATTTCCGTACCACAAATCCTTTTCAGTGCCAGTAGAACCGTATATATATTTCCAATCACCTTGTCTGATTGCTCCCCAACTAGCAATATCATCGATATTGTAGAGCATTTCTGTTCTTGGGCTCTCTTTGTCTTCGGAAATCGATTCCCACATATCTAGACCATCGATATTTGGAATTTGTCTTTTATTTAAACCTAAAAGTAATTAAGATTACTGATTTCATTAATGCTCTTGACTAAGTTAAAATATTTACCAGCTATGGAGTAGAATGTTGGTAACCAGTCGGAGATATGCATCAAATGATTAGAAACCCTTTGAGATTTTTGAATGAGAGGACTCCATATTGCTGCTAAATTTCTGTTAGCTCCTTCCCATGACGATTCTTTTAACTGAAACAGGTGTTTAGTAGTAATTTTTTAATTTTTACATTATTTATACATTATGAATCAAAGTATGTTAACAGTCGATATAATTCATAAGAATAATATTTCAAGGTCCTTTAATTTTTTTTCTTACTACCTATAAAGGACGCAACTGGAAATAGTTTTTTAATAGTTTTTAAAGTAATTGGTGAAAGGAGGGGGTCACGTTTTAAATGTAAACTATCCTTCGATCAGAATGTAACAAAATTTTGATGTGTTGCACTAAAGCCCTAAGTTTAACAGTTTTTGATTTATATGGTGTTCAAAATCACCATTTCCTAATTTAAAAATATTAAAAAATACATGTTTTTGTCAATATTAGTACAAAATAAGTGAAATCTTTTCTGCTTTCATAATAATTGTTGTACATACAACTGATATATATGATAAAAAATGTAAGAAATAAGTAGTTAGATTAGGAATAATTGTAAAGTAGTCAGTCCTATTATCCTTTCCATTACTTCTTAACATTTAAAATATGTTGTTACACTTATAAAAGACAAACTCACCCCTTTGAAGGGATAATTCGAACCGTATTTTGTAGCCCCATTGTCCGAAAGAAAGAGAATCACGGAGTTTTGCAGCATTTGTTTTTCTTGTAAAGCTTCGATCACCGTTCCAACACTTTGATCCAACATGGATACCATGGCTGCCAAACATTTAAATAATTAAGAGAAAAAAGAAAACTCAATTATAATATTTTAATTTAAAGGGTATAACTAGACAACTAGAAAATTATATATCTGCATCACTTTGTTTGGTACAACCTCCCCAGTCACTTATATAGAGCCTGGGTAGTGAAATATATTTTATCATCCAAAAAATATTGAATATGTGGGAAAGATAGACTTTACGGAAGGGCAATTGTAAACATGAATAAATAAGATGGCGGTTATGAATAAAACAAGAAGTATTATTAGAATTTGTATCCTGGTGTTATAATTAACTTACCTGCGTAAATACGTCGTTCTGGATCTTTAATATGAGCAAATTTAGCAATTTCTTCAACAGGTGCTTGCAATGGATTAGCATCGTTCCCAGCATGGGGTGCGATATGGGCCAAATATAAAAACATCGGATTATTAGTGTTATGTTCACTTATTAATTTCACAGCTTCATTAGTAAATAACGTCGTACTGTATTTGCCTTTAGCGTCCCAGTCGACATCAAGATTTCTTCTGAAGTCGTAACCAGTATCGTTTGATAACTAAAATGACAAGAATTTTAAAAATCCATTTCAAAATTATCGAACTCCATTTAAAACCACAATGTCCTAATTTATTACGTATTATTCAGAATATGTTATTCTGAATACAGTAAATTCATCTAATCAGGGACGTGTGAAAGGATGAAGGTGACAACACTGCAAATTAGGGATATAAAGATAGGAAACGCATCACATACTTTGATTACTATACGAGGCAAGAGAGAGGTCCGACACGCCCAACATAGGGCGCGGCCATTTTGAACCCTGTGACACAGTTTACAGCTAAAGAATCAGATCGCTCACTCTGAGTCGGCACTTCTGATCTCAATGTTTCAGTTTATACACTGTGCAACTCGGATAATACAATATATGACAACCGCCTATAATAAAACAGCAGTCTTCTGCGTATTCTGAATTTGTATCCCTGGAGTGGATGTTATTTTGGAACTTTCAACTGGTCCGAGTGAGCTAACTGATTCTTTAGCAATAAATTGTGACTCCAAAAATAATATTCACTGACACTGACAGCAGCAAGCAAAATATCAGGTGCGTTTTAATCATCCGCTTCTGCTTCCGGAATTGTCGGTTCAGTCGTTCTAACCTGTCAGATTAAAACAAGAAAACCGACAATTCCTAAGCAGAAGCGGATGATTAAAACGCACCTATTAAAAATATTGCGCCAAGATGTAGGCAACACGTAATAAGGGTTTAAAATGGCGGAGTTTTTTATCTCCTTTTAAAAGGCACTCAGAAAGCTGCGCAGTGCGACCATTCTCCGTATAGTAAAAGAAAATCAAAGTATGTGGTCCTTATGGTTTATGTTTGTCTACATAGAATCCAAAAGAATTTTAAATTTTGAGTTTACAAATTGCTTATATTGTAAGGTAAACTATCTCTTGGCCATAAGTTGAGGCCGAATAATCTATTTTGTCGTAATTTTACGGGTCATAGCTTTGTTGCAGCGGAGGAATTTGCAGTTTAAGGATATGACCCAAAAGTACATGCATAAATGCCATTCTTTCGAAGTAGGAGCCATTGAAAACTAATTATAAAGGATAAATACCAGGCTTAATTTAAGATATCAGTAAATCTGCATCGAAATAGCTGTTAAACGTTACTTCTGGTCACCGGCCATCCTTCTGTGTAGATGGGATTGTCTGTCTAAGATGGAGCTCTAGATGTATCTTTCTCCAGCTACTCGTTGGAACAAATATAGACATATACATCAAAGACACTCTTTTACAAACTTTAACTGCTGAACAAGCAAATGTGCCACACAGGAAGACGTGCCAGAGATAGCGAAATAGGCCACAGAAGTTAATCAGTTAGAAGTGCCAATAACACCCACAAAGCCTAACAAATCCAGAAAGGTCACCTCCGAAGAGGACATTATACATTTTGGTGTACACTTTTTGATAAAACCAACCTTGTAAGATTGTCCTCTTTTCCAATATACTATATAATAATAATAATCTTTAATTGCCTCAATTAAAATTACAATTAGATTTAGAAAAAATACATGTATATAAAAAACGTAAATAAGTAGACACCCATATATTCATGGCAAATAGAGTGTACATTCACAAAAGCAGGCTTGTGCGTGAATGCAGTAGTTCATTTATCATGAAAAATAGATGTATAAAAATTAAATTAAAAAGTATACATTTATAAAAGGAAATGTTTGAGATTCACATAATAGAATTTTAAACAATTTAACTGTAAAAAATAATATATAAAAGGACAATCAAAAAACAGTGTTAGTAAAATCAATTAGAATATTAATAGACATTAAATTATTAAGTTTTTTTTTTAAATCACGATAAGAATGACAGACTATAACATGTTTCATTTCATTCATTCATTCATTTCGCATATAGTGTGGATCTCTAAATGTAACGGGTATGAAAACAGTAAATTACATTAATTTTTACATCAAAAGTGATATGAATTAATGCTTACGTGTGCTTTGGTCATATGCGTGAAGTAATCGTGGAACATCAACCAATATCCATAATGTGTGTCGAATCCTCTAAAAGTGGGTGTATATTCTTTTTTGGAAAAACCCAAGTGCCACTTTCCTACAGCATGCGTGGCGTATCCGTTCTGTTTTAAAAGTTGAGGCATTAGCGTTTCATTTAGAGGAAGTCCGTAAGGTTCTGACTCTAGTATGACCCTATGTTGCATACCTGTAACAAAAGTAAAGTTTATTTGTGCTCTTTTGTTAAGCCGAAAGCTAAACTTGCTATTTGTAAACCTAGAAAGACACTAACATTAATTATAGATGAAGTAGAAGAATTTTCAAGAGTCTTGTTTACGATACCAAAACAGTAGGGAGTCTGTAGTCTATAGCAGAAAGGAGTGCAATAATTTATTTTACAGAACATAGTACATGGTATAGCCAGTTTGTGACAAAAATAATGTCTTTAAAAGCTTATCAACAATAAATAATGTTTTACCTTTTTTTTCCGTATATTTAAACAAGTAATTTGAGCGGCTAAAAATGCACGTTACATCAAGAAGTAGACATTTTATTTATACCTCATTCTTTAATGCCTATTTGTAAATAAAATTAAAATTTTAATATATTTGATCGGCTTAATAAAAGTTTCCGGATTTAGTTATTTTGAAAAAGTACTTTTAAAATTTTAAGCTAATTTTATTTCAGAATTTTATTATTGTGAAAACAATATCCTGGTTGTCACATTTAATTAAATTGCATTTTTGTTATGTTTAATATTAAAGTTATTAAATTTTTTACTGTTTGTATAATTGTCTGTCTCTTTTGTATACTGGGAGCTATTATTAAAATGACGCTACATATATTTTTTTTATAACTAGCAACATTTCTTGTTTTGGTTTCTTTAATTTCATAACAATATGTTTACATACAATATATTAACCCATTGATCTTTCGAAATAAAGATGAGAAGCTTAATAATATTTGTACATGAGCAAAATAAAGTGAGATTATCATGAATCGGCTGATTGCCTTCTGTGATTGAACAGATTGGATACAACTCAACCGCTAGTGGACCGGCGGGTACTGTTCTATCTCTGTCTATTCAATAGCATCGCTTATTCTATACCGTGTTCTTTTGACTTCATTGTGAGAAAGTTAACATACTATTATTGTGTTAAAATATTCACCTGTGTGTATGGGATATTTTCCAGTGAGGAAAGCCGCTCTTGATGGTGTACAAAGTGATTGAGTGTAATGCGTGTTTAAAATTACTCCATTGTACGCTAGAGCATCTATATTAGGGGTTGGAATTTCATCACTGCCGTGGAATCCTACATCATTGAAGCCCTTAAACATTAAATAATATTTTGTTTTTACATAAATAGAATTTTTAGTTATTTTTTGACCGAAAATAGTAATTTTAAAAGTAAAAAGTAGATTTCTTGAATTATTTAGTTTTTGTTATTAATCAGTAACACACAGTGTCGGGCTAGGATTATTAGCACCAGTTACAACCCTGCTAAAAATATAAATAAGCTAAACTCGTTAAAATGCATCAGATTCACCCCTCAGATTAGTTAGGAGTTGAGTATTCAATTCAAATCTTTCTTTAAATATTAATAAAAATAATTTTAAATGTGATTAAGTGGGTGTGTATTCTTTTTTGTTTTTATTTATTTCAGAGAAAAAAAAACATTCTTATTTAAGCTCCGAAATAAGATATCTTTATAGTAATGTTCTAAACTCGTATCTTTTCAAAAGAAGGAGGTTCTATTTTTTTTTTTGGCATAGACTCTTTTGTCATACAGCCAGTCACAAAATGGAAGAGGTGAATCATTAAATATTTAATTTCAAATAACAAGAGGATTAAACTGGGACACTCGCTTCTCGCCTAGGGACAAATCAAGGAATTACAAAAAAACAGACATACACTAGGTCACGGTAAGGGGGTAAAATAAAACAATAGGAAAGAAAACAATGGTAACGAGTCTAAGAGAATTACTAATCACAAGCGTACACCTGATTCCATTAAGAAAGTAATCAAGCAGTCATAAATGTTTGTGGAATTGTAGGACAATAAACTTTGGATATTCCAAGGGGAGCATATTTTGCATTTAAGCAGGTAGTTATATAGCTTGTCAGAGAATTTTTTGTTTTTAGTACAATTAAAGAAGATATTGTCTAGATCTCCTTTTTCATTACACGTCTCGCATTGGTCCCTTTTAGAGACTTTAATTTTGTATAAATGGCTAGGATAACAGGCATGACCAAATCTCATCCTAATGATTGTCGATATGTACTTTCGCGGTATTTTATAATGCTTGTACCAAGGGATCTTAGGAATGTTTAACTGAAGAGTCGTATACCTCGTTGGGTTTGTAAAACAATATTCCTGCCGCAAGTGTTGCCATTTATTGAATTGATTTATTTTTAATATTGCAATAAGATCAGAAACAGATAAATTATATGACGTATTAGAACCTGTTACAGAGCCTTTTTTAGCCAACAAATCTACATGTTCGTTGTGCTTCAGCCCAATGTGAGCTTTAATCCAAATAAAATGCACGTTCTGGTCTCTTTCTGAAAATGTTTGGATAAGTTTCTTAATTTTTATTACAAAAGGGCAAGTCGATGTATTAGGAAGCCCAAAAAAAAGGTTGTATATTCGTCGTGGACAGTGGCGGCTTGTGGGGGTATTCACAGTGACAGAATATAGGTATCAGTACAGATGTATGAAAAAAACTTTCAAAAAAACACTGACAGTTTTTTACCTATATTTACTGGGATCTATATTCTGTTACTGTGAACCCCCAAAATTTTGGTCACGAGCCGCCCTTGGTCGTGGAACTTTTTTTAATATTTTCGCGAATTTCTCGGGAACCACTTGACGGATTTTAATGTTTTTGGGCTCATTTTGTGCGGGAGTTCTCCAAGTTGGTCCCATCCCAGAGAGGGTAAATTATTAATTATTAATTAACTGTAATAAAATTAATAATTTTTTACTTTTAAGTAAATTGTATGAAGTCGGTTATTATTGTTTTTTGTTTATGTTCAATTAGAGGTGTTGTTTAGATATTTATTCTTATGAAATAGACTTAAAACATTTTGGGGGGCTCTATACAAATGTTTAATCTGGGCGGTGTGCAAAATATGTTTGAGAACCATTGTCCTAGACCGAGAACTAGCGCACCGGAAAATTTTCAGGTTTCCCGATGAGCTCATCCTCCCCTTTGTAGAGGGTTGTTTTTCTACTCTATAGTCTTTAGTTATTAAAAACCCTGCATATTCGAAAATAATTTTAAAATATTTTAATTTAACGATTCTAAGAAGTATTTTTTATATCCGTAAAAGATAATTTATTTTCTTAATAATTTTAATTAATTTTTTTTAATAGAACCGATAATGATCTAATTGTTAAATTAATTATCATTATCAGTATACGTAATTACGCAATTCATAAACCAAACTAATCAAATATGGATGGATAGACGGACATTAGGTACTTAAGGTTTTTTGGTAATCATGGTGAGTTAAGTCACATATCATGCGACCACCAAAGAATTAAAAAATCATTTTCAAATTTCAAATTTTTCGATACCATCCTATAGAAAAATGTTGTATGAATAATTTCTTTTAAATTATTTATAAATTTATGTAAAAGGCGAAATAATCGAATTAAATTACGGGTTTTGAGCTTACATTAAATTGTAATTAGATGAAACAAAATGGATTCTATGTATTTTGAGGTGATCTTTTCGAAAAAAGGCAAAACAAAATGTAGCAGTTTTTCGAAAGTGCCGAAATTTTGGATTTTGTCAATTTTTCAATTTTGCGCAGGCGCATGTCGGAAATAAATCAATATTTTTAAAACGCAGTTTACGATATTTGAAAGCTTAGGAAAAATGCTAATTTTTATGTCTCTTGAGAAATTTTGATCCGATGCACCGTTCTCGCGGTATGGACGATTGAAATTTGTTTAGTATTTTGAGGCGACGAAGGTCGAAAAATTGAATTTGTTAAATGTTCAAACACTAAATTCTTTATAACATTGGTGAAAATTAAGATATTTGAAAAAACAAAAATGCGTTTTGAACTTAAGGGATGTGACTAGTGATTCCCAGAAGGGGGCAAGAGAAATCCCAAAATTGGGCATATGGCGGAAGGGCAAAATGCACCGCGGTCCTAATTTCATTGTTTGCCTATAACGGCCAAACTATTTGAATTTTTTTAATGCCACTTACAAAGCTTACTCTTAAATGTGAAATCTTATGTGTGTGTGAATTTCACCGACATCGGACCATAATTGGCTAAGAGAGGGGGGTGGGTTGGCTCAGTGGTTAGAGTCATGACTTTGAGATCGGAAGGTCTCAGGTTCGAATCCCACCGTTGGCCGGAATTTTTTCATTTAATTTAATTATTTAAAATTAATTCTGATGCCTTGGTAGGATTATCCACTCGACCATTCACTGTTGGGTTCTAATTAACAGTGCTGTTCCTAAAGTGGCGCTGGGAAACAGTAACAAAGCCTACACAGAACACGAGGCTAATGGCCGTAGTAGTCGACGCCGATGACACCAAAATTAAAAAAAAAAAAAAAAAAAATTGGCTAAGGTATCAAACAATTAAATAATTTTTTTTTCGAAAGTTTGAAGTGGCACAAAAATGCCAAAAATGCACCCAATGGCTCAAAACTTTTTTTTTGAGTACTCTATTGTGTCTAGAATACGATTACATTACGGAAAATTCTGCAAATATATTTTATCTATTTTTTTAACCACTGTTCATTGAGTGACGACCAAAAAACACGGTTTTTGAGAAAAGTTGCCTAAAATTGACAATTTTTAGTTTTTTTGTCTGAAAATTAAACAAACCCAAATGTTATGTCTTCTAAATGTGTATACAAAGTTTAAAGTGTGTATGTTTCTTCTAAGTTGTAGAATTCTCCCGACAAAAGTCCCATTACACGCCCTCCGCGGGATCCAAAACTGGTGTATACACTACATTACTGTAATTTGATTTTTTTGCAATTTCCAGTTTAAATTTCTTGCATATCTAAATTTATTAGGCTTAAAATTTATTAAATTGTATTTTACTGACTTATTATAAGACGTTTCTTGAGTTTTGTGTAAAATATAGAATTACCAGATATTAGCGAACAAAAAGCAAGCTTATCACCAAGTTGGAACTTACACTCAGGCTTAGGATTAATTTCCTAACATTTTTAAAGTATACCTTTTTGTGTATTTTTAATTTTATATATTTTTTTAATATCTATAAGCATATTCAAATAAATAATAATGTGTAGAACTCGAACTCCTATGACTACTTCTAGTGGTCGCCGAAAAACTCAACGTTTCGTCGTTAAAACATAAACTACTACTTTCTTGAATTATAAACAATTATAACACCTAACTTACCATATCGTCTGCCATGATTATAATAATATTCGGTTTCTGGGTATGCATTAAGCCAATACCAAAAAGGAGAAGAAACACGCACCATCTTAACATCATTTTTTCTTTTAATTTTTATTCGCACTTATGAGAGGGCAGCTAGTATCGAGTATTGATGTATATTGATTTTGTAACTATTTATATTTTTGATTAAAATCAATACCTTATCAGTATGAGTATTAAATAACTAGCTAAAAAAAGTCTAGTGTCTAATATTAATCTAATTAAGATAAAAAATTTTACTATAATGCTGTCATCTGCTAATATCATCAGGGTATCTATTCTGAAATTTCAAAGAATAGAAATTTAGAGAGAATAATGGGAAAACAATATAAATTTTGTGCGTTGCAGATACAGAGGAAAAACCGAATTTCTATTCCCTCGAATTCAAGAATAGCTATTTTTATTTATTTTTATTTATTTTTATTTATTTTTATTTATTTTTATTTATTTTTATTTATTTTTATTTATTTTTATTTATTTTTATTTTTTTTTATTTATTTTTATTTATTATTTATTATTTTTAAACTCATACCAGTCCAGGAGGTAGTGACGATTTTCGATACTCATATATCCAGTTAAGAGGGTTCTATACCCATCACCTCCGTCAATTTCATACATAACCTCGAAGTCCACGTCTCTTACGTCTTCGCCATAATTCCCCCCTTTAAAGAAATTATTAGACAGCCTGAAATACATTTCTGTGCATTTGTGGTTGCATAGTCTACCAATTCTCGGATGAGAACATCTAGACGTAGCATTTTCGGCCACTGATGACTGACACATTTAGATTTCTATATACCGGGTGTTCAAATTAAAGTGTTACAGTTAAATACCGCCGAAAATATGCATTTTAGAAAAAAGTTTCAGACAAAAGTTTTATAGTTTTTTGGGGGAAACATTTTGGCTAAATTCATTTTTTTATAGCTGACCATAATATGGCCATATCGAGGTGGACTTTGTTTTTTTAAATGGGAACTCCCATTTTTTTACATATTCTTAAAATACATAAAAAAAATAAGAAACTCTTGATGGAAATATTTTTTTTGTTCGACTTTTACTTTTTGAGTAACAGCTACTTGAAAAATTTTGCTGAACGAAAAAAAAGTTTACCATATTATGGTTAGCTATAAAAAACGATTTTAACCAAAATTTTTTCCTTACAAAACTAATACTTTCGTCTGAAACGTTTTTTTTTTTATAATAGGCGGTATTTAGCTGTAACACTTTAATTTGAACATCTGGTATATAAAACCGGCTTTTCTTTTATAAGTTTAAAACGGTTTCTAGTTTTTTTTTTGAGCTTATTTTGTTTATAATTACTTTTTATTAACACTTTATTCTATAGCCTTTACACATTCATAAATAGAAAAGCGTATAAATATATGTAGGTAAACATATTATTTGTTTTAGTTTTTATTTTGGAAATTTAAGAGATTGTATTGAACAGTCTTCGTCCAATGATAACCTAACTATGCGGCCCCTAAACGCTCAATATATATAATCGTACAAGTTTAAGACTTGTAAAACACAAAATGTGACGTAATCCAACCAATCTGTTACTGCTTTGCTATTTGTACTCGACCCATAATAAAAACCACTTCTTTGTCGATTTATTAAAGTCACAGTGATTATTCTCAAAATTGTAAGGTTAGTAATTATTCAGACAGGTGAAACATTGAAAAATTTTCATTAAAAAAAATTTCCTCATTTTCTTAGTCATGAAAATTTATCAGCTTAAAATACAATCTGGTTAATGTGGAACAGCCCATCTTTTGGTGTATTTTAGTCCGCTTTGGACTATATGACTATGACGTTGACATAACCTTGACAGGGGGTGCCGAAGTCAGTCAATTTGTATAGAAGTTCTTCTACGGTTGGGCTCCACATTATTGGGGATAGAACTCCTCAAAGATAGCAGCTAAGCCATTAATTTCGATGTGGTGGTATCTATTTCTCTGTATGCGAGTTCTCTTTTGACGGATTCTGTCCCTTCTACATAATTCTGGTATATATCCCAGTTCCAGACTGTGGTAGATGCATGCAGCTTTTGGAATGCCTCCTAAAATAATTACGATGATACTGTCAGTACGGCAATTTTCGGAAAATTACTCGCTAAAAATTGTTCATAGTTCTTCAATTAGCCATACATTTTAAATACGTTGTCTATTAGATAATAAAACAAACCAACTTTATTGTTTAATACTTTTTATTACTAGTGGCAATAAGCTTTTGGTTTAAATTAATCACATCTTTGACATATTTACAATCGGACAATTCTATGAAATCTGCTATAATAATATTTAAACCTCCTGGGCCAGGAGATTGATTTTCGATCCAGTTCGATTTTGATTCTTCTAGTTTGACTGCGCATTGTTTCTTTAAAGAACCTGAAAAATATTAATAATAAATTAAAAACTATTAATTCTATACAAAGAAATAAAAGATTGCCATTATTAAAAATGACAAGAAATCGTCTAAATGTTGTGAACACAAGATTGTGGCATCAAAGTGAATCAATAGAAATAATACAATGGAAAAGATTGTACAAAACAACAAAAGCAGATTGGGTTCTAAACTAAAAAATTATAGACAAAATGGAGTAGTGAACCCCATATTATTAGAGTTGCAGAATATAGCAAGTATTTATTTTAATAATTCATCTTATTTTTTTTTTAATTTTAATAATATTACGTTTCTTAAAACTTACTCCCTTGCGAGCGGATTCCTGAGCTCTGAATAAAGAACTTGGGCCGAAGGGGGATGACTATTATTATGCTTTGATGGTGTTATTTGACTCTAGGTAAGGATACTCAATAAAATCTTACCCACCATCTTTGACGAGAAATACTTGCTTAGCGGTCTCGTATGATATATGGATTGATCTAAAACTAATAAGGAACAGGCGTACATAGAATTAAACCCAAATCCGACATTATCCTCTCACTAAGAAAACATCACTGTATTTCAAGCTGAAATACATGCACAAAGGTATCCAAAGAAATGAGTAAGTAGATAACCGCAAAATACTAAATCCATTGGCAACAGATATGAGGGTACAGAGTCAGTAAGCTCATGGTAAGGGGACCAAACCCACTCAGGTCTCCTGAGATACTACAACTCGCAAGGCCTCAAATATCCACCATTGTGGGATTACTAACGGGACATTGCTGGCTGAAAGATCTTCATGTGTTGGGATTCCACCACGTGTAGACTATGTATGGAAGAGGAAGAAACCTCATACCATGTGATCTCTTGCTAGGCGGTGTCTCACTTGAAAACGGGGAAAGTAGGGGAATACAATAGCCTCAAAAGGCCGCAGTATTCTGGGCTAAATCTAATCCTACTTGCTCATAACCAATAAAGATAAAGATAAAAAACAGAAATTAAATTAGCATACCAACAATTTTCCCCAAAAATATAGCAACGGCATACTCAAATCAAATAGTCGAAGTACATCGCTTTGACTTGTACCACCTGTCATTTAATGGTCTCGTTCTTGATATATTTTCATAATTTTAACAAATAAAGCAAAATACAGGGTACTTGGACAACGAATCGATAAATCTGGTGATTATTGAGTAATGCTTATTCTTTTATAACCTACTCTTCATAAAATTGATAGTACTTACTGAATAAATTTTGAAAAATGAACCAACCAGGAGGCGTTAGTACGCATTGCGAGATATGAGCAGATCCCGATGGTCGATTACTGAGTCCTCTATGTAGAGATTCGAATAAGGAACTTTTCGAAACCGTATTAGGCCAGGGGTTTGGAAAACTATTCGAAGGCCACAGTAAGGGCTGCCCGAAACGAGCGGCATCCGATCTGTATACACTAATTACCTAAAAATATGCAAATAATTAAAAAAACTACAATTTGACATAACGTCTTTGACAACTGATATGTGATTTTTGACATTAAACGTGACGTTTGAAATTTAACATAATATTTTGGATGTCAATTTTCAAAAACGTTATGTCACAAGTCAAATGTCAAGAGTGAGAAACTGAGATCGCCTAATATTTTGGATGTCAATTTTTAAAAACGTTATGTCACAAGTCAAATGTCAAGAGTGAGAAACTGAAGTTGCCTAATATGTTGGATGTCAATTTTTAAAAACGTTATGTCACAAGTCAAATGTCAAGAGTGAGAAACTGAAATTGCCAAATATGTTGGAGGTCAATTTTTAAAAACGTTATGTCACAAGTCAAATGTCAAGAATGAGAAACTGAAATTGCCTAATATTGCTGCGTTTGAGAATCCACATCGGATGCATTTTTTACATCTCGAGCGTTTTTTTATCCACATCTGACACATCTGTCCCATTACATTTACGTATACTGAATCACGTGATCAAAGATTTACTACATCTCAGATGCATCCGATGTGGATTCTCAAACGCAGCATATGTTGGATGTCAATTTTTAAAAACGTTATGTCACAAGTCAAATGTCAAGAGGGAGAAACTGAAATTGCCTAATATGTTGGATGTCAATTTTTAAAAACGTTATGTCACAAGTCAAATATCAAGAGTGAGAAACTGAGATTGCTTAATATTTTGGATGGCAATTTTTAAAAACGTTATGTCACAAGTCAAATGTCAAGAGTGAGAAACTGAGATTGCTTAATATTTTGGATGGCAATTTTTAAAAACGTTATGTCACAAGTCAAATGTCAAGAGTGAAAAACTGAAATTGCCTAATATTTTGGTTGTCAATTTTTAAAAACGTTATGTCACAATCAAATGTCAAAAGTGAGAAACTGAGATTGCCTAATATTTTGGATGTCAATTTTTTAAAAACGTTATGTCACAAGTCAAATGTCAAGAGTTAGAAACTGAGATTACCTAATATTTTGGATGTCAATTTTTAAAAACGTTTTTATCGAAGGTTTTTTTACCTGATATCGATATTGTGTGGTCATGTACTGTAAAGTTACATAACTCATGTGCTGCGAATAAGGCAAGAGTTTAGCACCAAAAATGTGGTATATTAGCTGCATCAGTCTATCGTGATCACTTTGTCTGAATCCATAAAAATGTTGGAAGTCCAAAATCACTACCTGCAACATAAAAAATAAATAAAAGTGTTAAAGTGAATGATGTTGAAAATTAGACACCAGTTGCATTTTTTATTTGATAAAAACTAAAATATTTAGGCATTAAGGTAAAAAGTTGCCGCGCGACGCGCGGCGGAGTGCGGAATTTTATCGTAAGCGGCAAATAACTTTCCGCTCGAATTACACACAAGAATTTTTCTACGATTACACGATATTAAAAGTATATAGTTTTATTTTGCCGAATTCAAATCTTACTACGTTAATTTGACAGACACGGTTAACTTGACTAGCAAACGAAAAGTATGTTATGTGTATATTGTGTTGCCTGTTTAATTGAAGATTAATTTTATGATTAGCATAAAAAATATTTGTTAGTAAGTACATCTTACAAATAGCTTACAAAATCATCGGTTAGAATACACAAAATGCAAATTAACGGCTCATACACTGTTTTAAGTTTTATTTAATTTTGCAAACAAAAAAATTAAGTTAAAAAGAAATAATAACTGGTGAGGATTGAACTCACGACCAGCAGGTTCAAAGACAAACGCGCTAGGCTCTACACCAATAAGACATGTTAAGAGTGTTAAAAACAGGGTAATTTATTTTTAATATTTTAATTATCATTTAAATATTAAGGAAAATGAGTTTGAGTATTAAATGTTCAACTAAAATATTCAGATTAGTCTACATTTTATTTTTAAAATACTGATTAACTTTCCGCCTATATGCGGCAATAAATGTCAAACTATGACAATTCATGGAAAAAGTTAACTTTCCAGTTAGATATAAAGTGCAAAAGCCTACTGTAGATAGTTATCATAGAAAAAACACTTTATGGTTACACTTTGCTTACTTCTTGAGTATGAGTATCCAAGAAACTGCGAACTTCTTCAAGGCACGATTGTACCGTAGCTGAATACAATCCATGAACGATAAACAAATCTTCGGTACTACTTTTAGTACCAATCCTTAAATCGAAATATCTAATACCTCTGATCAGTTGGTCAGCTGCCTTGTACGTTTGAGTTTTTGACCAGTTTACCATAAAAAATTTCAACAGTGGGCCCAAAAAACTTAGTTTTTTGATGGCGTTTTCGGCGTCAGGAGCAAGCGGAGAGTCTGATGTTATTTCCGATGTGAAACTGTCATGCGAACCTGAAAGAAAATAGAAATTTTATTGGCTTTAAGTAAAGTGTAATTCATTGGAATTATAAAGACAACAAAATGGGTATTCTGATTTATACGATTGATGTTTCATATAGGTATTATCTATTATCTATTTCTGATTATTTTTCTCCTCGAAAAGGGAAACTATAATTTAGTTTACACTAGTTACTAATTGTTTGTAAATAATTCTTTGACCTACAAATTCCATAAAACCAAACTGCTTCATTTTCGTTTTTTAACATCATCTGTTTCAATTAAAACTCAAACGCAAAACAACAAAACAAATTAAAGTCATTTAAAAAGTACAAGTGAACTTGATTCTGAAATAAAAATTACGCAATAATGTTAAAATATCAAGTAGTATATTATTATGCAAATTTGAGGTCACGTGAGAAAATCTTGTGTGATTTTAACAACAAACATCTTGTATTAAAGATGAAATTGTTTGTTTAGAACTATGACTAATACCTATATAAATTATACGTTACAGGTATTCAGTGATTAAAATAATGATCTGGTAAGTTTAATGCCAGTACATGGGTTGATCGAAAACTTTAACAACTTTTCATATGATAGTAAGAAACGTTTTCAAAAAAAATTAAATAAAAACTAACCTATCAAAATAATCCAAAGTAAAAGTATTGTGCAACGAACTGGTGTACTTATTTATCTATATGTATATCAAAATATTTAACCAGTTTTTAAAACCACTCAGCTATGCTACTAAAGGGTTATTTTATGTTCTTGTTCTTATTTTTTTATTTATTTTATTTTTTGTCACGGACAAATGGAAATTCCTTCAGGACTCCCGGAAACATTCAATTGGTATCAGCGGTATACAATTGAAAGCAAATTATTAGTTCCAGTTACGACATTTGGAGCCAAGAATCAATCGCGCTTGCAGCCGAAGGACGTGCTATTCAATGGTATACGGACGGTTCCAAAGCCATAGAAGGAACTGGAATAGGAGTGTATGGGCCGAGAACCAAGCACTCCGAAAGCTTGGGAAAATATCCAAGCATTTTCCAGGCGGAAATTTACGCCATGGAGAAGTGTACGTAATCAGCTCAAAAATGGCCTGGAGATGCCTAGAACAATTGAATGAGCTAGGCGATAAAAATAGAGTTACTCTCACTTGGGTCTCGGGACATAACGGGGTACAGGGTAACGAGATTGCAGATATTCTTGCAAGGAAAGGGGCTCAAACACCCTTTGTAGGACCTGAGCCGTTCTGCGGTATCAGCAGTAAAATAATATTAGGAGGTATTAAAAAAGAATTGGGCAGTAGAAGAACCGATAATTGGAACAATCTCTTGGGGTTGAGACAGGCTAAGATACTTCTGGGTGAATATAACCAGAAAAGATCGGAAGCCTGCATCTGCCTGAGCAAGAACAGGCTACGTATTGTAACAGCGATCCTTACCGGGCATTGCCGACTAAAAGCACACCTAAGTAAACTGAAAATAGTAGAGGATAGTGAGGGTAGATTATATGAGGAGGAGGACGAAATCTTCATTCACATCCTAACTGAATGTGTAGCACTCCAGAATCCAAGGGTACTATATCTAGGAGGATATCAAATAGAAGAGGGAGATTTACCTAACTTGAAGCCTCTTCAAATCCTACACTTTCTTGAGAAAATATGATTAGAAGGGTTGTTATAGGCATTGAGACATTTCCTTAGTGCATTGGCGAAAGAAGGGGACACAATAGATCTTTTAGGTCGTACTGTATTAACACCCCATTCTCAACATACCATATTTGGTAAGAAATTTGATTTAGATAACCTCCTTGTACAACACTTGGTAGCAGTTGCATAGCAAAAAAATTACCAGTTATTGCAAGTTAGTGCTACAACATCCGTTCTTTGATAATTTTTACCTCATTTGCTTAAAGGTGTGTTGTTCCATTAAGACAATTCTCAAAGTCATACCTCTTGTGATGCACTGACTGTTTATCAAGCGGGGGATTCCAGTTGGTAAAATATTCACCATATTCTCCAGATTTGGTTCCTAGCGACTATAGAGTGTTTTCCAAACTGGAATAAAATTTGCATGGAAGATAACTTTTAAAGTGACAATGATATTGTCGGCTGTAAATGAATGATTTGAACAGGTTTGAGAACATTTATTTCTTCTGATTATTATGACTTCTCACGGAAAAATAGAGACTGAAAAACTCAAAGAAAACATTGAAAACCAATTGGACAGATTAATAGATCAACTACAGGATTTAGAAAACTGCAAAGACGACTTAGATAAAGAAGAGTATGAAGAAACGAAAAATGAAACTATAGAGCAGTTAAAAGAGTTAAATGATAGTTTAAATAAGCTAGTCAAGGGTGATATTTCTCTTATTATTACGTTAGGTGCAGTACGACTAGCTACACAAGCTGCTATATAAAACACCCGAAGTTATAAGACTCTTTGGACGGAAGGAACCTAAACAGTTAATAGAAAGGTTGTGTCTCATTGATGAAGATGTTAAACTGAATACACTCATTGTAGACGCTAAGGTTAGGCAAAAGGCAGAAATTTTGATTACCTTGAGGCAACTAAATGAACAACTCGCTACAGAGGAACTCAGGTTTTTAAAAAAACATAATCATATAGCTAAGACTTTTTTGGAATAATTTTGTTGAAGTAGAAGATGACTAATTTTGTAACTTACTCATAATATGTCTAAACTTTTTTTTATGCTATATCTACTTATTAAGTAATTTGATAAAAATAAATGTATAATGTATTTCTTCCATCATTAAGTCGAGTGGATTTGGATTAATGAAGTTTAGGTTAAAAAATAAGATAATTATTTGAAATAATATTTTTTTTTTATAAATAAGAAATGGAAATTAAACTTCATAAGGCGACTGAGCTACGCTCATATTATGATAAAGAGGAAAGTAAGATAATTATTGATTCATAAAAAAACTCTTCTGGTAAAGTGAACGGCTGATTTTTATATTTCGCAATACTTACACATTTTCTAAACTAATCTTAAAAAAAAACAGCCACACTCCTGATACAACTGTTCATTACTTACAAATCGTCCATTTTTGGATCACACTATATCAAGTTGTTTATTTCTAGGTAATTATTTTGAATTTTGAATGCCTTTCCATTTTTTACACGTTCTGAAAAAAGAGCGGTATAAAAAGCAGCATTTCCCTAAATTATTTTTCATTTAAATTATTATCAGCAGTTACTTTAATCATAATATACAGTGAGCATCATAAGTCTTACCCCCCCTATCTAACTCGTTACTGGAGTCTTGTTAGGAAAATCGCCGAGACACGTCGATTTTTGATTTCTACAATGTACATTTTTGTATGAATAGTTTACTCTTAGTTTCATCCCTTACTGGAGGGAAGCAACCCTTTCGAAAAATTTAAATAGCATGGGGTGGTGAGTGATAGCTCATTTGAAAGGGGGTCTTATTCTTTATTCAACCGTTCGAAAAAAATTGAAATTTGCTTCAATAATTCTCGACTAATTATTGTTTCAGAATAACGGAAATTAACGTAACGCACTCATCCTTAGAATTAAAATTGGTTCAGACGTGAAGTAAGACTTTTTGCCATTAGATAAGGTAACTGTTAGTTTAGTTGCTTTCCTATTTGTGATGTTTTGTTATTTTTAAACATTAATAAATCAACACGTAATAAAGCAAATTTTAAAATTTTTTGTATGGTTGAATAGAGGATAAAACCCCCTTTCAAATGAGCTATCACTCACCACCCCATGCCATTTAAATTTTTCGAAAGGGTTGCTCCCCTCCAGTAAGGGATGAAATTAAGGGTAAACTATTCATACAAAAATGTACATTGTAGAAATCAAAAATCGACGTGTCTAGGCGATTTTCCTTACAAGACTCCAGTAACGAGTTAGTTAGGGGGGTAAGACTTATGATGCTCACTGTATAGTCTTTTGATCTACAATTAGAAACATGTTATTCTATCTGATTGAATGGTAAACACTCTATATTTTGGGTCAATAGAATTATTTTACAAGATTACAGGGATGTTAATATCTAATTAGAGGTAAACTGTTGACGAACTATTTGCTATTAGATAGCAATTAGGCACCTGATTTGATTATAATTCAAAGGGGGTCACGGCTGGTGGTATAGATCTACTCGTATCAAATATTATGCTTGTAATTTTGGAATTATGCGTTTCAAATAAATTAGTCAAGACGTATTAAGGAAAACTTTTAAAAATGTCCATAAAATTTTTAATCCAGCAAAAATTGCTTGCCTAAGAAATAGTGTTTTATTTTTGAAAATAAAAAATAGAAAGTTAGGAATGAGAAACCAAAAATATATTTTTAGAAAACTTTACTTTCATTTTTTTTTTCTTATATAAAAACCTCTAGCTAATTGAACTTTTCGGTGACGTCAGGACATAGAGTTTTCTAGATTTTCAATAATTTTCATGGGAATATTGTCCCATTCCTCCTGAAACATTTCTGCTAGGTCACCTAAACTTTCAGCAGCCTGACAATCTCTAACCCTCCTCCGGAGAATATTCCAAAGATATTCTATGGGGTTTAGATCCGAAGAATTGGTTGGCCATTCTAAAACCTCGATATTGTGTTCCTGAAGATGTTTTATTACCAGTTTTTTAACTCTTAATGATAAAGTACAAATAAATAAAATACCGGGACTGCTCAAAATAATTCAAAATAACCACAAAAGTACTTTTTATTATTTTTATTATTCCTTTCATCTGCACCATACTGTATGTATTATCCTGTAGAAAAACCGAAGCTCTCTGTTTAGAACATTAGTTCCTGAAACATCTGGGTCAAATAGCTCATAAATGAGTAGCCATCCATTTAATTTTATTGAGAGGAAAGTATACCGACCCACATAATACTAAAACGGAATTGAACTTCATTTATATTTCTTGAGTAAATCTGTAGGTAAGTGCCTTTTAAATTTTATGCGCGTACGAATCCAAAGCTATTACCTTTTTACTATGGAATATTTACTAAAGCGGTGTAAAAACGATGAAAGTCTCATTAGAGATATCGTAAATATTTAGAAGTCAGGAAAAATCCAGATAAGTGAAAATGTTAGATAGTGTCTTAAAAGAAGTTAAAACCGCTTTATATGTTATGGGAAATGAAGAATTTTTTCATGAAAACGAAATTTATAAGTAATAAAATATTGAAAAATATGAAGAAAGAGACAGCACAGTTTTCTTATGGAAAGAGTACTACACTTATTGATTAATTCTAACAAAAATGAAACTTCTAATGGGACATTGTTTTGTCCGCAGATTCTTTGGGCCAATGTGTTCTGAGATGAGATGATATGATCATTCATTTATTTTGACGAGTAAGATGGTTTGACAGTTGGTGAGGTTCTTGGAAAACCTCAACAATAAAACTTCGCAGGGGGCGTCTTCTTCTACTGGAGTTGGTGCTGACTCGTGGCATATAAATTCATGGTTACTAATTTTTGGCATTCTGAATCAAATGACATAAAATTTTGCTTGTTTAGGATAAGAAATTTCGAATTTGGAATAATCATTGAAAAAGGTTGCTGCGCATATATTATGAAACACCCTGTATTGTAATTTTATATTAAAAGGTCTTTACAAAAACATACCACATATTCCTTAGACCAAAATAAGTCGATTTAAGTAAAATTACCTTAGTACAAAGTTGCTTCGTTTGGGCTCCAGAGGGCCTTGTAGTTACAATTTTTAAATCGTTTTTGCCATATAAATTTAAAACGGCATATGCGATTTTGCTGAAATTTGGTATATTGGTAGAGTTTTATGTGGCAAAAAAAATGGTATTAAATTTTTTTCTGATAATAATACATAGGCGTAGAACTTAATTTTTTAAATAATTGCACCTTTAAAAATTCTACGCCAATGGAAGAAAAGGAGTTTGAGTATGAAATTTAGATTGCGCAACTCATTTACTTTAAAAAAGGTACTTTTGATAAGACTCGATTACTCTCATGGTTTTGACAAAATTTGCATATTAGTAATTTTAGAACATAAACAATAATTATTAAAATACAAACTTTGTCGAAACCATGAGAGTAAATCGAGTGTTATCAAGGTTACTTTTTTGTAGTAAATGAGTACCCAATCCAAATTTCATACTCAAACCCCTTTTCTGCCATTGGCGTAGAATTTTTAAAGGTGCAATTATTTAAAAAATCAAGTTCTACGCCTATGTATTATTATCGGACAAAATTTTATACGATGAAAAACATAAAAATGTACTTTTTTCATATCTTCTTCAACACCTCTAATCGAGACTTTTAACAAAAATACTCGATTCTTGCCATGTATGATTTTTTGAGAAATATTAATTATTTATTTGCCTGCAATACGTATACAAAAACATTTATTGTTGGTTTCCATAGTTTCATCTAAATAACGATTGAAAGTGTTCTATCTGACTCAATAATTAAAAAACAAATGCGTGGTTTATTAATATGGCTGTACAATATACCAATGCAGAATATACCGATATGTTACTGACATTAGGATTTTGTGAAGGAAATGCTCGAGAGAGTGTCAGGGTGTACTCTGAAAGGTTTCCAAATCGTCGTGTACCTAGCCACCCAACTTTTGCTGCTGTTGAGAGACGTCTTCGGGAGACCGGTTCCTTTGCTCCCAACACTGTTGATAATGGAAGAAAACGTTTTGTAAGGATAAGTTGAAGAAGACATTTTAGAACGTGTTGAAGAAAATCCAGAATTAAGCACCAGACGAATTGGAAGGGAACTAGGAGTAAGTAAAGATGTCGTTCATAAAGCACTTAGAGAACAATTGCTATACCCATACCATAAGAAGCCAGTACAAGAATTATTAGTCCATGATCCTCAAATTCGTTTGGGTTTTTGTCGATTTGTTAATATGCAAAGAGAAAGAGATCCAAACTTTGTCAAGAAGGTTCTCTTTACCGATGAAGCGGGTTTTACAAGAAGAGGTATAACTAATACCCATAATGAACATGTTTATGCCGTTGAAAATCCGCATGCAATAAAGGTAAATCATTTTCAGCACGAATTCAAAATTAATGTGTGGGCTGGAATAATTGGTAATTTCATTGTTGGTCCTGTCATACTTCCACGAAGATTAACTTGAGAAAATTATTTGGATTTTCTACAAAATACGTTGCCAGAATTGTTAGAAGATTTATCTCTCTAACTTCGGAGAGATATGTGGTTTATGCAAGATGGAGCTCCATCACATGTTTCTTTAAACGTTAGAAACCACTTGAATGAACAATATCCACACAAATGGATAGGCAGAGGTAATGACGCACCTGTAAACTGGTCACCACGTTCCCCAGACCTAAAACCGATGGATTACTTTTTATGGGGACATCTGAAATCCACAGTTTACAGGGAACCTGTAGAAAATGAGGAACAACTCTGGCAATGTATTCAAGATGCAATAAACAATCTTAGAGGTGATGAAGAAGTTATGGAAAGGATACATTTTAATTTTTTTGGACGTATAAATCTTTGTATGTGTGAAAATGGTGAACATTTTGAACAGTTTTTTTAAAATCTCTATTTTGATTATGTTGTAAATAAATATTTTTGTGAAACCTATACACTCTAAATTATTAAAACAGAAATTTAGCGAAAACCATGAGGGTAATCGAGTCTTATCAAGAGTACCTTTTTTAAAGTAAATGAGTTGCGCAATCTAAATTTCATACTCAAACTCCTTTTCTTCCATTGGCGTAGAATTTTTAAAGGTGCAATTATTTAAAAAATCAAGTTCTACGCCTATGTATTATTATTGGACAAAATTTTAATACCATTTTTTTTGCCACACGAAACTCTACCAATATACCAAATTTCAGCAAAATCGCATATGCCGTTTTAAATTTATATGGGAAAAACGATTTAAAAATTGTAACTTCAAGGCCCTCTGGAGCCAAAACGAAGCAACTTTGTACTAAGGTAATTTTACTTAAATCGACTTATTTTGGTCTAAGGAATATGTGGTATTTTTTTGTAAAGACCTTTTACAGACACCCTGTATAATAGGAGTTATAGAACTACTACTAATGTTTTGCAGGACCCTGTAGATATTTGGGGTCAACACGATTATGATATTTCAAATATATAAATTATGAAAGTGTTGCATTCCAATTCACAGTTCACATACCTGTTGCTTCATTGTTAAATGTTGGCCCAAATACTTCCAGTCATTGATTTTTGACTGCCAGAACGTTTGAATTCGTAATGAATTAGGTATACTAGTCAAAGATTTGCTCTTTTTAATCAAAAAGTTAATATATCTAAGTATACATAAACGGATAACAAGATAAGATATAATTTAGTTTTGATTTAAATTAAATTTCTTTGCAAAAATAATAGGAAACAATTTGTTTATATACTTATACTATAAAAACAACAAAATAAATCGGTATTTCTGACCTGGAATCGCCAAATGTATAATTGGCGTCTGCTTCAACTCCTGCGGCAACAAGGACATCCAATTCTCCAAGTCCTTGCTCAAATCCTCGTCGTTGTCCTGTCCACCGTCTACAGGAGCGACGGAATTATTCATCATTTATCACAGAAAATACACGCCGAAATAATATCGGGCCGCGATGGCTGTTGCTTTTCCGTGAAGTTCCAGCGCCAGACTGCTTCTAATAATACCAAATTCGTATTCATCACTGAATAATATTAAGGAAAATACAAAAGGAAAATCAGATAAACGTAGTATTATAATTATGACCGCATCGATTTTGCTCAAGAACAAAACTAGCCGTCGTCGACCACGTGACAAGCGGAGGGAAAGGAAAATAGAATCGCGGATGGAGTGTCGCGGCTTGAATGGTTGAATAGAGGTGCGGGCGTTATCTGGAGACAGTTATCGGTTCGTAAATGGAATATATACATTGTCTCAACATACTCAACAGGTGTCCTTTAAGTGGGTGTTTGCTTTGTTCTGATCCAAAAAATGAATCTATACGTATATCGTTATACGAGGGTTATGCTGAATTTTTGTTAGACATAATGAAGCAATTATTCTCGCAATTTAGGGACAATAGATATATTCAGGCGTTATATGAAGAATAATAATTGGATAATCACAATGTAAAAGTTATTGGAGATAATCGTGCCTAACATATATTGATACAACGATTTTATTTGCTTAATTTTTGTGCCTTTTAATGTAATAGTGCTATTTTTACTTAAATAAAAGTTAAGATTTTTTTTAACGAGTTATACTGCTAAGTCCAACACTCATCAAAATTTAAAAACGCCTAACTAGCCTTGCCAATTAGTCGATTGAAGCCAAGACTCCCTTCCTGGAGCCGTCTTTGCCTCTTTACTTTGCTTGTTGTTCACCAGAGTATCTATTCTTGAATCTTATGAAGCAGAAATTTTGAGGAAAGAATGAGACAAAAATACAAATTTTGTTCGTTGCAGATAAAGAGGAAAAACCGGTTTTCTATTCCTTCGAATTCAAGAATAGCTACCCAGGGCGTTAGAAAGGGGAGGAGATGACACCACATGAAATAAGTGCCATAAAGATTGCATAAGTAGGTTTCATTACATTGTGTTTTTATTTGCATTGCGGTAATTTACGTTTAAAATCTAATGAAATAATATTTAAAATCAGTGGCGGCTCGTAGCAATTTAAAATGGTTGTTCACTTTTTCCAATAATTTTATCATTTGTAAGTTCAGATCAAAACTTTGTACAAGAGTCAATATTGTTGTTTTTTTATTATTTGAGTTTGTATTAAGTGTAGTTATTATTATCAACATCATACTGTTTTCAAACACTACAACTATTAATAAATAAATATTTTAGTTAGTGTAATATTTGTTTTGTTTTTAATACGTTGAAAACCATCTATACACATTATTAGTCAACTGACTTTTCTTCATAATTTGAGTTTATTTTTAAATATATATCAGGTTATGTAGAAAGCTTGACATTGATTTTTGTGTAAAAAATTTTGTATGAAATTTTACCTACCATTTTTTAGTTTTTATTGTAAGTTTAATCATTTTCACAATTTATCACAGATGTGAAATAAAAAATATATTTTTTAAATACCTTCTATTGGCAAATAAAATAAGAACTAAAATGTTTTAAATGTTTATTTTATAAGATCAGTCCCATCACAATACATAATATTACACAGACACAAACTAGAATAAAGATATATAATGCCTGGCATTCTAAATGATACTCTTCGCAGTTTAACAGACCCCCTTAATCCCCATTTTCAAGCAGATTGTTTTCACAATCAATAGGCCTCATCTCCTTATAGAACTTGATTTTTACTAAAAGTTTCATATTGATATCGCTTTTCATTTTTGATTTTTTTTTAATTTCAACCCCCCTTAAATCCCCCATATTTAATCAGTTTTTTTTTATAATTAAAGAACTTTTTTCCTTTTAGAGCTTGATGTTTGTTAAAAAGACACTATGATGACAGATGCCATACACAGTGCTGCCATTTTGCCATTTTCTGAATTATTAAGTGACTTTTGAAACAATGAAACTTTAAATATGGTAAAAGTTTAAACAGAAATAATACTTTCAAAAAACATTTGATATTATATATTTAAAAGATATTTGTTTAAGGATGTTTTAGAATTCTAAAAGTAAGAAGGAGTACACAAACGAACGTACATCACTTCTCGTAAACCTTCTAGCCGGCAACGTTGTGGCGCTAGCTCCTATTGGTCTATTCCCGGTGACGTCATAAATTTTAAAAAATTCATAACTCCAGCAAATGAATAAATAAAAAAAAAATAAATTATTCATAAAAAAAATTTCAAAATTTTTGAACATGCTCCATTAGTGGAAATAAAAGACTTTTTACAATAATTTTGTCAAACTAAAAATATATAGATGAATTTTCAAATATTTTGTAGTTATAGAGTATTTATAAATCTGTTTTACGCTTGTAATTTTACATATCTTCTGTGAATTTGCATAATTTATTTGTCTTTATAGTTAAAGGATCAAATTTTTTGTTACTAATAATGAGCTCCGCTTAGGGGTACAACTACGATGAACCTATATGACATCTCCTCCCCTTCCCAGCTCTCCTATTGTTCACCAAATACTGGCACTAAGCAAATATTTAAATATATTAAATACATTTTGAGGACTTGTACCTTCCAAACTAATTGAGATATCACGATGCTCTTTTCACTAAAGACTTAAGTAGGGTCATAAGTTTTATTGCGGCAATATACCGAAAATGAAATTGTAAGATACAAGTCCTCAAAATGAAGAGAAAGTACGTTTCTGAATAGTACTACAAAATATTCTTGACAATTACAGAATACTATCTGTCAGATACTTCAGACACTGCTATTATCATTATCTATCTAATATTGGGAAAACTTTTTTCCTTACCTAGTTCGTAACTTTTTCTTCTCAACATTATTTGGAATACACATAATTTTTACTATTATCTTTTCTTACTAATTACTAAAACAATTTTAAAACCGATTTAGAACCTTGATCTAGATACGTTTTTATCCATTTTGGGAATTTACCTTTAAAACCACTAGTTGACAATTTAATAAAAGGATTTTAATATACAGGTTGATACCAAATCCTTTGCTAATCTTTTATAGACGTTTTGGACAAAAAATAAAAATCTAAATACGATTTTACTCAAACGTCCATGAGTAATAAAAAAAATATTGCAAAAATGCTTGAATGAATAAAGTATTTTGTGCAATAAGAATGAATATGAACAATCCACTCCAGTTGTACAGTTTATTGTATTGTATTTTAATGTTCTCACTGCCTAGAATGTATATAAAATATATTCGTTCATTTGAAGGCAATGCCATGCTTTTTTGTTTTGTAGTCTGTGAGCAGATAAGCTAATATCCATGTGGATGTAGAAATAGTTATTTATGCAACAAGTGTGTAAAGTTACCCTTTTTTGACGAATGTCAATGTGACAATCACATGAGTCAAAAAAGGGACTTTACACACGAGTGACATACAATATTTTTTCTACTACCGTACACATAATCCACTAATATTAGAAATATAAAAGTTACTTTTTTTCACTAGTGAAAAAAAGTACTTTACTTTACGCACTAGTGAAAAAAAGTAAAATGTGCCAAAAATTGTACACAGCAACAAAAATAAATTTATTGGAACTTTACAAATTTATAATTCTTACAGAACAAAATAACTAACAAATGAGGAAATATTTAAAAAAATAGGTTTTTAACTCTTATGAATATTAATATTGAATGTGCAATTATTGCAATTACCAAAACTTAAGGTTTTGGCCTTTTCCAGCACAGAGTTTGAAAAATGTTGTGATATTACTTCTGTAACCCTATTTTGAGCTTCGAGTGGTATGGATTTGGCCTTTTCAAGTAAAGAGGTTGAAATATTTTGTGTAACTCTAGTTTCACTGTCGAGTGGTTCCACTAATTCTTCATTAGAGTTGTCAACGGTAAAATTGTAGCTTTGTTTGGAAGTGGATGGCATACTGTCATCCATCAAAATTTTATTAGAAATTTTGTTTTTTTGTGTTATTGTGCTGTCTACGTAGCCTTCTGCAACAGCAGATGATTTCCATCCTCCATGTTTTTTGACCGTTAGAAGGTCTCCTCCAGAATTTGCCAGCATAGTGGCTGAAGACCTCCTAAAGCAGTGTCCTGTAAAAGCCGTTGGATTGGGCAAGTTTAGATACGTTGCTATAACACTTGGCATTTTACCAAAAGTATTTATCCCTACAGGCTGTTTAGAATATTTTTCATTTGCGAATTTTAAAAAAAATCTGTTACAATTTATATTTGATGGTCTTAATGAGGTATATTTTTTTATGAAAGATAAATAATCAACTGCAGAATTATTTGGATTTAAAATCGTAAAAATGCGTTCTATTCCATTTTTGGTTTCTGATACTTTGACAATATACACTGTTTGTTTATCTTCCACATCGTTGTCATTTTACATAATTCTTCCCGGCGACAAGCTCCCGCAATTCCAATTATAAAAGCTACCTAAAAAAAATAACATATTGTAATGTTACAAATAATTTATTAAACATTAGGAAATATCTTGACGTTGCGCATGTAAAACTCCAAATAAATGCTATTGTAAAAAATATAAAAGTTTTAGGTATAATGTGCTGCCTAACAACCCCGGTGGCCTGTTAGGACAGCAACTGATTTTGTTAGACAACACACCATACGAACACACATCTCGTTGCAAAACTTTACAGAATATTTTAATTTTATACTGAGCATTCAAGCATTTACCGAGGCATTTACTTACTTTGATCATTAAAAACTTGGAATCTGGAGCTTTCAACAGAAAATTTTGGATTTTTTTGGTATATAACCTTTATTTTTTTGTTTGAGAAACGCTATTAACTTGTTGAAGTTCGAAATATCATGCAACGTTGTTTTTATATTTTAAGGTGCTTATAAGCATAGAATAAATCGACCATAGGGTAGAAGCTTTGCAATTCTTCAATTCATCAGAGAAATATGCTAAAATAACGTTTTCCGAATATTTTGTCACCTTATTCTTCCTACACCATTCTATAAATGCATTGTATTTTTGCTGATAAATATATGCAGATTTTTCTGGCCATAAATTTTCAGTGGCCTTTTGTGCACTGCATAAGATATCTGGGGGAGTATTATCAAATTCGCTATCGCTAGATAAATTTGAATCCATATCGATTATGACAGATATAATAAACTACAAATAAAATTTGAATTTAAGTAAACAAACATTAAAAAGTAAAACTTTTTATCTTCTCAAACTTGATTGAGTTTAAAAAATGCTAAATTGGCTTTAGAATCTAATCTTGAACTTAAGTATTCTTTTGTCGTGTTCTGTTATAAGGTAGGTACTAATTAAAAGTTTAGAGATTGACAGTTCTTCTAATCCACACAGCCACGGCCAACTTACTTTTACCAAAATCGACATCTACTGTATGTTTACTTTTAATTAAATCGATGACATTTAGAGAAAATTATAATTAAAATAAACTGTTGATAATTTGTTGGACACTAAATAGATATAAGCAAAAATAATTTATTTATTTGTCTTAGAAGGAGATAGCAAAAAAAATGTTAATATAAAATAAAACGTTATATTTTGTTGTTATGTACAAATTTTGTCAAATTTTACTTTTTTTAACTAGTGCGTAAAGAGTTTTACTTTACGCACTAGTGAAAAAAAGTACAACTTTACACACTTCGTGGAGTGCGTAAAGTATGTACTTTACGCACGGTAGTAGAAAAAATGTATTTATGGAGTCAAGTATATCGTATTTTTTGATGTGAATACTAATATTAGGAAATTTTTTATTTTAGGTCAGTGAAATTTGTGCTACTTATTTTTTTAACTTCTGTAAAAATTTTTATTTAAATTCTTGTTTTCTTTCGACCTCCTAAACAAGCATATACAAGTTTGATAACACCCTGTATTTGTAAATGATATTGTTAAATTCCAAAATTTGTTACAATAGACTTTCCTTTAAAAAAAAACCGTGTTGATCCTTATGACATATTGTTTATCTATTAAAAAAGTCCTGGGTTTGCAAGTATACACTTCAGTTTTAATCAATTTATTTATTCCTCTATATTCTGTGGAAGGTAACACTGTAATTAAGGGGCTTAATTAGTCAACACAAAGTGGCTATATACTTTTGTAAATGTTTGTAAACCTCATTAGTATTAATAATACTTTGCCTTGTATAAAACAAGAAACATATCGGATCTTAAGAAAAATAAATTTTATTAACAATAATTACATAATATAAATAGTACAAAATATTTAATATTTATTTAAAAATAACTTTTGGTTCACGTTTATCACATCTCTAACATATCTGTTATCGGATAAGTCAATAAAGTCGGCGATTATTATATTAAGACCACCTGATCCTGCTCTCTGGTTTTCTATCCAGTTCGATCTGTCATTTTCTAGTTCCGCAGCACACTTTTCTTTCAGAGTACCTTAAAAAATGATAAGAAATAAAAAATCTACAAAAAATGTCTTTCAGATACAGGATACTTCTAGTCAAAACTTTCGTGTTGCTAGTGAAACAAAATGCCATAAATAACATACACTTTCGTCCCTAGTATTTAGGAATATTAAAATAAAAAGGTACTCATTAAAATATAAATGTATTTACTTCTCATTTATTGAACTAAAAACAATGTAATCCATTTAATAATTATTAATTTTAAGCTCTTATTGAATACGATATGTTTGAGCAACTTACTAAAGACATTTTCTATGATGTATTTGGCATCTGGTGTTAACACGCATTGTGATATAAAGGGAATGTTGGTTTTTCTTCTAACTAGTCCATTATCTAATGATTCTATTAGGTTTGGTTTTGATACAGTGTTCGGCCATGGATTAGGGAATGTAGCCGAAGGCCAAAAAGATGTTCCGTTTATCCTATAAATTACAAAAACCTAAAAAATAATTATTTTAAAACGTAAATTAGGTAGAAAATTCAGAAATAAATTCCTAAACAACCAGACTAACTACATGATGAGTATCAAGAGTGTGAGATGCGCTGGAGACCATGAAGCTGCCGAGCATATCAAGATGAAAGTAGAAAGTGCCATGAAGAGCACCCGACAAATTATAGAGAATGTTCGAAAATGTCAAAACCAATTAGTAGATTATCGCATACTGCTACTGATATTAGTGAGGTTATGGCAGCAAATCCAAATATCCGAAAAATGACGAATAATCAAGGGACAAAACAGGACTACTTGCAAAAATTATTAACAGTTTTTGAATGCTTGATAAAAGATGTTATTCAGATGAATATGCAATAATATTTTGTCCCATTTCAGAAGACCAACAAACCTGACGAACCAGACATAGACAGTCCAACCATCAGATGTTCTGTGGTGGATCGGCTCAACACCATTTTGGGAAAAAGCCGAGTACAGGGTCAAAGCCTCACCATGTCCTTGTTAAATGACAATAATATGCCAACTTTGATCCCCTTTTAGTATGGCACATTAATCAATTGTTTTGACTTGAGAATCCTGCAAATTAAGCAAGCAGGGGGTGGATGTAACAGATTCTGATTGAACATATAGAAAGGGAACTCACTCGACACTTCCTTACTTTTCTATAATAAAACGTCGAAACAACATAAATTAAACATAACATAATATATAATTTATAAAGTTTAACATACTTGATATCCCGATTTTGTTAAGGATTCCAAGGTGGCAGCTGCTAGGTTCAAACTATTTGGAGCTATTTTACTACTAAATGTATTTTTTATAGATTGAATGTACCGATTGTGAATAATTTGATCAAATCCATAGAAATGTTGAAAGTCCAAAAACACTACCTAAAAATAATGAAAATTGTAGAAGATACTCAACCGCTCGAGGCTCCATTATATTTGATTTTAATAAAAAATATTGTGTGGTACTGATTTAGAAAATAATGAGTTTATTAAAAACAAACTTAAACAAAAAACTATAATTATTACTTCTTGAGGATGACTGTTCAAAAACGTATTAATCTCGTCCAAACAAGACTGTACTGGAGCAGAATACAGGGAATGGCAGATATAGAGATCGTCCGTTCCATTTTTCGTAGCTGACCTGATATCGAAATATCGTATTCCTCTTTTTAGTTGGTCTTCTCCCATGTAGGTTTGAGTGACGGACCATCTGGCAATAACATCTTTGACTATTGGTCCAAGAACTATGAGATCTTTTAAGATTTGTTCGGCGTCAGGTGCAATATCGGAGTGTGGGGTGATTTGCGTGGTGAAACTGTCATGAGAACCTAAAAATATATATATATATATAATAGAAATAAAATGAATTTGGCTTAAAGCCAATATCACATAAAATACAACGACCGTTTCCCCTTCAAAAAACAACTACTCCTTTGGCTAATACCGCAACAGGCATTGAATTACATCTAAAGGAAAGACAGTAGAGATAGAAATTAATTTGTTAATTCTAGTAATAAAAAAATAAATTTAAAATGATATGTCAAAGAAAATGGTATAGTATTTAGCATTTAAATGGGGGAAATCTTTAGCTGATATCCCATTTGCTCTCATGAAAAACACTGTAAAGTAATAAAAAGAGTAAATATTAACATAATTTTCGTTTTATTTTGTAGATTACTTATTTAAATAAAAATTTATGTACCTATCTTGTTTTTTTTTAAATTTTTATAAACGTAATGTATATAAATAATTAATCTACAATATTCTATGATCGCTACAAATTAAAACTAATTGTAATGTGCGGGGTAGGGACGGTTATTATTATTATGTGTAAAAAAATTCGTCACAACCTTCCTGTTTCTCCGACACACCCAGTACATTACGCGAAAGGCCTAGTCACTGAGAATGTCACTCCTTACATCCGCTCGGTCAGTGAACTTCGGCCAAATTCAATTGCCTCAAAAGACGAAGGGACCCAAGGACTACCGCTTTCTGCATCTTCACCACTAGTTGTCTTGATGACTCGGCAAGCCGGTAATTTTTGTAGCTCCGTGAGCATAATGTCCTTGATTCCTCCTAAAACACTCACAATTAGGACTACCATTTGTACATTATATTCTGGATACATTCTTTGCAACTCGCCAATTAGTGGACTGTATTTGGCACGCTTCTTCCTCTCCTTAATAACAATGTTGGTTTCAACTGGTGCAGAAAACTCAATGACAAACATTGAATGACTCTGCTTGTCCAACAGCACCAAATCGGGCTTGTTAGCTTGGAGTCTGGTTGTTGTGGGAAAAGCGTAATTCCAATAAATACGGCAACTGTTATTTTCCACTACCGCTTTAATTTCGTCTGGGGTGTATGCAGAACTGGGGTCTCATCCATATCATAGTGATAGTAGATAGTAGAGAACTCGCAATGCGGCGTTGTGCCTATGGATGTATCCAGACACAGCTTGCACCGGGTAAGCAGACAAAAGATGCATTATTGTCTCCGGGTATTGTTGGCATGTTCTGAATTTGACATCCGCCACATGCGTAAATGGAGCGCGGTATACGAGAGTATTAATAACGCCATCCTGGCAAGCTAACAAGAATCACTCTGTCTCAGACTTCAAGTCAGCTGATCGAAGAAAGGAGAAAGTTAATTTTTAAGATTGATTAAGATCTTCCATGTTCCTGTAAAAAACACCGTGTTGGGGTTTGCTGACATTATCTTCCAAGAGAAGGTGGTGGCTACCCTAACTAGACATTTTACTTGAGCGGGTTTAAATCTTGTAAGAGATTGGTTGTCACCTATTTCAAATCTGAGACCTAGTTCATCCGCAGCTTTACCTGCAACCTTAGAAAGAAAAGCCCTGATACCAGTTGTCTCATGGTCTCGAACCATCTGCAGTAGTGGGTCCGTACTATTGGCTACCTCACAGTTAATCTATCATGCAACCTCTCCAGACTCAAAAGACCTCTGCGCCCTTGATGACGTGGAAGGTAAATGTGTAAGACCCATGAGCGTGGGTGGATGCTTTTGTTCATATGCATCATCTTGAGTGTGCTTACATCCAGTTCCCGTAGTTCATCTCGCCTCCACTTGAGCACGCCAAATGAATACAAGAGCACAGGAACGGCAAGCATATTAATGGCAACAACTTTGTTGATTCCGGAAAGCTGGGATTCCCATATTTTCCGGAGACGCTGCTTATACTTACCACAGATCATTTTTTTGAAGTTCTTAGTGTCATGAATTCGGTGTTGATCAACATCAAGATACTTGTAAATTTCGTCATCTTCCAAGTGAAGAAGTGTGCTTCCGTCAGTAAGTTGCTCGTTCTCAGGCTGGTCTACGCAACGGCTTTTCTGAAGTCTCAGAACGACGCATTTGTCCAATCCAAATTCCATACCGACATCCCGTGTATATTCTTGCACCACCTTCAGAGATGGTTGTAAATCTCGGTCGCTTTTAGGTCGTCCATGTAAAACAAATGTGTTACCATGTGTGTGCGATTCCCAGGTGTGCCTTAAAGATATTCGCGATTTGCCGAAGAGCTACCGAAATGGGGAGTAGAAAAATACAGAGTTATTATTTGCCGTGGCATTCCTAGCGACTTACAAATGATTGATGGTGAATACCATTTGACTAACAGATAAGGAAAACCGGAAAAATCCCACCCACCATCATTGATTGACGGTATTTCATCAAGAAATCATGTGATATCTGGCATCCTACAATTCTAGATATAAAAATAGTTGGCAGTAACATCCTGTATATTTATATTAATAATATTTTTTAATTCATAATAAATAAACTTCCGTAATTTTATAAGTTTACAATAAACATATTAACTTATCTCAAGTTCAATGTATTGGAAATTAGTCAGCTATTAATAATTTAATCATTTTTGCTCATATTTTATTGATGAATTCAATAATTTTATTTATTTGATAAAATATGAATATTTGATATCAATATATTTAGCCAAGAACAAAAAAAAATTGGTACTTCTTTAGGTTTGTATTTTCTTATACAGGGTTTAAGATTGGGACACAACAACTGAAGATGCTCTGACTAAAAATAGTACAAATAAATCAAAAATTTTTATGTATCAAACGTAAATATACTAAAATATTTTTAATCTTCCTAAACAGCCATATTGAAAAGTACATTGAAAGTATTTCTATCTCTCCCAGCTAGCACATAACGTTGCCAAGCCTTTCGGCGATGTTGTTTTAAGGGAACGTAATAACATTACTATACAACGTAAATGCAACGTTCATGAGAAGTTGTTGAGGGAAATCAAAACCAAAAATTTCTATTTGTCACTTACCTATTTAACCTACCTGTTTTGATAACACCTCTATTTGTATGATATTGGTACTAGATTTCAAAAGCGTTTTAATAATAAATTTATACATATTTTTGTTTTGTTTTATTCAGATTATACTATATCCTCAATATGCTATTTTACATATAGTGTGTCCAAGGATATGGACTTGACTTAACTATACTTGTAAAAATATTTATTTTAAATTTTTCAAAAAAGTAATTTTTCATAATTTCTCAACGTTAATCGTATTTATGTAACAAGCAAAAGAAATTATGTAAATATACTTCTTTAAAATAAAAAAGTATTGTTAAGTTCATCCGTGGACATACTGTATAATGCTGTAGAATGAATTCACATTATAACATATATAAAACGTGTGAAAACAACTTTCGAGGAAAATACCGTAAAAGTGCTAGTGTGATGTTTTCCGAACTTCACTTTGTAACCTCTGTGAGATGTGCTATAAAAGTCTTACCGTTGTGGACATTCGGCGGTTGCAGGGATATTAGGGTTATATTAAAAGTACATTGCATGCGAGTTTAAAGAGTCTAAAATTGCAGCTTATTAACGTCGTAAATGGGATGTTTTTGTGCTAGCTGGGCTTGATGCTTGTGCTTGTGCAGACCATTTTGGATCAAGCAGTAATGGAGGGCGATTCCTTTAGACAGAAAGAGTTTCATCTATACTTCACACGTTAAATTGTATATCCCTATTAGTTGATTATCTTTTAATGTAAATTTTGTTTGACTTCAAGCAGAAGAGCCCAATTATTTTTACTATTTATTATTTTACTTGTCAACGAAAATTGTTTTATAAGATACCACTAATTGCTTTTGTAATAATAATTGGCATTATTATTAGAAAAATATAAAGAATTATAAAAAAAATTATAAAAATTATGTTTTAATGTTTTAGTTAACTAAATATTGAAAAAAGAAAACACATGTATTGAAATAAACAAAACAAATAGGTTATCAATGACTTAAATCCGATTTTTTAAAACAATTTACTGTATGATACTAAACAATTTAAATTGTATCAAATCTTGTACAAAAAAATATTTGAAATGTATTAAAAAACAATTAGAAACATAATTTTCTTCAGTCTAATTAAAATTAAAAACATGAATACCTATGTAGGTATTGCATACATAATATCATTTAAGTAGTTACGTTTTTCAACTTTATTTGTAATACCTAGATTACATTAGTGGTTCTGTTTATTTACTAATCTACAAAATAACTCAACGTTGCCATATTTTCAAAAAATATCTAAAATCGCGTATTAATTTATTAACTTTTAATAAATATATACATAAATCATCCCTACCTGGAATAGCTATATTAATAATTGACGTTTGCCTTAGCTGCGGCGGTAACAGAGACATCCAATTTTCCAAGTCGCCCGCCAAATCGCGAACTGTTAAATTTTGAGAACTCATCTATATGGAATGTAGGTACAGGTTAGAATATCAAAAGTAGCACAAGGTTTTTCGAACTGATCACACACTAATTGATTCACTGCTATATATACAACAATAAACGCCATTACTTATTTACACGAATCGCGGAAAAACTGATAAAAGTCCGTAGGATAATGATTAGAGAGGCACAATTTTTTTTCGAGCCATTATCTTAGTAGTACCTATACCTACTATAAAAATAAAATAAACACTCCAAGCCCTGTATTGTATTGAGAAACGTAAAACCGTAAACTTAAATTTATTTCATTATAAGAGTAGAGATTAGACGTTATTTTGATAACGGTTATCCACTGTTATTTATTTTATCTGTGTTTACCTTATTTCATGTTATCTTTTTGAAATAAGAAGGGTTTTGTTTTCTTATTCATGTAATAAAAGGTGTTAGTTTTTAATTCTATGAAAAATAATTTTAAAATTAAAACTATTTGAAATTATGGGTGAATTATATTTCATTTTAGTAAAACACAAAGCAAAACTAAATATGTCTTCGAGTTGTAAACTGTGTTTTTCATCTCATAAGTATACAATTTTTTGGTACGTCTAGAAATATATTTTTTTTGAAAATTTAATTTTGTTTTAATTAAAAAATATCTTTGGCTGGTTATTTAATCCTAACCCCACTTAACTATAGTTTTAAAATTCTTTTGTGTCTGTACGATGGCAAAGATAAATTGCTCCACATTACTTAGGCCCCTCATTGTGATAACTCTGGGCCTCTTAACGGGTTAAAAATAGAATAAAGTCATTTATAAATAAATTTAAATTGTAAGACAATACGGCTTTAAAGAAAAATCCTCAACTCCATGAATCTATCGAAAATAGAAGACCAGGCTTATGTCTATTTATTGTCTTAAGCAAAGCTTTCGACACTTTCAATCACAGATTATTACTCCAAACCTTAGAAGATATAGGAATAAGGGGAAACATTCAAACTTTTTAAAAGTTACTTAAGTGAATGAAAACAAATGGTAAGGGTGAAAGATAAATTAAGCCAAGAAACAGTTATTGAGTATGGTGTGCCACAAGGTACTGTTTTAGGTCCGATACTTTTTAATTTATATATTAATGGATTATTTAGTTTAAATTCAGCAGGAGACATAATAGAATATGCGGATGACACTGCAATTTTCTATGAAGCAGATACATGGCCAAATTTAAAGAAGAAAGTGGAAGATGATGGCAAAATAATAAAAGATTAGTTCGATTGTAAACTTTTAACTATGAATCTGAACAAAACAAAATTTTTACCTTTTAGTTGTAATGTGTCTGGTTTGAGTGATCTGAACCATAGAAATCTAGGGCATGACTTACGCTATTCAATCAGCAAAAGAAATAAGATATTTAGGAATACACCTTGATAGGCATCTAATATGGGTTATCACATATATTATATCACCAAAAAAACTACAAAAAATAATATACAAATTTAAACATACATTTTTTCGAGTAATATTTTAAAAAGTGTTGTAGTCAGTAGCAGGGCCGGCGAGAGCCAGACTGGGCCCCAGGACAATTCTTCAGATCGGGCCTCGCGGCAATTTAAAAAAAAAAATAAATAACTCAAGCAAAAAAATTTCTCCTCCTCTACTTAAATCTCTCTCTAAAAAAAAGAAACTTTTGAAAGTAACAAACATCACCGCTGCCGGGCCTCCATTTGAATTAGTCCTGGCTGCCCCCCTCTAGTCGGCCCTGGTCAGTAGTCAACCAAAAAAAGCGAGTTAAGCTTTAAAGTAGTACGAAAATAATTTTCAGTTAAAAAATACCTTTGTTCCCTTCTCTACACTACTATAAATAACTAAATTAACACTGAATCTGGAGTGAAAATAGTGCAACGTTGCTTGTTTTTCGAACCAACGCTGTCTAAACAAAACTGAAAACTACATTAATTTGTTTGCAAAATTTAAAATGTAGATTATAATTTACCAATTCGTTAATTAACTTGTAGATCATAATTAAATATTTGGTTAATTAACTCTTTTGAAAATGGATTCTGTTAAATTTATTTTAAAACGTCGCAAAACTGATAAGGATACAATAAGCTTAGGGTTTAGTGGGAATGGACTTTAAACCCAATGAGAAGGTTCATACCATTATCCCACCCTTAGAACTCATATCATACTTGACAAAGACCTGTCAAAACTTTTGAAAGTTTGAATATTTTGGAGTTAATTGAGTTGAAAACAGAATTTTTAAATTATTATACCACAATATCCAAAAATCTAGTCGGAATATGTGTTAAAAGTCCAATGGAAACCCAAACTAAATAACGAGTTGTGCTCCATTTATTTTAAGGACAAATTCGGCATCTTATTTGTTATTTAACAGTCAATTCATAGATTTAGGGCTTGGATAAATGCTACTAACAATAAGAATAAAAATAGTACAGGATCAAAAAATAAACCAAATAGGAAAATAATTTCAACTCAAATATGAGTAAGACGTTTAAATAATTGTAATATAAGTACATTTTTGTGAATGAATGACTACTTTTTGTAAATATACAAACTCTTTCCGTTACAACTATTATACACATGTCTAGTATTTACATGAATAAATCTACTATAATATTTTATGAAATAATTTTGGAACAGAAAAGTAACCAAAATTGAAAAAAATAGGAATCCATAAAAATGTACTCTTGAAAATACCAAAAAAATCATCACATTATTAAATATTTTATTATTTTTAAATCTGCTAAGCAAGTATATGGAGATAATGCGATTTCCCATGAATAACTTGAAAAAAGGAGATATTTGCCCAGTAAACGGAATAATTACATAATTACACATGAACATAAAGTATTTTGCATTGTTTCTTCCACATTTGAAGTAAATAATGAAGTCAATAACAAGTTGAATTTAATAATGAATCTTTAGAGGACATTTTAATATGACATCTCCATTATTGTTAGGGATTGTGTATATATTTTTTTATTATTTGTAAATAAAGTGTTTTTTATTTCGTTTATCTTATTCAGTTATTTTAATTTTTTAATAATAGGTTAATAAATAAAATTTTCACAGATTTTACATTTTTGTTTATATACAATTATTATAATCTCTGAAATGTGATAAATTAATAAAAATAAAACAGTTTATTAAATTATTTTTATTCTTACAAAATTAGTTCTTTTAAGTTTAAAATACCACTAATTCACACTGAAATGTAAAAGGTTTATGTAAGCTACACTTTCCTTCTCATAAATATTGAGGATTTTAAAAACACTGTTGGTCAATCCTAAATATACCTTCGGTTTATTTTCAATTTTGAGAGTTCATTGGTTTTAAAGATCCTGCTCATTATTAAGTCCCTCTGAATCAGATATTAAAGATGTTTCTTCCGATTCAGACAAAACTTCACTATCTTTAAAACTTTCAGGAGGTTTCGAGGCAGGTTCTTCCAGAAGGGGTTTTAGGATATACACCTTCGAACTTATAGTAGGCTCATTTTAAATTTCCCGAAGGAGGAAGGGGGCAATGTCAGAAATTGCTGCTGCATCTTGAAGATCCGGTGTATGTTTATTAAATATAGATGAAAAATGCCTCTAGTAGAAGGTTATTTTCCAGTCAACAGTTTTTTGTTTTCTGTTTTTCTTTTTTTGGTAGAATCAGTGAGTTGGCTCTTGTGTGGTAAATAACAAGAACTATGGAGACATTTGTGTGTTATTACCCACTTCTTATATGTAAAGGTTTTTCCATCATTTAAAAAATGAACAGTTTTCAAAATCATCTGGTATCTAAAAAAAAAAAAAAAAAAAAAGAAAAAGCATCGGTACTACAATGGTAGATAATTGAATAATCAAACTACAATAAAACATTTTTATTTTAATAAAGAGTATAGATACAAACCTCAACAAAATAATTTAGCTGTTCCTTGAAGCCTTTTTGTGTAATGATAATAATTTTCGTCTTTTCATATTTCTAGCAACACTAGTAAATATTTTTAATAATGAATATAAAATGTAAATCATTATCACATCTTTCATACTCATAATATTTGTAAAAACATCAAACTTGCATAATTATCGATTGACAACACAAAAATTTTTGATTCACAGATGACACATGCAGTGCTGCCGCATTTCCATTTTCTTGTTTATTAGTTGTCGTTTTTTAAAACAATGAAACTATAAATATGGTGAAAGTTTAAACATAAATAATACTTTTAAAAACGCACACAAACGAACGTATATTACTTTTCGTATACCGTCTAACTGGCAACGTTGTGTGGCTAGTTCCTATTGGTCTATTCCCGGTGACGTCATAAATTAAAAAAAATTAATAACTCGGGCAAATGAATAGATAAAAAAAATATTTTTAAATGCTCTATTATTCATAAAAAAAATTTCAAAATTTTTGAACATGTCCCATTATATTCAAAGAAAAAGACAGAGAAATTTATTTTCAACATTCTACCTTTGATTTTACTTATCAAAGAAAACCTCAATTGGGCCAATAACAGACACGAAAATATACAAGTTACAAGACTATATCGAGTTGCCTTGCAAAATAGAATATGATAATTTCTACAGTAAGATCAGTAGGTGCGACAAAAGTCCACAGTCACATCACTTTTTTTACAATTTGGCGACTGCGCCTTTTCGAGTAAATATAGTGCATACGCAAAGGCACCGTTCTACTTGTCGAATACAATATTTTTTAATGAGATTATTAACATTTTCAAATTACGAAGTTTTTGAAAATCCGTTTAATATACTTCACGGTACAAGAACACCATCTGGTGATTATTAAAATATTAATCCCATTCCCTTCAAATCTTGAATGCTAATTCTTCAACCCATCCTTGCAGATAAACTTGTAATTTGCATTTTTAAAGGCGTAATTCGGTAGTCATTAGAAAATATTAAAACAAATTTAAAATTCGGAAGAACCCTAATCACTCGTCCAATGACGGGAAAAATTAAGAAATCAATCGGATTTTATTTCCTCTTTGATGGCACGAATTATTGAAATTTTAATAACCAATCATTTTGCGATGTCAGCAAATTTTTAACCGTTTATTAAAATATTTAATTTAATCTATTTTGACTCGCGTTACCGTTGCATAACATTTTTATAATCATAAACTACTCTGATTCGGTCACATTGTGGCAACATCTCACTTAGAAATGAGGTCGGGCTCCTTATCTGGCGGTAAAATTTACTTTATACGCCACGTTCTTTGATAACAGTAATTAGACTAGCCCTCAGGTGGACCCCATTTTCCATTTACGAGGCA